GGGGGGGGGGGGGGGGTATACATGTTCGCAAGTCGCGTGTGTTGGCGAGAGCGAAGTTGGCCACGAGGAGGTGCACACATGGAGAGTCGTGCATCGACCCCGATGGGCGTGCAGCACCCCAAGCACGCTGGAGCCTCGACGAACGGCCGCGCTTCATGGTCGGGATGCATGAGGCGACACGCTGTGCGCGATATTGTCAACTCCGCTCCGCTCGTCGTCACCAAGTGTGACAACCACGCACGCCGTCGCCGACCCCCTCTTCCACCAAAACACCACCGCAACGTCTTCAAACGCCGCGCGCCATGGCTTGGCGTGCTCCGTCGATCGCGATTCAACGTCCGATCCGGTCATGGCTGCGTCTCGATTGATCGCGTGGCGTTATTGAAACGGCCTTGCAACTTGATCTTCCCGATGTGTGCAGAGATCCCCGAACCATCGATCTGCAAGATGATTGGTCGCTCCAGTGAGCCGGCTGCTTTTTTATGGTCCCGATAACATTATGTCTTGGGGGGGCAGATGAAGAGGCGGAAGATGAAAAACAGCGGGAGCCGCATACCGGCATGTGGGGGGGACGATCGCCCTTTTTTTGGTTTTAGAGTTTACGCAGACGACCCAGAAAGTCGTCCTCCAAGCCATCAATAAACGCAGCCCCGCAAGTCGCCGCCGCCCAGCTCGATAGGAGTTGCAAAAGCCCACCATGACTGCGCAATGCCATGAAAGCGATGCGGCATGTAGATTACGCCGACATGCTTTTCGACGCTGCGAGAGTGATGGGCAAATCGGTTGTCACGAGATCGTGGTGAGGTTGCGGCTGCGGTGCCGACGATACGCTGTGAAAGGCACGGCGATGGCCATGTCGTCGTGTCACAATGGCTGCCATGGTTGCCGATGGCAATCACGGCGCAGATCAGCCTCGCTCACCGGGATGGTGATCTGACTGGGTCCCCCAATTTTGGCTTGGGTCCGTAGGAAAACACGCAGGCGAGGAGGGGAGCAAAGGCGCACGACCGCGATCGACGCGTCTTGCCAGGCGGGCGGCGCTAGGCGAGCGACGACCTTTGCACTTGCTGCACGCCAGAGTGCAGAGCCGAAGCTCGCCAGCCGCTTGCTCGCGTCGGTATGGAAGCCTTCGGCGATGCAGTTGGGCGTCGTTGGCGTCGAGCCTGCGTGTGCATGGCCATCTCCCCGCCGTCGCCAGCTTCCCGTCCGGCTCTCCTTTTCCCGCTCGGATGCTGCAATGCCGTACTTGCCAACCTTGTCCATCACCATCACGATCGACAGTGCATAGCAGTTTCAACCCGCATACGCTGAGCAAAACTTCTGGCAATCGCCATCCTCACTCGCACCGCACGCACAACGAGCCGGTGTGCTCGGCGATTCCGCCGTCCATACCGTCGTCAATGCTTCCAGCTGGATAGAGTTTGTGCTAGGTCGCCGAGACACTTCAAGCACACATTGAACCCCTAATTATTTTGAGCGTTTTGCCCTTGGGCCCCCACCCCTTTCGCATGCCGTCTGCCGTCTGCGGTGGGGGGCCAAGGTTGGTGCGATCCGAGTCGCGGGATCTACGGCGCATCGTCTGGTCTACATGTGTTGCTGGCGCCGCCTCCCGCCTGTTGCTTGTTGGCTTGCATTGCCGTCTGCCACCCCCTGCCAGCAAAGCCCCCCCATCTTTGCTCTCGGGACGCGACCTGAGCAGAGAAACCCCAGCGCTGGTGATCCACTTTGCGAGGCGGGGGAGGGGGGGTTGGTTGGTTGGTTGGACGATTCATGGGGCCGGGAGCGATCCTGGGCATGGGCGTGGCGTGGCAGAGTTTAATCGCCGTCGAGGGGGATCGGCGGCAGAGATCATTCTGACGCACCCTCGAAATCCCTCTCCGCGCCCGGTGAGCTTGATTTTGAGCCGTTTTGGGAACGGGAGGTCATGGCGCGCAGCCGAGCCAGTCAGCGGAGCCAGCCGAGTCCCACGACATGCAGGCGCACGCTCGCCACGCCCGCCACGCTGGCCACGCTGCCTTTCCCCCCCGCCCTCGCTGCTAGGGTCCACCCCTTTGCGTCTGTCTGTCTGGCTGGCTGGCTGGGGCCGAGTATAGACATGGCTGCACCGTGCGTTGCACGACACAGTCAGCGAGGGGGGCTGCTGGATGCGGTAATATGCATCGCGTTCCCATGCACGGGTGTGCGACTGGATCCGCGCCAGCTGGCACACCCGCTAACCACCAAGTGGAGACGGCCAGTGAAAGCGTGCGCTTTTTTTTGTGTTTGCACGGTCCCTTTTGTCTCACTGCACTCTTCACAGTTTCCTGCGTTTTTTTTCTTCTCCTTTTTTTTTGCTCTTTCTTTTTTGTGTCCAATTTTTATCTTCTTTTTCCTGGTTGAGCAGAGAGCATTTTTGAGACAGGTTCCAGGCAAGTTTTGCACGTGGACCTCAGTTTGGAGGAAGCCCAGCCTCGCCAGACCCTGCACACCAGCGCGAGTGGGAATTCAAGCACCGCCACGCTCGGCGGCTTCCGACTTTTGGTACGCTGTGGAGGGTCTTTGCTGGCCGAGTGCCACGGCTCGGTCAGCCCGTCCGTCTGCCCGTGTGCTGATGTGGGCCGACACCACTTCTGCCAGAGATCAGCCTAATTTCGAGCGTGGGTAAAGTTTTTAATGCTCTTTGCCACGATCTTCCTCTCTCTCTCTCTCTCTTCCTGGGTTCGACCGGCCCGAGACCCTGCCACCGGCGTTTCTCTCTCTCTCTCTCTCGAGCGAGCACGAAGCATTGTGGATGTAGCCGGTTCTTGTTTTCGAGGTAGACTGTGTGCCGAGGAGCTGGGGCAGGAACGTCGTGCGATTCGCCTTACGGCTGCGCATGGCTATGCGGCAAAGCGAGAACAGTGTGGCGGCGCATACAAGCCCAAGACAACAATGCAGCGACACGCGCGCGCGCGCGGACGGTCCCTGCGCCACGGCCCCGTTGCCGACTTGCCCACTGCTCGCGCGCGCGCGCGGTCGTGCGAGCACGGTGCCACGAGGCGCCAAACTCAGCGGATGCCGCCATCTCACCCTTGACTGCTCCCGTCCCCCCGACCCGCCTTGAGGTGACTCAAATGGCCAGCGAGCCTAGCCTCGAGTCGACCTTCGATACGTCTCCGCTTGAATGTTCGGTGCGGGCGCGCGTTCAGGGTCGCCCATACTGACGGCCAACCATGCGTGCGGCTCTCGGGCGGGGCGTTTTTAGCTGCTTCAGCCCACCGGCATCGCAATGCTTGCATTGGCGTGGTAAAGCGTTGCCATGGAGCGTGGGCAACCCAGTGCAAGAGAGAGAGTGCAAGAGAGAGAGTGCAAGAGAGAGAGAGAGGTGCATCGYATTTCCTTCTGTGCACACCTTCTTTTTTACGCCCATTCGGGTTGACTGACGATTCTCGCTCGCCTCGGCTTGGGAAATGCACGCCCACGCACCTGCAGCTTGCCTGCACCTCCGCTCCAATCGAGGCGTGTCTCTGCTCTTTTCCCTCTTTTCTCGGGGTCTAACCCGGTTCCGAATTCCTAGTTTTTTTGACCCTTTTTTTCTTCTTTGGCGTGGCATGTGGGCACTGGACTGCACGCACTTTTTTTACTGCTTTTTTTTACTTGTCAGTTGTTTGTTCCGCTCGCTCGCCTGCGTCCACCGCGGCTTTGCACGGCGAAACTTGCGCTTGAATGCATCTTCGCACCGGTACTGGATCCGCGCACCATCCGTCACCTCACCACCGTCGCTGATAGTGTACAGTAGCAGCTCATTCCGCCTGTTCTGCCTCTGTCTTCTCGGCGGCATCTCCAGGTCTCGGACTTCCGTTGCACGAGCGGACCGATATAGACTGGGGGAGGGGGAATGGCGGTGCATCCGAATCCCGAGCTCGTGTGGCGATGCGAATCCGAACCGTCGTCCAGAGCGGCGAAACGGGAGGTGGAGGTTGCGTTACGAAGCGGCCAGAGCGTGACCATTTTTCGTTTTTGTGATTTTGATTTTCAGAGTGGGAAATTTAATTTTTAGGAGGGTTTTTTTGCTCTTGTTTTAAGGCTGTGTCGTCGAGTGCGGCCAGGGCAGCCAGGCCCAGTGACAGCGCCACGAGTCGCAGCCGAGGCGAGCAAGCTTTCCGTGTTGGTTCCGCCCAGCTCAGGCTCCTCTGCCTCCCCCTTCCCCCCCGGACTGAGCCTCCCTTTGGCTGTTTCTCAACGCCGAGCTCGCCACAACTCCATCTCTCTCTCTCTCTGTGCGTGCGTGCGTATGTGCGTGCGTATGTGCCTTGGAGTCAGCATCCGATGCCGCCTCGTCCTTGCCTTGCCGTGTTGTGTTGTGCTTCCCCTTCCTCGCCCCTCAAACTCGTAAACCTGGGTCCAATCCGTATGTGGCTTCCGTCCCTCCTTTCGCTCGCTCGCTGGCTGTCTTGAGCGCCTGCCCCTCTCCACAATCGCCGCTCTTGCCGCGGCGCCATTCATCCTTCGCAGCCCCGACCCTGGCGTTCAAGCTGGGCTGCTCTTCCGCATCCTCGCCCCCCCGTTTTTGGGTATTCATGCCACGTCCCTTGGCTCGGGCTCTCTTCCGCCTTGCCTCAGTCCTGGCGCCCGGCATCCGCATCCTGCTCAGCATTCATGCCGTGCCCTGCTCGCCGCTCTCCGCCGCATCGGAGCGCTCGTCTTCCGACCGTGTTGCTCCCACTGCCATCCCCATCTCGCTCTGCACGCCAGCCGCCCTGCGTGTGCTTTGCGCCGGCGTCGTCGCTGCAAGCTCGGGGCGTGCGTGAGTGCATGGGTGCCTGTGTCGGTGTGGATGCGACTGTGCCTCGTGTTCCTTGGCCGCGGTGCGCTCGTGCCTCGACGTTCCCTGCTCTCGGATCTTCGTTGGGAGCTGGTCGTCGGTCGTGCTTGCATGGTTGCCGCTTCGGCTACTTTTCATGGTCCTCCTCTTCATCCTCTCTCGCTACACCTCCTTGCTCCTCTTCTCTCCCCCACCACCCACCGCTGCTGCAACGCTGCGATCCATCTTCCTCTTTCCCATATATCCAACCACCCTCCTTCCCGACTCGACCCTGATACGACCTGATCCCTTTCTCCACTCACCACCAACACCGCTCGTTGCCAGCTCGTTGCCACCTCGTTGCCCGCTCGTTGCCCGCTCGTTGCCCGCTCGTTGCCCGCATCTCGACCGCCACCTTTCGTGGGCGCCCGTTGCCAGCTCAATTTCGGTTGCACCCTCCACCGACTTAGATCTACGCCACCATCCTCGCCGCCACCCGCATCACCATCTGCATCCACATCGCATCCTTCGCGCCGCGCCGTTTGCGTCGCACTCGGCCTCGTCCCGTGCGAGATCCAAGTGCCACTACGGCCGGAACAGCATCTCTCGGCCTCTCAGCTCGCCAAGACGTCTAGGTGTGGCAGCCCGAGCGGATAGTTGATTGCATGTCGGCGCCACCCCATTCGAGCTAGCCTGCATTGTTCCACTTGCCGCGTGCGCAGCTGCATCCCGCTTGGCGCTTATACCGCGGTCCCGTCGCTTGTGCATCGAGCAAAGTCCCCGGTCACCACCTCATCTTGCGCGCGCGCGCGCCGTGGCCGCTGCAGCCGACACCCGCCCGTAGCGCATCGCACCACTTCATCTCGCACAGCACCACCGACCACGCTGCCGCGAGCCGGCACGATCGCACCGTCTCCCCTGCAACCCACCTTTCTGCATCTCGCGCAGCAGTCTCCGATCGGCCCCACATCCCCGTTCGCACAGGAAGGTAAGCTCATATCCTCGGCCTCATCCCGACCCGCCCCAATGAAACGCCGAGGCACAGATGAAGACGCGGAGGTGGCTCGGCTCGCCGAGATGAACCAGGCGGCGTGAGCGTGAGCGCGCGGGCGTGTTTGCGGCCCCCGTGCACCACCACCACCACCACCACCACCCCTCGGCGTCTCGCGCTTCCTGCAAAGGCCACAAGCCTCTACGCCCGGCTCCCGAATCTGGCGCCCTCGATGCTCCTCCCTCAACTTCCGCTATTCCGCCGCATCTGCGGGTGCCTTTTCAATGCGCAGCACCAGCTGCCGCCTCTCTTTGTCCTCTTTCCCCTCCTGTCCGACGCTCATCTCCCCACGCCGCATACACGAGCAGCTCAACCTGCTGGCGACGTTCTGCTTCGCGGCGAGTCAGAGCTTTCGGCGTTTCCCGCTCGCCAACCTCTCCGCCCACCGCTGCTTGTCGGACCTCCGCACACCGCACTGGTTGCCGTGCTTCCCTTTCGAGACGACCAAGCATGCTCACTCTTACATTCTCGTAACACCGCTCCACCTTCTCTTGTCGCCAACAGGATCGCATCTTTCGTCATCGCTCGCCTCGGCGCATCCCAGCAAAGCTCAACTCGCTTCTTGACCGAGCTTCAACTCTGCTCTTCATTCGATCGGTAAGTAGGTTTCGGCAACCCCTTCCTGTCTCGGTTCGAGCTTGTTTGTTGGGCGTCGCCAGCACCCGCAGTCCCGTCGCCCATCTTAGCCCTGTGCCGGCGATCCTTCGGTCATCGCTCAAGGTTCACACGACTTCACCGGCCGGTGGATCTGCTTCTGTCATCCGGCCGCTTCGTGGCCCTCTGCCCTTTGGAGAGGCCATTGCTTCGCCAGTGATGCCGGCTACGTTCGCCCGAAGCGAGCTCCCCCTCATCATTCCGCGCAAGACCATGCACAAGCCCGTACCACTCGACGAATCGAGTGCAGCCTCGTTGCAACTTGCTCCTGTGGTTGCGCATTTGGCACCGGTTTCCAACCCTGGTCTGCACCATCGCCAGCACATCGCCAGTCAGCTTCGCAGACGTCGAGTCGCAGCGTTCCCGCTACTGTCGCCTCTGCTCGCTCAATTGGCCGATCGAATTGGACGGAGGTGTAGCCGTGCAGCCCCGCGGGTCAGTCGCGGCTCCAGGTTGACAGCAAAGCGTAGCGGCCATGCTGGGCCCTGACTGCTGCGCCAGCGTGTCTCGCTTAGTCGCCTCGACCTGCGCCCGGCTTTCATGCAATTTTCGTGGCGAAAAGTGGAGCAGCGACGCTTTAACTTTTTTTTTTTCGCCGAGAAAAAAAAAAAAAAAGACGAAACGTCCAATTTTCAAGGCACGGCGTCGACTTGGCCTCGACGCCTTAGCTCATGGTGCAAGACCACGGTGGCACCGTAGCCATGCATCATGGCGATGTTGTATTCAGTCGTTTCGTTGAGGTTGGCTTGACACGCACGGTGCTGGGCGCAGGTATCATGTCGACACTGTCTCGGCTTTCGACACAGCATGCGATGCGATACAGATGTCGGCGCATCCTCGACACAGGGAATCGGCGATCCGTAACGCGCTTCCAGAACGTCTTAAGCTCCACGTCGCCGGTCTTTGTGGCAACGCAGCGTCATCAGATGCCTTGAGCCTGCTGAGCTGCGCTTTGGCAGCAGCCTTCTTGGAGTTGTTCGCCAGCCTTACCGGGCAGTGGGGAGCACTCAAAGTTGGCCCCGCTACAAGGCCAAATCCGAGGCGGTGGGTCTAAGTGCAATCTTCGACCCTCTGCCCCACCCTTGTCGCGTGCAGGGAGCCACGCATTTCTCACGCTAGGCTTTACAGCCTCACGTCGTTGAGCATCGATGATGTGGGCCTTTCGCACCTGTCCACGGTCCACGGTCCACGGTCCGCGGCCTATGCCGTCGCTTAGAGGAGTCGACGCGTCGAGAGCCTATCGCTATGCGTCTTCGTCCTGGACCGCGCCGCGACGTGCTCCGCCGAGCCACTCCATCCGTGCGCGGCTGCATTTTCGTCTCCCAATGGTGTGATCGTCGCAGCGTTATCTAGCTCTACCTCGCGCTCAAGCTCAGCATTGCAGACAAGCATCTCCGAGGCATCGCTTTCGGGCTTTCTCCGAAGGATCATCGCACGTTGCTCTTCCGGCGATGCTGTCCATTCTCCTTGTCGTTCAGAGCTGCCAGCTACAGCTACAGCTCCAGTGCTCCAGTCCTCATGTCGTGCGTCGTGCGTCTGGCGTCCCATGACCATATCGATCTGGTCGCTCGCAACATGTTCGACATGGACTATGCACACCGGTGCCGGCGCGGCCAACACAAAACTCAGGCGCTCTGTGGCTCGGAATCTCACACCCTCACTTGTTGCACGATGCGTTGCGACGAGCTTGTACGCTGACTCCAGACTGCCTCTACCTCTTGCTCCTGTCATCCCTTGCTGCTTGCCTTTTTTCTTCTCTCCTCTCCGTACAGAGCCAAACATTATACCATCGTCGGAGAGGGCCGTTGTCGTCCTTCGACACATTCGCTGCACTGACCGCTCCAACCTGCGTGTCTCGCCCGGGCCGGACTCTCGGGGCAACACACTTCCGGTCGCACTTGCCTGCCAGAGACGAGACAGCACCACTCTGTGCGCCTGCGCGCTCGCTTTGCATCAAACCGCTCCGCTGTCGGGTAACCGAAGCAGTGCGGGAGCAACGCTCCAGGACATAAAGCGCAACCACTCCGCGCATCGACCGTCTTCCGTCCGGCGCACAGCCGACGAGCTTCAACATGTCGGTCCCATACTACACAAATACGGCTAGCGCTTCTAGCTCGCCCTACCGACCTGGCACTGCCGATGGATCGTGGGAGCAGGCCAAGCAGCCTGGCGTCGGCGAAGTCAGGCCCGATCTGTACGCCCAGCTACCGCCCAGCACCACCTCCTCCTCTCAGCTCCGCCCGGAGCCGCTGCAGACGGCTGCACAGCCCTCCATGCTCGGATCCCAGATGGGCGTCTACCTCGGCCCAAACGTCGTGACTCCACGCCAATCTGCGTTCCCCAGGGACCAGGTGGATGCTTCGACGCAATTCGCATCAGCCGGTAGCATGGATGCGTTTGGTCACGGCGCACCAGGTGCAATGTCCACCGACACACCGAGGGCCACGCACTTTGGCGTCAGCAGCGCGCTCGACGCCTCCAAGATGGGCATGGCCACACCATCGCATCCCTTCGACACTGCGTCCGGCTCCACATGGTCGACGATGCAGCCGCAAGCAGAGATGCCGTATCGAGGATACGCCTACCCGGTCCAGACGAGCGCAGGCTCGTGGTCTGCGCCCGGCGGCATGTCCATGTCGCAGAATGCCATCTACGACACCTCGTCGTCGTCGGCCAACACCAGTCCCAACCGCTCGCAGGCTTACTACGACATGTCGGGCGAACATCACTTTGACCACGGCGGCTATGCCTCGCACATGGGCGCCGCGCCTGCCTACCCCATGTACGCCGCCTCCTCGTCCAAGTTCGGCAGCGCCAGCGCATACGCCGCCGCCGCCGCCCAGCCAGAGTACCAGCCCGAGGAGATCGACAGCATGCTCGGCCAGGTCTCGACGCTCTACAAGACGGCTAACACCAAGAAGATGGCCGAATTCTACCGCGACAAGTGGGCTCGCATGTGGTACGTATCCGGCCTCGCTCACTTTCTTTGCACGCTCCCCTCTGACGCCAAAAACTTTTCTTTCCATTCTTTTCATGCGCAACAGGCTGACGTGCAACTACACCTTAAAGCCGTCGATCCAGATCTCGATACCGCGCACGATCCTGCACGAGTCGTATCGCCGCGCGTGCGACGCCTTTGGCCTGGAGCCGCTTCAGGCAGCGTCGTTCGGCAAGGTGCTTCGTAGCCAGTTCCCCGACGTGGCGCAGCGCAGGCTCGGCGGTCGCGGCAAGACGCGCTTCCACTACTGCGGCTTTGGAACGTCCAACGAGCGCGAGGCGATCAAGGTCAAGTCGCTGCTCGAAGACGAGAAGGCGGGCAAGCTGCAGCTGAGCGCCGGGCTGAGTGCCGAGTACGCCTCCGAGGCTCGCGCCAAGGCGCGCTCCGAGGGGCAGGATAGCGAGACTTCGTACCGTTCGCAACGCTCGGCCGAGGCGTCGCCCGGCGAAGGCCACACGAACGCGGGCCGTGCGCTCAAGCACGAGCATTCGCCGCACGCCTCGTCGGACGGCAGTGCGCTCGGCACCACCGGCATGGGCACCGACAACCGGCTCATCGCCTCGGCATTTGCGACGCTCAACAGCGCCATACTCACACCTCCCGGCACGAGCTCGGGTGCTGGCTATGCGGGGCAGGACGCTTTGCGTTTCTCGACGCAGGCGCAACCGCTTTCGCAGGGCCAGGCAGAGGCCGCCGCCTCGAGCAGCACGACCGGATTCATGCCCAGAAGGCACACGGTCTCGCACTCCTACTCGGGCTTCAGCGATCTCGGCTTTGCGCCCTCGGCGCACGCGTCGAGCGAAGCGGGCGATGCGGCCGGTCTGCCCTCGAGCGAAGTGTCGAGCTTTGGCGTCGGGGCGGTGTCGGGCATTGCGGAGCCGGCGCAGTCGGGGTCGCTGCTCAACAGCCCGGCGTCGTCGCTGCATGGCTACCAGTACATCCAGGATCCGCGGCACATGCCGAGCTCGATGCCATTCCGGCGCTCGTGCCAGGATCTGCCGGACTGGCCGACGGTGGGTGGCGAGGCGGGCGCGGGCTCGGCCTACGGAACGTCGACGCCCGCGGCGGCGTCGGGAGGCGCTTCGGCTGGCAACGCAAGTCTGCCGGCGGAGTCGCGAAAGGCTTGGCGTGAGTACGAGTCCCTCTGTCAGGCACTGCTCTACTCGATCTACCTCGGTCCTGACCCTGTCTCGTTTGAACAGCGAACCACTTTGTTCTGGACTAGCCTGAGCGCGGCGACGCGCGAGGCGCTGCACGCGGACGCGATGCTGCAGGGCATGGTGCTGCGCGCCGACGGCATCATCTTTCGGCAGCTGCTCAACAAGCTCGACGGCATGATTGGCGACGATGTGGCCGACGAGCGCATGCCGGCGCTGCGGAGTCTGGCCAGGATGCTTGCGGAGCGCATGGCGGAGCTGGTGCGCGATGCGCTGCCCGAGGCGTGCGCGACGACCAAGGTGCAAGCATCGCAGAGGATGGGCGAGAGCCTCGAGCGCGTCATCAAGATCTTTGAGGCGGTGCGCACGTTTCGCGAAGAGTCGATGCTCGACGTGGGTGGCGACTGCGATGCGGACGCGGCGCACGCATGGTGGGCAGGCAACGCTGGGGCTGGCTCGAGTGGTGGCCCGCGCGGGCTGGGGCTGGCTGGGGTCGTGCGAGGCAACCGTTCGCGGTCCGGCACGCAGAGTTCGCTCGGAAGCATGGCGGGACCGCTGGCGAACCTGCAGCTGCGCCGACGCGATACGAGTGTGGGTAGCAGCCTGTCGGACTCGCAGCATGCGTGGACGGGCAGCGAGCAGCGCGCGTCGTCGTCGGCGTCCGAGAGCGAGGTGTCGTCGACCCAGTCGGCCGATCTGGGCGCCATGCCCAACAGCCTGTATGCGCCGCTGGCACGCAAACCGACGTCCGCCGGCGGACTGCGCGCGCGCGTGGCCTCCCATCCGGCACCTGAGAGCAGTTCCAATACTACAATGGCGCTGGCGAGCTCGCTCGCGGCTGCCATGCCGGCATCCTCGCCGCAGCACTTTGCCACGCCGAGCGCGCCCAACTCGCGCCCCACCACCGCCTCCACCTCCGCTCCCCCGCCGCCGCTCGACTGGCGCGACCACCCGATGTCCTAGTCTCTCCACCACAACTCTCTTTTTCAGTATCCGTTTCTCTCTCAATCCCCTCCTTGTCTCCACTCCTCTGAGCCGCGCTACGTGGCTCAGAATCGCATACACGATCTTCCCCCCTTCCAGTCTGCTTATCCCCCCAATGTTTTCACCAGTCTCTTCTTGTCGCATGGTCATTCCTGCTTCGTAGCTGGGGTTTTCACATCGCAATGGCATCGCTTTTTTGGTTCACTGCCGTCGAGTGTGAGTGTACTTGCGATTGGCGCAGACATGCAGCCGAGGCCGGGGGAGAGGTCATTCTGCTTTCGCAAGTGGTAGTGCGCGCAGAGGCATCGTTTCTTGACGTCTCTCTAACGTATGCGTGAGCCGGTGACTGCAGAGGCTGCGGACGATTGCATAGGGTCGGAGTACCTCCGACACCGTCGTAGTTACAAGTCACTCGCTGAAAGTGTCATGCTGTTTATGAGATGGTGTAGCCTTGAAATCAATGTCGACCGGACCTCTTGACAGCTTGAGCACGAAAGCGACCCACAGCTTTCGTTGCACTTGGAGGGCTGACATCTTGTGCTGGTACGACTCATAGATGGGCAGGGCGTCGGAAAGTACACCCTCGCCCGCTTCGTCTTGGACAATCACGCCGCCTTGCTTTGATGCCAGGCAAGTGAGCTTGCATTCGGCGCAGATACGGAGCTGATCACCTGGGCATGCGGTTGTAGATGCTGCAATCGCAACCAAATGGCTGTGTTCTCATTCTCCAGCCGGCGCAACTCGACACGGTCCTGACAGCGATTCGTGTGAGCTGCAGATGGCATCGGTTGAAATTCCTTTGGCAAGCGTCTTGCTCGGCGACGCGTCGATCCAGGCGTGAAAGTGCAGGGGTCGGCAAGGTCGCCGCACAAAGTCGTCCGAGCGGCGGCAGTGCCGGTGTCAAGGGCACAGGAAAGGAGCACGGCCCAGGGCCAATGCACACAAGACCGTCCGTGGTTGGGGCTCGTGCTAGGTGCGGACCCACGCAAAGGGCGTAAGTGTCCTCCTCAGAAACTCGCTCTTGGCGTGGCTGAGGCAAAGCTAGCCCACACCACCCCACTCCTTGGTAGCATTGTGGGGCTTGACGTCCATCTGGTTCAGGCGGCTTTGATCGACTCTTTCCTCCATTCACAAGCCCTTTTCGGGACCCACCATGCTGGGTCTCAGGCTAGGGCTTGCACATCAACCTATGGATCGACGCCCAGCTCAGCTGTGTCACGGATGATACCCAGGTTTGTGGCACATGCACCTCAGCACAGCCATCTCACACACTCCGTGCTCGTGTCGGTGAAAATTGGTCTCTGCATTCCGTGGCGCACGTTCTAACGCTTGACCCAGGTAAACGCCTTTCTCGCCTTTGCGAGGCCGGTCTTCTTTCGCTCGACCATCCTGGGGTCTCTCTTGAGCACGCCGTCCTTGGCGAGCACGTCCCTTGCGTACTTCTTGAGCTTGATGCCTTGGTCGAACTCGAGGCCGTGTGCGGTTTCGGCGACGATGGCATTCGCGACGGCATGGGCAATTGCCCCCGCTTGGCCGCTCTTGCCGCCACCGCGTGCGAGCGCAAACACATTGTACGTTCCCAGTGTCGAGGTGAGTTTGAGTGGCCATGTGACGGTTTCGCGCTCGGCGGTGCGCGTAAAGTAGTCGGCAATGGGCATGTTGTTGACGAGGATCTGGCCGAGCGTGTCGGGCTTGGCACGGATGAGCCATGCCTGTGCCGAGCTCTCCTTGCGCCGTCCGCGCGAGTAGGCGCGACCTTGACGGTCCACCTTGCGCTCCGACGCCGTCCACAGCGCGCGGTCCGCATCCTTCTCGGCAAGCAGGTTGTTTGTCTTGGCGTTCTCGTTCATGAATCGCTCGAGCGTCGTGTGGAATCGCTGGATGACATTGTCGCCGCCCAGAACGTGGTGCAATTCGGGACGCGACTCGAGCTGCGTGACGAGCGAGGCGTAGCGCGCAAGCAGGCTGAGGCGCGAGACGATCTGACGGTACTGTGCGGCCTTGAGGTTGGTGTTGAGTACAAGCTGGAGCTGCTCTGTGCTCACCCACAGGTTGGCGCGCGACGCCGAGGCGCCCGTCGATGCCAGCGAGGGTGGGGCGGCGTTGGGCGCAATGAGGTGCGCCTGCTCGAGCGCGCGCTTTGTCTGGCGTGTGAGCTCCTCGAGCTCGAGCAGCGTGTCGATATACGCCGGGCGGCCGGTGAAGTAGGCGGGCGAGGTGGGCTTGAGCCGCGACGGCAGCGGCGCCACCGGCGGCAGACGTGGAACACGCGAGCGCTCGTACGACGATGCTCCCGAGGACGAGGTGGACGCATGGCGCACGGCGACCGATGAAGCGGCGGATGTGGATGCGCCTGTCGAAGAGAGCGTGAGCGCACGCAGCCCAGTGGCCAATGTTCGTGTTGCCGACATTGTTGCCGACATGGTTGAAGCGAGGTGGTGGTGGTGGTGGTGATTCGGTGGTGAGCAGCCGGGTTCACGCAAGAAGAAAAGTGGGCTCCGCTTTCTTCCCTTCTGCCCGGCATCACGTGACTCGGTCTTTCTCTCGATCGAATCATTTTTTTTGCTCATCAATTGGTATATTCAGAAGTCTAACATATGTTCTTTTCGCGCACCGGCCAAATGTGGAGTTCCGACTCAGAAGCATCACCTTGGACTCGCAACACCATCTCGACACTCTCCCTCGCCGCGCTGGTGATCGCTGCGACCACGCACGCAAAATGTCGGTCACGCTCGCATCCAATGGCGCACCTTCAGGCGCTTCGATCACAAACCATATCCTGACCATCCCACACGCCCAATTCACGCACTTTCTCACACAAGTCATCCATCTGCGCTCGGCATCGTCGAGCAGCCTGTTTGTGCACTGCACCTCGGTGTCGCCACTGCACGCACGTACGCTACTCGCAGGCCACGCGCAAGAGTCTGCAGTGTCAGGAGTGCTTGGTGCCGACTTTGCGCTGGCCATGGTCCCGCCCAACGCACAGCCACTCGCAACCTCGGTCTCGTCCAGTCTACCAGCGGCCAGCGCAGGCATGAGTGCAGCTTGGTCCAAACGCATCGCTCGTAGGCTGGAGATCCCGCAACTGCTGCTGTCGTTAGATCTACCGCAGCAGCTGCTTGCCACCACAGGCCAGGTCCAGGCTCCACAGGACTCGCATGCCCTGCTGGCTCTCGAACGCGCCCTGCGAGATGCTTGCGCTTCCGCGCTCACCTCGGCGTCATAGTCATACGCCTCAGTCTCAAACTGCCGCATCCAACCGCTGCCCACAGCTCAAGCACTCACTGCGCGGGCGGTGGCATGCGCTATCAACTCTTTCCTCCACCACGAGGCCGGCTGCCCCCGCACACGCTGACATCCGACGGGCTCAACCCACCGTCTCCGGAACCTGCAACAGGCCCGTACAGCCACAGAGAAGCTTCTGACGCCTGGCTGTTCTGCGTCGCGCGCAATGCCCAGGCTCATAGTGCCACACAGTACCGCCAACACCAACGAGGGTCGAGCGTTGAGGTATCAGTGGCGTGCAGGTTGCGCCACTTGCACCACCATACCGAGCCCTGCTCTTGCGCGCCGTCATCGTCCTCATAGACACGCAATACCAACACCTGTCCCAGATGCGAGTCGGGCTGTCGACAATTGACTGGTTGGAATGCAGCCATGTTTGAGGCGACAAGATCGACAAGTGCGTCTTGCTTGATAATTCCCATTCGGCTGGATGCCTTGAGCTCGCACCTCGGTCCTCACGATCATCGCAGAAAAACATCGCTTCTTGATGGAGAAAGTGGCGGTCGAAACCGCACTACGGTCGACCTCGTCTGACGATCAACTCACACCATCTCAAGCAAGTCGTCGAGGTTGGGCACAAAGATAGCTTTGGCGTGCAAAGGGCGCTATCGACTTACCCTCTGCTGGCACTAGAACGCGCCCGCGCCCTCATCTCGGGCTTCATAGACACACAATGCCATGGTGTTTGTGCGCTTGCGTTCGTGGGTTGAACCAGACCAGTTTCAAAGCCGTGATCGTGCCAACGCACTTGCGCCAGGTCCAAATTCGTAATATCCATGTCCGGCGGGCATAGGCGACGTTGACTGCCGCCTCAATCTACACAGCAAGAGGTGGGTCTGTCGAGAGGAACTGGCTTTGCCCGTCCTCTGCTTTGCAAGATGGCTCCACTACGGCGCTCTCTGCTGGCTCTGCAACAGCCTCACCTCGGTCTCATAGCCACACGAGATACCAAGATCCCTTCATAGAGTCGTCGTTGGTGGTGTCAAATGGTTTGCATGGCGAGCATCCCGACCTCATAAACACACAACACCAGCATGGTTCGAGCCTGACGGGTTGAGCGTATTTGCGACGCTCGCGTGGCCACGACGAGTACAGTAGTCCGAGCCAATCTTCACCAAGGTGTCAGTACCTTCGTGTGATGGCGACGAGCCAAGATTCACACTGTGAGATGGTGCAATACCAGTCTCAGCCGATCCACCTCGTCCCAGAAGGTACCCGACCGGCATCGGTGGTTTCGAACGGCACCATGGCGCTTGCCTTGGCCTCACAAATGCACATACGCCAAAATATCGACATCTTTTGAGCACAAAGATGCGGGCTCTGGAACGGCCTCACCTCGGCCTCGGCATCATAGACACACAATTCAAACATTCGGTCTGAGCATAAAGGTAGTATTGCCAGGTGGTGACATTACAGACCCCCGAATCCGCCCATCATGCCCCCGCCACCGCCGCCACTTCCATCGGGGCAGTGCGTGTGCCTCGACTGTTGCTGATGGAGCGGTAGTTGCTGCAGGAGATGCTCGACAACACAAAGCCAGCATTGTTTTGAGCATGACGATAGCATTCTGCGGGCAGCATGCAAGTTGGGGGTGGCGCTGTTACAGCCCTCCGAGTCCGCGCATCGTACCAAGTCCGGCAGCGCCATCTGCACCGACACTGCTGCCATCGTGCTGGTGTCAGAGGGTGCTCTGAAGAATGCGTGCGCTTTCGCGCCCATCTTGGCCTCACTGAACGTCCAAATTCATTCATCATACCAAGCCATGCGCCTCCTCCACCGCCACTGCTCGCATCGCGGCGTTCCATCTCGCGCCTGCAGCTTTGCCGCATTCTGCAGTTGCTTGCTGAAGCAGCGGCAACGGCTGCAGGAACTGCACATCATGCGTTTCGTCTCAGCAGAAAGATATGATAGGTAGGCGGCGCTGTTACGGTCCTCCGAATCCGCGCATCATGCCGCCACTGCCACTGCTTGCATCACAACGCTGCTTGTCTCTGGCCTGCAACTGTGCGGCGTACTGCTGTTGCTGGTGGAGCGGGAGTTGCTGCAGGAACATGACCTCATCGACATCCAATACCAATATTTGTCGGAGCATGAGAATGGCATTGACAGTTGGCGCTGTCCCAGGCCCTGCGCCTCTCTCATCACCAGTACTCCCATTGCGATGCTTGTATCCTGCAACTGCAGCTGTTGCTGATGGAGCGACAGTGGCTGCAGGAGATGCTCGACCCACAATACCAACCTCGTTTCTCCTGAGCGTGAAGATAGCATGTTGGCGTGCCGGTGAACTCCATGCTAGTACAGCCCCCCAAAACCGTGCCACTGCTTGCATCACGACGCCACTCGTCCCTTGCCTGAAGCTGTGCGGCGCACTGCTGTCGATGATGGCGCGGCAGTTGCTGCAGGAACATCTCATCATGCACACAACAACCGTTTTGAGCATAAAGATAGCATTGGCGTGCAGGTGGCACCATTGCATCACTCTCCGCGGGCAATAACCTCTTTGGCATCAGTATGCGTCGTTGTGCTCACTCATATGCGTCGCCTTCATTTGTGGGTCCACCACTTGCACAGAACAACCTCGTGGCTGCATTCGATCAAACTCGTCGCTACCGTATGAACCAATTGCATTGAGACTGAGGATTTTCGAGGATCCGCTCAGCTTGTGCACTCAGCTGCTTGCCATGCCTTCTTGGTCAGAATCACGCCGTAGTCCATCAACAGACAGCCTCTGGTCACTTGACGCGGCCTTTACAGCATCTTGAGTCATTAGAGCATACCCCTGATGCAGGAAAGGATCGTGCACAGGTGTGATGTGTGACAAGCGAGAGGTGATGGTGGTTGTGAGGTAAGGTGCAAAGCGGGCAGTCTAGATGTTGACGAGTGGCAGAGCGACGAGGTTGATCTAGTGCATGCACACCTCGCAAATGAAGGCGACGCATATGGGTGAGCACAACGACGCATACTAAAGCCAAAGAGGGTTAGAAAGCGACCGCCGTCACGTCACCCTCACAGATCGACTCAACCAGCGTCCGTCAGAGCACCCCCATAGCATGGACATACAGCGCTCTCTGTTGGCGCGACGACGACGGCATCAGACCCGTCCTCTACCTCGGCTTCGACGGCATGGTCAGCCTGGCTGCCGAGTGGGAGGCGTGCGAGATTGTCGGCTTTGTCACCGGCCAACTCGGCCTAGTCGCTCTCGCAGCTCAGTCGGTGTTGCTCGTCAGCTCTCGGTGACGTACCAGCTTCCCTTTGGCACTAGAACGGATCTGACTTCATAATCTACTTCGTGGTCACACAATACCAACGATCGGCCTGAGCGTAAAGATAGGATTGGCAGGTGGTGTGATCTACAGCCCCCCAAAACCGCACATCATGCCGCCGCCACCGCCACCACTTGCATCGCGGCGCTGCTTGTCTCTGGGCTGCAGCTGTGCGGCGTACGGCTGTCGATAATGGCGCGGCAATTGCTGCAGCTGCTCCTCACGCACACACGTCACCAACATGGGCTGAGCATAAAGATAGAATTGGCAGGTGGGCGCTATTACAGCCCCCCGAATCCGCCCATCATGCCGCCGCCGCCACCATCACTTGCATCGCGGCGCTGCTTATCTCTCGCGTCTGCAACTGCAGCTGTCGATGATGGCGCGGCGATTGCTGCAGCTGCTCCTCACGCACACACGTCACCAACAAAGGCTGAGCATAAAGATAGGATTGGCAAATGATGCAATTACAGCCCCCCGAATCCGCCCATCATGCCACCGCCACTGCCATCACTTGCATCGCGGCGCTGCTTATCTCTCGCGTCTGCAACTGCAGCTGTCGATGATGGCGCGGCGATTGCTGCAGCTGCTCCTCACGCACACACGTCACCAACAAAGGCTGAGCATAAAGATAGGATTGGCAAATGATGCAATTACAGCCCCCCGAATCCGCCCATCATGCCACCGCCACTGCCACCACTTGCATCGCGGCGCTGCTTGTCTCTGGGCTGCAGCTGTGCGGCGTACTGCTGTTGCTGGTGGAGCGGGAGTTGCTGCAAGAAGTGCTGTTGCTGGTTGGACTGCATCGCTCCGTGGTCGCGGTCCTGGATGCGCACGGGCGTTAGCGATGGAGGCAACAGATTCGCCATGCCCGCATCGTAAATATCAAACGGCAGCGTGTTGGCATTCCCCCCACCACCGCTGCTGTGCGAGGTGGACATGGATGTTCCGCCGTTGAGTCCCGACATGCCATACCCGAGACCCGGTGACGAACCTCCGCCCATAAGATGGCCACTGCTGCCTTGGTAACGACCCGCTGCACTCGAACCGGACGCAGAACCGTACGCTGCGGGAGGCTGCGTAATGCCCGAGCTCGACAAACCACCCAGACTGTTGTTGCTGCCATCCTTGCGTGGCTGTCCCAGCCGATCCTGCGATCCATCCACCACGACCGAAAACGAGCTGCCGCCTCCGCCTCCGCCTCCGCCGCTCGTCTTTCCAACCATGTTTGCATCCCAGCCTCCGCCGAGCTCGGCCTGCTGCTGCAGCAGATCGAGTTGCTGGTAGTTGGCCGCACTCTGTCGACGCTGCTTGCTCGACGTCGCCGCCGATGAGGGCGCCAGCCCGTTCTGCCGCCGCTCCCACTCGCGCAGCGGATCGTCGCGATTCACCATGGACGCCATGTTCTGCGCGCCCGCCATGCTCGCATCCAGTCCAAGCTTGGCAAGCTGCGGTGGGATCATGCTCAGCCGCTGGTCCGACCGCTGCTGCCTCGACGCGCCGTCGTCGGCCGACTGCGCATCGTAGTACGCCGAAGGCGGCACCGCCATCGAATGTCGCATGTTGTACGACTGCTGCTGCTGCTGCTGCTGTTGTTGCTGGTGCATCTGGGCCAGTTGCGCCGCCTGCGCCTTGGCCTGCGCTTTGGCTTCGGCCGCCGCCTGTGCGTTGGCTGCATCTTCGCGTGCGTACGGATTGTTAATAAGCGGCTGCGCCTGCTGACGCGCCGCTGCCGAGTGGTACGCCTGCTGCTGTGCCAGATGCTGGTTGTACGCCGCCGCGTCCTGGAAATTCTTGTTCGAGGGCCGCGACGAGCTCTGCTGCGCGCCCACCAGTCCACCGTACGGATGCTTGGCCGCATCGGACGTCTTGGGCCGCGACGAGGAGGACGAGCTGGCGCCGCCGGTGCTCGCTACGCTGGTCGGGATCAATGGAGGCCGGAAGGGCTTGGAGAACTTTTCGCCCGTGATGAAGGGATGCAGCTTGGCCTGTTGGGGCGTCCAGCGCTCGTGCGGATTCATGTTGAGGAGGCCGGTGACAAAGTCGATGAAGCTGCTGCGGTTGGCCATCTCCTTTTGCACGTCGGCCGACTTGCCGCTCTTGCGAGCCATTGGATAGGTCTTGACAATGTCGGACAGCGTCGTGGCCTTAAAGTACTTTTTGGAGGGCTGCTCTTGGACGTTGTGCTCCTTGGAGTACTGGTCGATCGACTTGAGGCGGTAGCTCTTGCGGCCGTACTCGTCGGTAAAGACGGCGAAGAACTCCTGGGTCTGCTTGCCGTTGTCGAGCATCCACTGCGGAGGCAGGCCAAACATGTCGACGATGCGGCAGATCTGGTTGTACTCGCTGGTGCCCGGGAAGAGGGGTAAGCCGAGGAAGAGCTCCACGGCGATGCAGCCGAGCGACCACATGTCGATGGCCGAGTTGTAGGGCAAGCCCAAGAGCACCTCGGGGGAGCGGTAGAAGCGCGACTGGATGTAGGTGTAGACGGTCTGCTTTTCGTGGCAGGCGGAGCCAAAGTCGACGAGCTTGATGGAGGGCGTCTGGAGCGTCTTGAGTAGGATGTTTTCGGGCTTGAGATCGCAGTGGATGAGGCGCGCCTCGTTGAGCACGGTGAGAGCGTCGAGGAGCTGTGCGGTGAAGACGCGTACGAGGCTGGTGCTGAGGCCCTGGAAGGAGTTTTGCTTGATGAGCTCGTAGAGGTTGGAGGAGAGGAGCTCGAGGACGAGGCAGAGGTGCTTTGCGTGGATAAAGGTGTCCTTGAGACGCAGGATGTGGTGCTCGTCGTTGGGATCCCAGTTGCCGTTGAGCATCTCGAGCACGGTGACCTCCATCATGCTCTGGTTGAAGTAGGCGGGCTTGTTCTTGATGACCTTGACGGCGACGATCTCGTGGGTGGTCATGTCCTGGCATTTGACGACCTGGCCAAAGGTGCCCTGGCCGAGGATGTCGAGGATGAGGTACTTGTGACCCTCTTCGGTGCCGAGCCAGTCGTTTACGTAGAGGATGTAGTCGCTGTCCTCGTTGTCGCGGCCGTCGTTCTGTACGGGCTTGCCCTTTGTGAGGACGCGTCTTGGGTTGAAGCTGAGCTCGTAGAAGAAGGCGGGGTTGACGAGGTGGTAGGTGTGATGGAGATAGGCGGTCAAGGCTTTGAGCGGGCTCACGAAACCGCCTGCGGGATCGGCGCGTCTTGTTGTGGCTCGTGCCGCGGCGGTGGCTGCGGAGCCGTCGGAAAGGGCGGCTGCGCCGGAAGCGGCTGCGGTGCTCTTGTGGATGATGGGACGCAGGTCGTCAAAGTCGCGCACGCGACGGAAGCCCTGATTGCGACGTGAGGAGCGGGCGGAAGCGGCGGCGGCGGCGGCGGCGGCGTCGGCGCGTCTGTTGGAGGAGGAGGAAGTTCTGGAGTTGTCGGAAGCGGTGGTCATCATGCCGGCCGAGGGGCCGAGGCCAAGACCGTGGTGTGCGTAGGCAGAGGCGTCGGAGTAGACGGACGAGTTGCGCGGTGCATTGTCTCTGGAGGAGGAGTCGAGGATCATGCTGTTGCGGCCTGCTTGTGCGGCGGCAGAGGAAGGCAAGAGACCGGCGGATGGTTGATTTGAGGGGGAGCGGGGTGCGGCCGATGCGGCTTGCATGTTGCGCGCGCTGCTAGCTGCGTACTGGTTGGCATGGCTGGACTGATAGGCGTAGGGCAAGGAGTCGGAGAGGTCGCCGAGGCCCGAGTTGGAGCCGAGGCCCGAGTTGGAGCCGAGGTGGTGGTGGTGGAGATGTTGAGGCGAAGTGGGAGTGTCGCGTGGCGAGCTGACGTCCATGAGGTTGGCAGGGTCGTGCTTGGTGGGGTTGGGTGTGGTGTTGGAGAAGCGAAAGCGACTCGAGGCGGAGGAGTTGGGGCTGTAGGGATTTGTGTTGGGAGCGTCGCGTGCCGAGGAGGAGCCGGTTGAGGTATCCATGGCGTTGGAGGAGCGGCGGCTGCTGGTGGAGTTGGAGTAAGGACTGGTGAGCATCTGGGGTGCGGGAAGCAGGCTCATGGGATGAGAGGAGGCGGAGGATAGAGGCGGCAGTCCAGAGTAGGAGATTTGCGGGGAGGTCGCGGAAGAGTTGGTTGCGGCAGCAGCAGCAGCAGCAGCCGTGTTTGCGGCGGGAGTAGTGGAGCTGATGAAGCTGCTGTTGCGCATGCCTGAGGGCGAGAGGGAGGAGAGATAGGAGCCGGAGCTGCCGCTGCCGTTGCTGCCATGACCGGAAGAGAGTGCGCCGGAGTGTGCGGAGAGGTACATGGCTGAGCCGTGATTTGCGAGGTTGGAGGCGGATCTGGACCGGCTCGGATGGGAGGAGTGACCCATGGAGAGGGATCTGCCGAGGCCGTCGTTGCGGTGTGGGGCAGCTTGTGCGGCAGCTTGTGCGGCGTGGTGATCGTGCTGCAGGTGTTGATGCTGGTTCTGGATGTCGAACGAGTAGCGCTCGGAAGACTGGTTGGGATCCGCAAGGGTGTAGTTGGCAGCGGCGTGGCTGTTGTGGAGACGCGGCGAGGTGTAGGTGGCGGTGCCGAGGCTGTTTGGGCTCTGGACGAACTTGTTGTTGTTGCTGTTGTTGTTGGAAGTATGTCCGTGCGAGGAGTGCGGGGATCGCATGGAAGACGGGCTGGGAGGATAGGCGGGGTTGGAGTATTGCGCGGATTGGTGCTGTGCGTTGATGAGGTCGAGGCCAGACATGTTGATGCCGACGTGCGGGTCGTTGTGGAGGGGCAGCGAAGAGACGTCGTCTGCGCCAAAGAAGGCGCCCGAATGGCGCGACATGGTGGCAGAGCGGACTGAGCCGATCGGGCCGGTCAGAAGCGAGGGACTGCGGCGAGTGTGTGGATCATGCGCCAGGCCAAGGAGCGAATGGGGTGAGCTGCTATCCACGGTGCGAGTGGATGAGGTGCAGTAGCGTCGTGCACTGCGGACGGTAGCCAGCGGGGTGCTTGGAAGGCAACAAGGAGGATGAGGGAAAGAAGGAGCACACCGGGCGATGTGCGATGCCCAACCTTTTGGCCGAGCGAGCGCTGCCGAGTGGAGTCTCTCTCTCTGTCTCTCTCCCGCTCTGGTGCCTCAGCCAGCCAAAAAAAAGAGAGACGGAATGCATGGACCGCGCGCCTTTAACTGACGGCCACGCCCCGACGGCCACGCTCGGCTCTCACTGTGCAGCTGCCCTGTGCGGTGCGGTGCGGTGCTGTTGCTGTGCAGTCGCGCGTTTCTTTTTGGAAATTTAATCAAAATGTGCACTCGCCGGGTGCCAACAAACACTTAAACAACCAAACCAACCACGCCCAGCCCGACAAGGCACACTCCAACAGCCCCCTTTCACTCTCTTCGCGAGCTGTCGGTGCTATGCTTTCTTGAATGGTATAGGCAATGGTATCGATGCTGTCTACAAACTGGTCATGAGCGATCACGCCTCTCCCAAATCCAGCTCGAGAGCGGCTAGGTCGTCCTCGTCCTCGTCGATTTTGCGCAGCGCCGCCTCGGTCTGCTTGCCCAGCTCGTCGTCGACAAAGTCGATCAGCTTGGGATTGAGCACCATCTTGGAGGCCGGCGCTGCCACTTTCGCGCTTTTGGTTCGAGCCGCTGAAAGCCCCGTAGAGCTTGACGACGCTTTGGCAGCAGCGCCACCAACTCCTGGTCGGCGTGTCGCGCTCTGGTTGGCAGCAGGCGCGATCGATCGCTGCAGCCCACGTGCAGGCTGCGCAGCTCCCTTGGCGAGCGTCGTGGTGCTTCTAGCCCCGCTCATCGTCGGCCTTGCCCTTGCACTGCCACCAACGCTCGAACGCACACCAGCGGCCGTACTGCCAACGCTTGGCGCGCTTGCTTTGGCAGCTATCTTTCGAGGTGCAGCGTCCACCGCCACAGCCACAGCTACGTTCGGCCACGGATCGTCGTCGTCGTCGTCATCGTCGCTGGCCGCTGCCGCACCGCGTGCCACCGTCAGCTCGCCGTCGATGGATTGCATGGGCGACAACTCGACGTCGCTTACGTCCCCTGGCCCAACCTCGCTAAACGCCATGGCGGTGAACGACGCCAGCTGCGCACCGAGCTGCTTGGCGCGCGGAAGATCGTCGAGCTCGTCCGGAAACTCGAACACCGGATGCTTGGCGTACACGCTCGGAGGCATGTATTCGATCTCGGGATACATCTCCTCCTCGCTCATCTGCACCGCAGGCGCTTCCTCCACCGCTGCCACCGCGCCATCCGCCTTGTTGAGCGACAGTCCCATCTCGGCGTCGAGCATCTCGCCCATGCGCGCCTTGATCTGTCCCGCACGCCCCACGTTGGCCGCCGGCGTGATAAAGCTGTTCTGGCGGCTCATCGTCCTCGCCTTGCCGTTGAGTTGCGTCGGTGCGGGCGTTTTCGGGTCGGCTGCCAGCTGTCGCTGCTTGCCGTTGAGCGATCTCAGCGCATTCGATGTGGTCGCCTTGCGTGGACTCTGCTCCGAGCCGCCCTTCTTGGTGGGTGATGTCGAGTCTTGCTTGCTCGCCGAAGCGTTCTTGTCCTTGCGAATGGATGCACCCGGCTTGCCTCCAGCCAGTCGCGAAGGTCCTGGCGTCTTGAGTGCGTTGCGGTCTCCCAGAGCCTTGACGGGCGATTTCGAGTCCTGGAAGAGCTGCTTCGCATTCGCAGCTCCCTCTTGGCCAAACAGCTTGGATGATGGTCCCATGGCGCGCTTGCCCGTCGTCATGTTCTTTCGCGTTGGCGACGCATGCAGCCGCGATGGTCCCGGTGTGCGCGTCTGGCCTGCAAACGCCTGATTCTCCGACAGCACAAAGCCGCCGCGTGAATGCATCATGGCGGTGGGCCTCCAACGGATGGATCTATGGAGATGTACCTGCAGTCGGGATGTGTGAGCGCGATACGAATGGATGTTGAGATGCTGCTTTTATGGCTAGATCGAAGTAGGGGGAAAAGCGAGAAGGTGGTGGTCAACGGCCAAGGTGTCGAGTGGAGAGTGGATTCCGTAGGCCGCTGCATTTCGCGCCAATTTTGCGCTCACTCCACTCCACTCGACTCCACCAAAAGAGCCCCACCGCCGCCCTCACCTTGCCACCGCACCTCGTCTCGCGTCGGTGGCGCATGACATCACGTGACTTCCGGCGCCGCTACGATATTCACCGAGCAGGTGGCCGCGCTTGGTCATTAAGCTTTGGTGCCCCCACCCGGCGACCAAAGCGGCTCACTTGGATCCTCTCTCTCGTCTGCAGTGTTAGGCTGGAGAGTACAGTAGAGGGCTGGGCTTGCATCGGATCGGCCTTGCTCCGTATGACTTGGACGAGGGGCGTGGGAGTGTGACTTGCGACTTGTGACTTGTGACTTGGGGCTATGGGACTGTGAAATGCAGGGTCGCATGCCAGCCGAGTCGCCCAGAGTTGGATGGCTGCCGATGGTCCGCGCGCGCTTTTTTGGCCTATCGCGACTTGGCTTGGGCCGGCAGCAGCTGCACACGGCGACACGGCGGTGCGGCGGCGCCGACTTGGCAGTGTGGAGCCGGCCAAAATCATGAATCATTGCTCTATCGGCTCAACCGACTGCAACTCTCTCCCTCGCGCTCGACGACCATCTCTGCCACTCGCAATCATCACACGCCTCCAACCCATCGACCCAGCGGTCTGCTCCGGCTCGAGTCGGATCCTCCGTGTGGCCGCTTCTCACGCCTCGATAGCGCTCGCTGGATGCCGTCGCATTACGATCCCAGCCTGCAACGCCGCACCTCTTCCACCTCGCATCCATCCATCTCGCCATCCTCGGCCACCAGCGACGCTCCCTCCCACCAGCAGCAGCAGCAGCAGCCACGCCACCACCATGAGGCTCAGCCGCCTCTTCACAGGCAGTCGTCGTCCGGCACCTCCGCTCCCCTCTCCCAGTCATCCAAGCTCGATGGCGTCCTCTATCACTTTTACACCACCACCGCAAACCTCGTGATCCAGGCGCGTCTCGCACACCTTCGTCCCTTTCTGCTCACGCCGGCCTACGATCCGCTCAATCCAGACAACAACAAGCCACCTTCCACTCCCACTGCTCCATCCCAGCCCAAGCTCTCCAGATGGTTCGGCCTGCACATCCCCGACACCGATGTCTTCAAGGACGAACTGCGTCTCTGGCGCTCCGTCACTTCCTTGCTTGCCATGTCCACCACGGGCGCCAACACTGCCGTCCCCGACCTCATCATCGACGTCATGCTCGACCTCTCCAACGTGCCGCATACCCACCAAGTGCTGCTCCTCACCGACACGCGCTCCTCAGCGAGGCTCTGCATCGATGGTCGTGCGCCAGGTCAACCTGCCACCCAGCCGCGTCCTGCCTCGCGTCCACAGCGCATCGTGCTCGAGAGATGGCGCTTGCGCTTCGACTCGCACCCGCCCCAATCGCCGCCGGACCTCTCCACCTTCTACAAGAGGTCCGTCGTCCACTTCCGTGCCCTCTTCACCTTGCTCTGCATCTTGCCCGCAAATCGACTCTGTGCAAGGATAGAGGCGCTCAAGGCGGCGCCACAACAGTCCGCCAAGGGCTTCCCCTCAATAGCCGCACGTGCAGATCAGGGCGCATACGACGCACACATGACCATCGGTTGTCGTCTTAGCATGTCCGATATGGACGCCGACTCGGACCCGGCCGATGCTGCCAATTCGTCGCAGGAAGTAGCCGCAACCGATGCCCTTCCAGCAGAGCAGGCTCACGTCATCCCGGACATTGAATCGCAAGAGGACCAACCCGACATCCGCCTCGAGTCGCACGGCCACTACGCATCCCGCACCTTTGCACCCCTCGCCACGCCTCTCGGCCATCTCACCCTTTCCGTTGCCTATCGCAAGCTGACCGGCTTCTCGGTCGAAGACGCCGAAAGTCTGCGCTCCGCAAACAACATCAAGGTCGACGTAGACGAGGACTACTTCAAGCCCGTTGCCGGCGCTTCACCGCCGTCTTCTTCCCGAACTGCGACCACTTATAGCGGCACAGACCGCCCCGTGGCGGCTGCTCCGCAGCCCATTGGTGGCATCTCGGCAGCACGGCCGGCCAATCTGGCCGCTCAGCGACATCCATCAGAAACAACATCCGACACGTCTCGCTCGCCGCATGCGCACGCCACCGAGGTCAGCCCCGCCTCCCAGTCCCCGGCCAACGCGAGCGTCTTTGGCACCAGCGCAACCGCCCGCAACACCGCCGGTCTCTCGAGCCTCCGCCGCACCGGCTCCACTTCCAACAAGGCATCGCTGCCCCTAATAGGCTCAGCTCACCCTCAAGCCGCGCCATCCAGTCCTGCTTTGGCAGCCGCGCTCGGCGCAGAGCCCGCCTTTGTCGTCCCCAGCTCAGCTCGCCGCGCCAGTATCAGCGAGCGCCGCCTACGCACGCTCAGCGGCATCTCGAGCGGTCAGCCTAGCCTGTCCAGCTCACCTGCCATGGCTACCGTCGATCTTCCAGAACCGGGTTCCAGCCTTACCAGGACCGCATCCGCCGCACAGCTCAGCGGCACCTCGAGTCGTTCGGTCTCGGGCAGAATGGCGAGCGACTTTGTTGCACCTTCGGCTGGGCTGAGTGCAGCGTCGGGCGCGCAGTCCCGCCCAGGCGTCTCGTTCAGTCCGTCTTCGTCCTCGCCCCTCGCGCAGCAGATGTCCATGCACGCCAACCGAGCCACGAGCGGCGCACCGGCTCTGGGCACCTCGCCCTCCACTTCGTCCTTCCGCAGCGTCTCGGGCTCGGCTCTGCGCTCGTCCGTCGCAGCCACCGGTGCGCGCGCGGCTCCCAGCCTGCGAAGCGTGTTTCAGAGCTACGTGCCGCGCTCGCAGAACTCGTCGTCGGTGCTCGTGTCCAGGACGCCACCCACGGCCGGCAGCGCGTTCGTGCAAACCAGCTATTCGCCCTCCAACCTCGGCACGGGCTTGCGCTCGAGTATTAGGAGAAACTCCAGCACCAGCGATGCCGGCTCCGGCTCCGCTTTTGGCGCCAGCTCGTCCTCGGCCGCCAAGCCGCAGATGATCAAGCGCTACAGCACCAATTTCTCGTACCGTCAGAACCGAGAGCGCTTCGGCGTTTATGGCAGCAGCCTCGGCTCCGAAGGCTCCGGCTCCGTCGGTGCCGGCGGCGAGCCCTCGAGCTATCCGCGCTTCGGCGGCGCGGGCGGAAGCCTCAGTTCGGCGTATGGCCGCAGCTGGGTGTCGCGCATGGAGCAGCGTCAAGGTCTGGGTACGGGCGGTGCATTCGCGCGCACCTCGAGTCTCGACGACGCCACCGCCGCAGCCACCGCGTCGGCTGCATCGCGGTATCGGCCACTGTCCACAGCCGACGCGACGCACCTGGGCAACTTGACGCCCAGTCCGAGGAGCCACGACGAGGACATGGACGATCTCGTGCGTCTGCTCGACACCAAGCCCGCGTTCGGCACGTCGTCCATGGGCAAGCTCGCGAGCCTGCGCAACGAGCGTCGCAACGCTCCGGGCCTCAGCAGCACACCCGAGGAAGGCACGAGCGTGCGACCAGGGCAGGCACTGAATGACTCGGTTCGGTCCATCCCAGGCCACGACCGAGCCGGATCGCTCTCGGGCAGCGGCCTCCGATCAGGCGGCGGCATCCGCACCGCCAACCCCATGTCGCGCAGCCAGCTCGACGATCTGCTCAGCCGCATGGCCGAGTCGGTCGGCATCCTCAGCGCCAAGGATCAGGATTCGGGCGCAAGCGGCGAGGCGTCGTCCGAAGCCGCGATGTCGGACGAGGTCCGACTGCGCACCAACGCATCGCCGGCAGCTGTGCCAGCCACAGAATATGCGGCTCAGGCCGCAGTTCGGCCTAGTGCTGCTCCTGTGGTCCCTACCACTGGCAGCGTCAGAGGCTACAGTGCCAACGAGGCTGAGCGGCATTCAGAGCTGCCTACGAGCCGCGTTTCTGCGCCTGGGACGCTGGCACGTGCGCCGCTGGGAGACGGATTCGCGTCTCGAACGCGCGGCAAAGCACACCAGGTGCGCGCCTACAGCACCGCAGCGAGCAGCGCTGCGCCGGACGACGCGCGAGGCGATGCGCTGCGCGAGGGCGTGGCGCATGAAGGCGGTGTGCATGCTGGTCCTGGCAGTGCGTCGCCGCGCACGGGACCGCCCGAGTACGAGGCGGAGGGCGATCTGATGTTTGGCGTGGACGGCCAGCCCGAGTACGCACCGGAGGACGAGCTGGCGGGCGAGATGGAGATGGCGACGGCGGTGCAGCCGGCGTATGCGCGGACCGCGGACGCGGGCACCTCTGGGTTTGGCGGCGTCGAGGGCGGGATGGGCGCCACGCTGCCCGTGGGCGCGCACCGCGAAGGGCGTGCACTCGAGCGCGTGCGCAGCGGGCCCATGAACGACTGGCAGGTGGCTGAAAAGTGGCAGCGCGAGCGCGCACAAGAGGCGGAGCGGCGGCGGGCGGACGCCGAGATGTCGCGCAACTTTGGGCAAGAGGTGGGCGCGAGCACGCGCGGACGCGGATCGCACAGTCCGTGGCGCGCGACGACGCATGCCAGCGCGCCTGTAGCGGCGGCGCCGCCTTCGGGTGGGCCGCAGCCGTCGACGTCGCTGGCGAGCACGGGTGCGCTGGGATTCCGCTCGAGCTCGTCGCGCCCCTTTGCGGCCGCGAGCCGGCTGGTGGGGATTGGCGGCACGTATGGCTCGTCGGTGGCACCAGCGCCCGGCGGGCAGACCGATGCACGCAGGGGCTATGGAGTCTCGGCGCCGTCGACGCAGTTCCACTACCAGCCCGCGCACAGCGCGCCACGGCCCACGCCGAATTCGTACCCCGTGTCGCGCGACGAGATGTACGACGACGATGAGGAGGACGACGAGGAGGAGGATGGCGTGCGCCGCTGACTCGAATCCACACTTGTTTATCGATGCATGTCGGTTTGGCTGCCGTGATGTTTATCGATGATGGATGTCGGTTCGGCTGCCGTGATAGAGTGATCGGCTGGGTGAGATGAGGAGCCTTCTTTCGCAGACAAGATTTCTCAGACGGCGCATGGTTGGCGCGCTTTTTGGGAGTGCATTGACGTGCGCAGTGTGTGGCTAACAGGAATGTTGATTGCGACCTGAGCTACGTGTGGGGCTGTGTTGCTCTGCGACATGCGTTTGTTCCGACATGTTGCTGTGCACGCTTGGCATGGATTCTAAGGGGCTAGTAGATCCAGACGGAGCGGTGCATGCCGAACTGGTCTTTGCGCATGGCCAACTTTGGCTCTCTGTCGTTTGCTGCGGCGATGTGGGCGCATCGCTGTTGTATCCACTCCAACGCGGCCGTTTCCACCTGCCCCACCACCGCGCCATCCCGGGCTGTGCAGCTGGCCAGTTCATCTTTGGAGAGCTTGGAAAGCACCCATTTATCCACGGGTATCGCCTTTGCAGCCTTCTTTCCAAGCGATGGTAGCCACTCATTCTTGGCTTCTTTAGCGGGAGGAGGAGGACGACCGATACCTATTCTGAGGCGGGCGAGTTTGGTATCGACGACGTTTAGGCGCGCAAGGATATCACGTACGCCGTTGTGGCCGCTCGCCGAGCCGGTGCTCTTGGATTTGACCAGTCCGAAATCAATGTCAAGATCGTCTTGTAGCACGAGTGTATCGTCTACAACCGCAGGGTCGGTGGGATTGGGATGGTGCGCGGTGAGGAAGGCGCGCAGACCTACACCGGACAGGTTCATCGCTTGGCTCGGCTTGTACAGCGATACCTCGACCTGGTACACGTGCGATGAGGAGTCAGAACGCACAAGCAGTGGAAACGTTGCAGCCCATCCACCGCTCTTACCCGCCCGGACTTTGGTCAGCTCGGTCGGCATTGCGACCCTGTCATTCGGGTCAAGATACTGCCCCTCTGTCGACGCGCAAGATAGCGGAATTTGAGCAGGTACGGGCTGCGTCCAGTCGGGTCGAGCATGCGGATCGATTCGACCCGAGGCGAGCGCTTCGGTGCGCTCCTGTTCCAGGCCGTCGCGCGCCTGGGCGAGATGCCGTCGTATCTGCGCATCGTGCGCGACAAGCCGTGCAAGCAGCGGGTCCAGCACCACCTGTCCGATCGAATGCCGCGTCAGCGGATGCGTGGTAGCATTCCCCACGCCAACCACGACCAGCTGGTGTTTAGGCAGTCTTACGACGCGCGGCAGTCTGTCCGCCGGCGCCACGAGCTCGGCATGCAGCTTGGCTACCAGTCGCTGCTGACCCTTGCCGTACTCTGCGACGAGCCGCGGCACACCATGCGCCCTCCACTGCGAATCGCGAGCGGAAAACGACGGACGATACAGGAGCTCTGCCAGGCGTTGGTGAAACGCCAGCCCTGTGCGATCGACAAAGCTGCGCTGCACATCACTCCCGCCGTCTTGTACAATGCCTTCCCCCGGCACTCGCTCCAACGTAGCAGGGGGAATGTCTCGCTCTCCAATCAGCGCGGCGGGATCCTCGTGCGCCCTGACTTCGGCCGACAGCGTCTGCCACTCCCTGCGCGGGATGTAGGGCGGGTTGCTAACCACCACGTCGAACGGCCCGCCCGCAATGCTCGCCAGACCGTCCATATCCACGTCGCTAAACACGTCGGCCTCGACAATGCGTACGTTGCGCTCACTGAATCCGAGCTTCGCCGCGTTCTCCCTGGCGAGGTGGACCGCTAGCGGCGACCGATCGCACGCCACAACGCGCCAGTCTGCGTCATCGCCGAGCTCGCTGCGTAGCGCATGAGCGATGAGTAGCGCCACGCACCCCGAGCCCGTGCAGAGATCCGCGATGCGAATGGTCGGAGGTGTGCTCGAGCTTGAGGTGGTGGACGCCTCGATGGCGCGAAGAAGATCGGCGACGACTGCAGTTGCCCAGTGCTCGGTTTCTGGCCGCGGCAGGAGGGTGGGCGGTCGGACGGTGAGCTCGACGGGCAGCGATCCAAATGGCATCGAGCCGAGCAGATAGGACAGCGGCACATTGGCGCGTGTCATCTGCGTCGCCATAGCAACGAGCTTACGCCGTGAGTTCCTGTCCAGAATCTGACGAGAGTTCTGCTCGCTGGCGGCGGTGTCGGTCTGGAGCTTTCGGACGTGCTGCACAAGCCAGCGCACCTCGGCGTTGGCGAGCTGGGCGGCTTCGACGCGGTCCGACTTCTTGCGCGCGCTGTTGCCGACCTGAGCCAACCGGTATGTCTCTTGCCTGCGACGGATCGCTTTGATGAGCCGCTCGTCCGAAGTCCAGAATGCAGCCGGGTCGCGCTTGGAGCTGCTGGCGAAACCGACAGAGACGGTGGTGGAAAAGGGACGCCAGGCTGCTCGGACGGTTGCCGTGCTCGTTGTGGTGCCGAGCATGCTTTCAAGTCTGCACTCCCCCGGCGCACATGTCCTTGGAGTGCCCTCGCTGTGTCCGTGGTTGCAAGAAAGAAGTCGAGAAGAAAAGTTGGATAGGTGGAGGAAGCCCCCGCGCAGTCCCGAGTGCCGAGCTTTGAATTTGAACCTAACACTGATTTCTGCGCCCCCGCGGAGTTGGTCGGCGCTCGCTCGTCCGATCTCGGTCGGCATTCTTTGCAGTGCCCTGTCGGCGCACTTTGGCCCGTGCGGGGTTGATGACAAGCACGAGGCTCCGGCTATCCATCAGTCCTCGGTCGCTCCGAGACGAGTATGCCGAGCCGGACAGCCCTCACCAGTCCCGTGGCCGCCAGAACTGAGCCCTTGGTGGTGTGCCCATATATAACTGGCTCTTCCGGCGGCCCCAACGTGTTCTTGTTCGTGCATTCGCTCTGAAACCCTCCTCCCTCAAAGAGTTTCGCAAACATGGCCCCTACCGCTGCCAACCCCAAGGACTGCCCCGAGTATGATCCGAAGAACATGATCTTCCGTCGGCTGGGGCCCTCGGGACTGCGCGTGTCGCTCTTCTCGCTCGGCGGCTGGCTCACGTACGGCGGCACGGTGAACAGCGACGAGACCAAGCAGATCGTCAAGCTGGCGTTCGAGAACGGCATCAACACCTTCGACACCGCCGAGGTGTACTCGGCGGGGCAGTGCGAGGTCGACATGGGCAAGGCGGTGCGCGAGCTCAACCTGCGTCGCTCGGACCTCGTGCTCATCACCAAGATCTTCTTTGGCACGGGCAGCAAGGATCCCAACGGCCGCGGACTGAGTCGCAAGCACATTGTCGAGGCTGCCAAGGCGAGTCTCGAGCGTTCGGGTCTGGACTACTGGGATGTGATCATGGCTCATCGACCCGATCCCACGGTGCCCATGGAGGAGATCGTGCGCGGATTCAACAGGCTCATCGAGAGCGACAAGTGCTTCTACTGGGGCACGTCCGAGTGGTCGGCGCAGCAGATTGAAGAGGCCCATGCGGTGGCGAACCGTCTGAACCTCATCGCGCCCATTGCGGACCAGTGCCAGTACAACATGTTCCACCGCGAACGCCCAGAGAAGGAGTACGACCCGCTGTACCAGTCGCACAGCTACGGTACCACCATCTGGTCGCCCCTCGCGTCGGGTCTGCTGACTGGCAAGTACAACGACGGCATCCCGCAGGGCTCGCGCTTCGACACCAACAAGAGCTTCTTCGACAACACCGTCAAGGAACTCCAGACGCCCGAGGGCAAGGCCAAGATCGAAAAGGTGCAGAAGCTCACCACCATCGCCGAGGGTCTGGGTGCCAAGGTGACCAACCTCGCGCTGGCTTGGTGTGCCAAGAACCCCAACGTCTCGACGGTGATTCTGGGCGCGTCCAAGCCCGAGCAGATCATCGAAAACCTCAAGTCGCTCGAGTTGCTCGACAAGCTTACGCCCGAGATCATGGCCCAGATCGACGAGTTGCTCGCAAACAAGCCTGCCCTGCCGCCTCTGTACGGAAGGTAAATCTTCAGCCCGCCATCGAGGTGCATGCGTCAATGTCAGCTTAATCCACCTCGCTCTAGACAAGGGCGTCTACGCAGCTTTGTGGCGGTGCCAGTGTGCGTTGAAGCGAGGGAATGGACATTTACACCCGCTGTTTCTACCTCTTGCCTCTTGCCTCCGGCGAAAAAAACAGGGGCAGGTCATCCTTCGCACCCAACCGCAGCAAGTTGTGAGCGGTGGTAAAAAAACGGAAGTGAGCGATGCACCGGCTGCGTGGCCACAATTCCGAGCAATCCAATGCGCGCGCTTTCTAGTGGGAGCGGTTCGGTGGCGGTGTGATTGAAGCGAGCGTGCACGAGTCAAGTAACACCGCTGCATCTACCTCTGCGAAAGAACGAGGGTCGATCAATCTTTGCATCCATGCGGAGCAAGCCGTGAGAGAAGGATGTGCGGAAAAGTCGATCCACCCGCGCCTTACACGCTGTCGACCCTGGCGTCTGAGCTTTGTCGTGGTGTGATTGAGGCGATGTCAACGAGTCAAATGCACCCAGCTGCTTTTTACCTTTGCGAAACAAACAGTTGCCAACTACCTTTCGCACGTACCAAGGCTCAATGGATGGCAGCTTGACGTATACTGGCGCACGTGCCGAAGCAGCGTGCACAGATCGGTGCTTGAGGCTTGGGCACAAAAGTTTCGCTGCTGCTACCTGGAGCGCTCGCAGCCTTGCGGTGGACGTCGCTTGCGCCCTGTCTAGCTGCTTGGCGGCTCTGTTTCTTGGAGCTTCTGCAGTTCTGCCTAGACGCAACCCTTAAGTGATGTCAACCGAAGTGGCGCCGAACTCGTCCACATGCGTTTGTACATGCCCGTCGGGGCGTCATGATTGGTGCGTGGGAACGATTCAGCTACATCCGCTGTCTACACCTCTGCATGCTTCGCACCCAACCGGAGGCAAGCTGTGAGCGGTACAGAACAGAAACGTGCGTGATGTCGACCGACTCTGGCTCAGTTTGGAGAAGGGCGTCCAGGCAGATTGGTTGCAGTGTCAGTGTGCGTTTGAGGCGATGGGAAACGAGTGGTTTACACCAAACCGCCTCACCCGCTGCGGACAGCGCAATTTGTTAGGGGTATCGTCGAAGCAATGCAGCAAGTCCTTCACGCCCGGTGGTTCTTCGACCCTTTGCGTGCGTGCCTAGATGCTAGTTACAGCCGCACTGCAATACGCACACTTGCGAGTCTATGCAGTCTCATCATGGTTGCCACGTGCATTGGATCGAGCCGAACGAACTTTTTGACACCCGCTCTTTCTGCCTTGGCGCTAACTTACGTGCGGAATGTCAAGCTCACTCGCTGTGCACATACGTGTCTGCGCTGCGCGGATCCGTTGTGGCTATCGTATGGATTGAGGCGATTGAAAACGGGACATTGACACGCGGTGGATTCCACCTCTGCATCCGGCAAAACAACAGTGCGCACACCTTCCAAAGGCCCTGCAACGATGTCCGAAGCGCGTAGTGTCCTTCCCTTCCCGGGGCTGTCTACTTTTTGCGGTCTAGCAGAGGCCGTCTTTCGCCGTCGTCTGTGCTGCCGTTTGCCTCTCCATCGCCGTCTTGCTGATTGCGTCTTTCGTCGTCCTTCCTGGCGCGTTCTTCTGCACCGGGATACTCCTGAATATCCGAGATGCGCACAATGTGCGGCTGGCGATCCTGGCTTCCCACCTCGACGATGTACGGTTCCGAATACGAGTTCTGGGCACTGCCCGAGCCCTGTTGAACCACGGCGCGATGAAGATCCTGGTAATTAAGACCGTCGATCGAGGTGACCACGCTCGAGGTGCTCGTGCGGCGGAGGGGGGCATTTGGCTCGTAGGTGCCCGAATTCTTGCGCGATGCACTCGCCATCGACTGCGGCGACCCCGTGCGTTTAATCGCCACCTTATCCACCGCACGAATGTTCGCACTCGGAATACCGTACTTGTGATCACTCTTTGCCCCGCCATCATGATCCATAATCCCAATCGTACCATAGCTGCTACGCAGCGGTGCCTTCATGGGTCCACCGAGCTTGCGACGTCGCTCGATAATGCCGCGAATCAAAGGCTGCCAGTTCTGCCCCGGCGTATTGTTCGTCTGCCTGTTGCGGACCACCTTGATCTTGTTGTGCACGTCGACGTAGATGTCCGTCTCGTCGACAATCTCCTCGCCGATCATCTCTTCGATCACGTCTTCGAGCGTCACGACGCCAAGCGCACCGCGCGACTCGCCCGGATGCGTGGAAACGAGGATCATGTGCGAGCGGCCCTGCTGGAAGTAGTTGAGGCAGTCGAGCAGCGTCAGGTCGGTGCTCGCCTCGGGCAACGGCGTGAGGTGGAAGCTCGACACGGCCTGCGCATCTTCCGGGTCGTACTGGATGAGGTTTTTGACGAGGAGCATGCCGACGATGGCGTCCTTCTTGCCCGGCTCGTGGATGGGCACGCGCGAGTAGCCGGACTTGACGAGCTTGGCCACGCCGTCGTCGTCGAGGATGGTGTCGCTGGACATGATGAATACGTCTTCGATGGGCGTCATGACGTCGCGCACCGTCTTGTCGTTGAGCTCGAGCACGGCGCGGATGATGGTCACCTCGTCCTCGTGCAGATGCTCGGTGCCGATCTGCTGGTGGAGCGAGACGAAGGTCTTGAGCTCTGCCTTGCGGTAGGTGGTGCCGTGCTCCTCGCCGAGGCACCAGTCGAGCAGCTTTGCGGTGGGCCAGGCGATGGGCGCGAGGATGATCATGGTGGCGTGCACCATGGGCGCGCAGAACGCACCGATGGCGAGGCCGTAGCGCGCACAGATGCTCTGGGGCACGATCTCGCCAAACACGACGATGAGGAAGGTGGAGGTGAGCACGGCGGCGATTCCGCCTCCAAAGTCGGAGAGGAAGACGGGGAGCGTCTCGTTGACGATGACATTGCCGAGCAGCAGCACGACGAGCACCCAGTGGCGGCCCTTTTCGAGGAGCTTGAGCACCTTGGACGCATGCTTTCGCTCCTTTTCGGAGCCGGAGGAGGCTAACACCTGGAGGTTGACCATGTCGAGGCCCATGAGACCGAGGGTGAGGCCGGCAAAGATGCCGCCGAGCACGACGAGCGCCGCGATGGTGAGGATGTCGATGGCGAGTTTGAACGGGTTGTCGCTCACCGGGTCGTCGTCTTCATGGCTGTGGCGAGACGCCGAGTATGCCGGCTGGTTAGGCGCATTGAGGGAGAGCGTCGATGCAGACGAAAAGGGTGCGGCGAGGACGGGCACGACGAGGTGGAGCACGGCGGTGAGGGCCACGATGGCGAGCTTGACGAAAGAATATGCGCGAGATGGGTTGGACGAGGTGACCATGCCGTTGGCCAGGCGCGATGCGGGCAGTGTACGTTGCGGTATCATTGTCGTTGCCAAAGGACGTCCACAAGAGTCGGTGGTATGACAGAAAGCTAGATGAAGGAGTTGCGGAAGGAGCGTAAGCTGAACGCGGCAGTCACAGAGTTGGTTGTACGCTCAGCCGCCGCCGAGAGCCGAAATTGGGATCCAAGCAAGGCGGTTCTCTGACAGAATGACGCTGCACAGCAGATCCGCACTTTTGGTCACCGTGCAGTCGGGTCGAATGGCGCTTTGGCCTGCAGAACAGAACAAATGCGCCAAAGCGTCGCTGTGCATCTCGACTGGGCAGCTCGTGCCGTTGATTGGCGCAGTGGAGCCAACGTGCCCTCAACCCAAACCATCCAAATTCACACGAATTTCCCCCGAATTTCCGATTTTCAAGCTTTCCTCGTCGTGCCGCGCTGTTGGCTCATCCACTCGATGGGCATCCGTTCCAGAAGGAATGCATTGCGGGGCTCATGCTCCATGTCGAGTGAATGGTGTAGTGAGAGTGTGTACGAGGATGAGAACTGACCATCGCTATGGCGCCGGACGGGCGTCGTAGTAGACCGTCTGTCCCGACACGCCCGAGGCGGTCGAGTTTTGCTGCGTGGGCTGCGGACGCAGCGCCGCACCGCCAGCAGCAGCAGCWGCTGCAGCGCCCGAGTCGGCCTCGCCTCGTGACAGCGAGCTCTTGCGCTGGGGCACCGTCGACGACGGGCTGAGATGCGATGGTGATCCTGCGTTGTCGGACGAGTCACTGGACAAGGGCTCCGATGCAGCACCCTCGCCCGTGCCGACATTGCCAAAGGCGTACGTCGACTTGTCGTTGAGCTCCGAATCGCCCAGCCTCGTCGCGTTCCACTGGCGCCTTCGAATGAACGGCGAGATGAGATCCCAGACCGTCAGCAGGAACAAAAAGATGATGGGGATGCCCGTCACCACGATCAAGGCAAAGCCGAGCACCACGCGTGGGATCGTCTGGATATCCGCCAGCGGCGTGAGCGCGATGCAGATCCCCCACGAAATCACGCGGAAGACCATCAGAAAGATCATCACAAAGTCGCTCGTCTTGTCGCGACCCGGCCTGCAGATGCACAGCACCAGGAAGAACAGCAGATCCGTCGCCGCCAATCCGATCGACTGTCGTAGCCCGTGTCCGTACCCCTGCGCAAAGCTGATGAAGCACGCGCGCACAAAGTACACCAGCCCAAACACCAGCCCAAACCAAAAGTACCGAGGTCGGAACGGATGTGCGATCGCGCCCCACCGTTTCGCCGTGCCTGGCGCATTGGCAGGCGGCGTCGAGCCGTAAAACAGCTCCTGCTTGCCATCCCTTCGCACCGCCCTGAACACGGGAAAGTAGATGGCAGCAATACCGCCCAGGTACACCACCAGCAACACCGCAGCCAGCAGGTCCGGCACCCACGAGTCGCCGCGCAGCCACTGCCAAAACGCAAACACGAGGTACACCTGGAACGTCGCCATCACGAAGCGTCCAAACAGAGGCCGGCAGAACATGCCCAAGAACCAGCCGCCGGTGAGTCGCCTCGACCACGCAGCAACACGTCCGCCTCGTCGGCGAGTGACGAGTCGCAGCAGCGCCGCAAGTACGTACACTGCCACACAGATGACGAGCAGTGCGGCAAACACCATTGCGAGGCTGACCAGCACCGTGAGGAAGGCGCTGGCGGGAGAGATGTTGTTGAGCTCCGCAAAGTAGCCCAGCCCAATGGGAGGCGGCGTGTTGGACGAGATGACGGGCAGGTAGGATGAACCTGCGTTGGACGCAATCTGGCCGCCAGGGCCAGTGTAGGGCGCATACACCTGACGCTTGCCCAGATTGCGCATACGGAAGCTCAGCGGCGCTGCCAAGCGTCCGAATGCAGCGTATGCGCCCTCCTTGCCGGCGTTGAGCGACTGCATGCTGCTCTCGCCGCTTTGCGGAAGCGTGAGAAACGAAAACGGTCGCCAAGAGGTGAATGCCGAGGTGGCGCCCGACGAGGTTCCTGCGCTGGTAAAAGGGTTGAACTGTTTGCCGCTCTCGGCCTGGAGCAAGGCGCCAAAGGTGCCATCGCGCGCGCCGCCCGTCTTTTCGCGCGTCGACAGGATCGAGTCCTGAATGGCAGAGATGTTGATCAGGCCGATGGACCATGCAAAGTTGCGCGCGAACTCGGTGAAGACCTGCGGATAGTTGAGGCTGAGCAGCGCCGACATGGGGATGTGCTGGATGGTGGTCAAGACGTCCACCACGCGCCACTGGGCTGCGCCGAGGCTCGAAGCGAGCGAGGTGTGCAGAACCGAGCTGACCACGGCGAGTGCAAACACGCCGAGAACCGCCCACTTGGCAGCAGGCTGGAAGGTGGTCTTGCCGTTGGAGAGCGTCGCCTGCACGCATCCTACGACGGTGTTGTTGGCGTCCGTCAGCTCCACCGTCGCCACCGCCTCGAGGTTGGGCACGGTGAATGCGATGGTGGGAATCTGCGAGACAAACTGCTCGGGCACCGAAAAGATGCCGGCGCCCTGGAACTGGTAGGTGGGTAAAGGACACAGCACCGAGATCGTGTCGCACAGGTCGATGGCGAGCGAAAAGAGGCCGAGGCCGTAGGCGTTGACGTTGACCGACACCGACACGCGCAAATCCTCCTGCACCGAGGCGGCCGAAAGGTCAAACTCGAGCGTGCGGTTCTCGCGGTAAAACTTGAGGTCCAACGCCGAGATCAGGATGGCTTCTGGCGGACTGCAGTAGACGGCCGAAGAGGTATAGAGCATCTGCGTGCCTCCAATCCCACCACGCGCTGCCGACGCGCCAGGCACGCACGCGAGCAGTAGCGTCGTGAGCGCCAGCACCAGCGATGAAGCCGAGCTCCAGGTGCGAACGAGTGAGCGCACCATGGCGAGAGATGAACCGACCAGCGGGGAGTTGAGGTCGAGGTGGTGGAAGAGCGAGCCAGCCCAAGTCCGTCTGCTATGCTGTGTCGACGCGGCGATGGCGATGGCGATGGCGATGGCGATGGCGAGAAAAGAAGGATGGACGTGCTGACAGGTGCAAGTGGAGCGGCGGATAAGTTTGCGTGTTGCAGGCCTGCATGACTGCCCTCCTCCAGCGTCGAGGCAGAAAAAAGCATGACCCCCCAAGGCCGTCTTCCAAGGCTCTTGGCTCGTGTCGGAGGTCCAAACGGCGCCAGGATTCCGAGATCTTGTCGCCGGCACAGTCATTCGCACTCGCCTCGAACCCTTGCCATCCACTTGTGCTCTCAGCCATGTGCAATTGACCGGGCTCGAGAGGTGAATCACCCGCTTTGTGTCAGACGCAAGACTTGGCGTTGGGCCTTTGGCAGCGTAAGCCCCGACCGCTCCGCTGGCTGGGCTTTGAAGGCCGAGCGGAGCATAAGCAGTCACTTGCAGTATTCGCCGCGCGTCCAAATTCGCCAAATTCGCCCGACAGCACACGCACAATGCCATTCTCCCGCCGAGCTGCGCGTGCACTGGCTGTCGACGATGATGCAAGTCGGCATGAGAGCGCATGCACAATTCTTCTCGCCTAGCCTCGCGGGCTGCCGAGATGTGAACTTCTTTTTTTAGGCGATTTTATCGATGTTAGAGCTCGTTTCTGTTCAGATGCGAAATTCCAATCGGGCTTTCTTTTGCAGAGATACGCACGAGAGAAGGGCCCGCTTGGCGATCGCGTTGCCCGAAGGATTGGCCGTGCAGATGGCGGGATCGCACTTTTGGCCGCCCACTACTGACACCATCGCTCGCCTCTCTTCCTGCAACTGCACACCAGTCCTATCCCTACGCCATCGCTCAATCCATCGTCATGTCGTTCCGGGCATCGCGCACGCTGCTTAACGAGGCAAAGAACTACGCCTCGTCGCACAGCTTCACCTACATCGAGGGCAAGACTCCCTTCTGGCGCAAGTTCCGCCAGATCTTCTCGGCCAACCCAGAGATCTCGTCCGGTCTGCCTTCCATCGAGTCGAACCGATGGCCCCAGCCCGGATCGCGCCCTGAGCGCCCCGCCACCCCACCCAGCGCCGCTTCCGACCCGGCCTCGAACCTCTACCACAACCGTGACTTTCGCCGAAAGTACCCCAAGCTCGAGATGATCACCCAGAAGGACCTCACCACTCTGCTCCTCTCTTCTCCCAACGAGGATGGCACGCGCAGGTGAGTTCGATCCTCGCACATTTTGATAAAGCACCGACGAGATTGCTGACGCTCTTCTTGCCTTGACAGCCTGCAAGCGCCCGAGGACGCCTCCAACACCACCGCGCTCGCCCGCCCCAGCGATCTCGAATCGCCCACCGCATTCACCGACGTGCTGGCGCAGGTGCACAAGTCGTCCGACGCCTCGGCCGCCACCTACTACTCGTCCACCAACCTGCCGCCCCGTCCACCCTTCAAGCAGCCCCACCACATCCTCAAGCTGCAGAAGGGCGCCGTGCCCCACGACCCGCATGCCTACTACCCTGCGTAAGTCTCCTCACCTCACCTCGCCACGCACCAATCCGCCTTTCACATCGCTGACAACTCTATTCTCTACACCACTCTACACTACAGTGAGAACTACGCCTAGATGCATCCCTTGACCACGTAGCCGTCCCGCAATATTCAAGCCTGCCCTTCTCTCAACCTTCGTTTCGATTCGCCCGCTCAGCGATTTGACTGCGCCCGAGCAGCGACTGTGATCACTTGCGCTAGCAGGGTCAACAAGTGCTGCTGCTCCTTGGCTCAAGCTCGGCATCCTCCCGAATCACACGCGCCAAGCTATGTGACTTTAGCGCGTACACCCACCGAAGCAGCCTGCCGCTGCAATTTCGGCCACGCCGTGATGAGCCTTTTGAAGCATGGCCGCTCAGTTGGGGGGCGCTGGCCACCGTGGGCCGTGGGGCCGTGGATCATCGCCCGGAAATTGCGCGCTCAGGCCCCCGCTCACCTGTCTGCGCGGCTGCTTCTGCTGAGCCCACCTCCGTCGCCTCGCCTCGCCTTCTTGTCGATATCCTCCCACCATCTCTGACCCACTTCTCTCTTCGTCGACATCGTTCGGCTTGCAGCCAGTCCTATCTGCAACGCGCTACATACTCACCTATTCAGTAGCCCACAGCATCATTGCACGCCGTCGGCCTTCCAACAAAAGATTTGACCACTCATCCGTGGCGACGGCCCGACTCTCAAGATGCCCTTCTTCAACGGAAATGCATCGAGTGAGATCTGGATCCAGAGCTCACGCATCTGTCGTCATGTCGAGGAACTCAAGAGCAGCGTCAACAGCTCCGGTCGCCCCATCACCACCATCGGCGTCGCTGGCCATCGCGCCGAACGCTTCCAGCTCGGTGTCAGCAAGGATCTCTTCCCAAATGGCGTCACCATCCTCGCCCGCGAAAACATGCAGTCCGGCCTCATCCGCATCGACCTCGAGGCTGACATTGCCCACACCCACCACGTCTTGGACCCCTCGGTCGATCGCTGGTACGACCGCCAATGGATCGTCGAGCGCAGCGCCTGGAGATTCGGCGATATCGACTCGCTCGTGCTCGCCTTCTCGCCATCCACCATAGACGCAGGCGCCCGCGACCACGGCCACATCCTCATCTACCGCTTCGCTGCGGTCGATGAACAAGAATGGAAGGTCTTCTCCTCCCACGACCAGCTGCTCCAGCGGTTCAGTCACATGACGCTAGACACTGCCGTGACTGAAAAGCATGAGCGCTTCGCACCCACCACGCCGCACACTCCCGTAGCCAAGAAGCGAGAGGAAAAAATCGAGCAGCCAAGCCTGGTCATTGCCCCACCCAGGCTGACCGATCCCAAACCTTTCTGTGCTCGTCGTCAAGAGTCAGCCGCGGGTCCAACTCCCAAGCTCGAGCATCAGCTCCAAGCCCAGCAAGGCGAAGAGCAGGCTCGACCTGCCACCCAGCGCCTCGCGCGGCCGGCTTCGCCTAGCGCTTCTGACGGACACCAATTCGCGGCTGCTTCCATCAGGCAGCCAACTCCAAAATTGCCCCAAGACCAGGTTGTCGATGTTCCAATCACAGAGGTTATCCGTCGGCCCGAAACACCAACACCGCGCATTGCCCCTCGCAAGACCTTGGCTGCGCGTCCGGTTGACACGCAGGCACCTTCAGCCCCGTCGGGCGACCAGGCTGACCGTGCTTTCCCCCGCCCCGAAGCACCAGAACAGCCTGCTCCTTCAGACGAGGCTGCGGCTGCGCCTTCGATTGGCGATGAGACGCCCATGGCTCTGTCGATCGACGAAGAACACGATCAACATCAGCCGACACAGCCGACGCAGCCAGAGGCGCGCGCCGATCCGCAGAAGACCGTGGCCGAGCGTGCGTCCGAAAAGCAAGCACCTGCTCTGTCGAGGGACCAAGGCGACGATGACATCCCTGTCAATGCAACAATCGACCGGCGCGCGGACGAAGCCAGTGTTGTCGACGACACTTCTTTGGCTCCAGCAGTCGAACGGTGCACGGAGGAAGCCATCGTTGTCGACGACACTTCTTTGGCCCCAGCAGCCGAACGGCGCACGGACGAAGCCATCGTTGTCGACGATGTTCCCTTGGCTCCAACGGTCGACCGGCGCACGGAGGAAGCCATCGTTGTCGACGACACTCCCTTGGCTCCCGCGGTCGAACGGCGCACGGAAGAAGCCATCGATGTCGACGACATTCCCTTCGCTAGTGTCGAACAGCGCACGGACGACGTCATCGTTGTCGACGACACTCCCTTGGTTTCAGCAGTCGAACGGCGCACGGACGACGTCATCGCTGTCGACGAAGTCGACGACGACGAAGACCAACCGCCAGTGGCGCGGAGACGGCGTTCCGCCTCACGCAGGATGGCGGCTGCGCGTCGGATTGACGGATCGTCGCCTCCGCCTTTCTCCAGCGACAGGGGTGACGACGACGCCGAATACCGGACATCGATGCCGGAGTACATCTCTCCACCCAGGACCACGGTGAACCAGCCGTTGCTGAACCTGGACGCCTTGTTCCTGGAGGAGCCTCCGCGACGCTCGGGCCGTCTTCTCGAGCGGCAGCGCAGCCAACTCGAAAAGGCGCACCGGAAGAAGCTCAAGGAGCAAGAGAGGATCCGTAGAGCGGCGCCGCGTCGGCCACAATATCCGCTTCAGGCGCACGGCCTCTTGAAGGCGCTGTGGACTCGGCCCGTCCAAAGCGTGATGATGGCGCGCACCTGGCCAATGAGGGTCGCAAACAACGAGAGAGTCATGCACAAGCTACAAGACCATCTCGGATGCATCGACGACGAGGAAGATCAGGAGCGAGGCGAGCATCACCAAGAAAACCGGCGAGCGCTCGAGAACGGTGTCGCCTCCGACCTCTGGCTCCACCTTCGCCAAATCGTTGGCACCGACGACGACGACGACGACGACGAGGAGGAGGAGGCTGCAACCGCAACGCCGATGGGGCTGCTGACGCAGGCCACGCCGCAGCAACGATCGCCCGAACGGCGCTCGCCTGCCAAGGCGGCGCAAAAAAGCCCGCAGCGCAAATCGTCGCCGTCGATCACCATCGCACGCCTTGTGCTTCCCAACTACGGCAACATCAGCTTCACCAAGCTCGAGCTGCAGCAAGCGTGGCTCCAGACCATCGCCGAGGAGCGTGCGCTGGAGACGCTCCTCGACAAGCGACGAAAGCGATGGGAAAAGGTGTACAAGACGTGCGCGCTGCACAAGGCGTACATGCCGTTTCTGTGACGACTGCCCACGAATCTAACTTTGACTACCAAGCTGGTACCGTATATACGACTGTGCGCCGGCCAGAGAAGATGGAAATACTCTGTGAAAGGACACGACCATCGCTCAGGAGCGGCTGCTCGAGACACGCCTCGACAAGCGGCGCAAGCGATGGGCGCAGCTGTACAAGTTCTGCGCGCTGTTCAGGGCATACAATCGTCACCTAGCCGGGACAACCGCGACACGACTCACGCTCAACCGACTGTTCGAACTCAGCATTGAGGCCACGACTGCGCGCGTCTGTGCGACTGTGCGACTGTGCGATGACCAAGGAGGTGCACTCTCGAATTCTCGGAACAAATACATTCGGAACACTGTACAGGCGCATGCGGGGGCTGAGGGGAAGGCGAGGGCGGGCGCTATCGTGGGCCGTAGCCGGAGCTTTTGACGTTGGCGTACTGGCCGCCGAGGCCTGCGCTGCCGGAGGGTGTGCGTGTGGGGATGGCCGAGGGTCTTGCGGTGCCGCGCGTTGAAGCCGATGCGGACCTGCCGCGAGTCGAAGCTGTAGCTGTGGCAGCCGGTTGGGTGTCGGACGCTTTTGACGCCGTGCGCGACGAAGCTGCACGCGCCACTCCACCTCTCGCCGCACCCCTGGTACCCGTCGAGACAGTGCGACCACCCCTGCCGCGAGCACCGGGCGCAGCTGCACGACGAGCCTCTTCCTGCTGACGACGCTGCAGTTCCTCTGCCTGTTGAGCCGCGAGTTGGGATGCACGCTTGGCCTCCTGCTCCCTCGCGAGTGCCTCTGCATGCAGACGCTGGGTCTCCCTATGCGCAATGGCAAGACTCTCCTTGTGGGCCTCGGCGTCCTTGGTGGTGCCCTTCCAGTCCTGGTCTTGAAGCAGCTGCTGAGTCTTTTCGGTCTGGCGCAGCAGGCTGATGTAGATGTTGAGCAGGTCGTCCGTATCGCGCACGCGGCGCGCAAACGCATTGATCTGCCCCGCACTGCCGCGCAACGACGTTTCGAACGCCTCGAACACGTCGTTGATGCGGCGCAGCTCGGCGAGCTGGCGTGCGGCGTGCTCCTGCGACTCTTTGGATTCGACGGGCGTGGGTGCGCCTGATGCAACGGCCGCCGATGCCGGTTTGCCCAGCAATGCGTCGCGGATGTAGTCGTCGTCCGGAATGTAGGCGGAGGCGGCCGAGGTATCGGGCGCGTGGGACGACGACGAGGCTAGCGCCGACACATCAGGCAGACCGTGCAGGGTAAGGTCGTCGTCGTCATCGTCATCATGCTGCGATGCGGTGCTGGCGTTGTGCAGCTTCTTGGGCACGAGGTTGGTAGGTACGCCCGGCTTTGCAAACAGCGAGAAGCGTGGTCGAGCAGGTGCTCCCGCGGTGGAAGAGGAAGACGTGGGTGGCTTGCGCGAGACGGGCGGCTTGTTCTCGTCGTTGGGCTGGATGCCGGCGAGCAAGCGGATGCCCGAGATGGCGTTGGTCGAGTGTTGTGCGTCGAGCACCACGGCGGATCCCCACGACGGACGCGACTTGATCGGCTTGGATGCGCGCGGCTGCGAGGCGCGGTTGGCCGCTGCGGCGGATTGGAGAGGAGCGGTGAGGGGCGAGTCGGCGAGATGCAGATTCTGCATCGAGCCCTGTACGAGTGCCGGCGAGAGGTTCTCGTCAAGCAGCCATGACGAGTCGGCGTCCGGGCCCGAAGGCTTGGGCGTGGTCGGAAGTGCGGGCATGGTGCAGCTGAGCCGGTGCCAAGGAGTAGCAAGATGGTGGTGGTGGTAGAGCCAAGTGTTGGACGCCCGCTATCCGAGAGCGACTTTTTGGCTTGGCTCTGCTTTGCTTTGCCATCGGCGCGCGGAACAACAGCAATGCAGCGCACAAAGCGGCTGCGTCCTTGCACAGAGTGTTGGTCTGCCTCTCCCACACTCTCAGCCAAAGTCACGCGTCGTCCCACCTGCAACCAACGCACCGAAAAGAGCCGCTTTTTGGCCCTCGCAATGCAATTCCGACGCGTCACGTCGCGAACGGGGATTGTCTCGTACGACTGAGGCTGCCACTTTCACGCGCTCTAACACTCATCTTTCGGCGCCACGCTCGGGCCTCAGGTGGAGCAAAGGTCTGATGGAGCTGCTGCTTTCGAGGTTCGTCGTTCTTTCCTCCATCGCATTCTTTCAATCTTGCTCATCACAGGGCTGCCTCTCCCTCACTCAGAGCTTTACCTGCTCTCCCGACCCTCGGACGTGGCCGACGCACGCGGCCTGTTGGCATGATGGCAGCATCGTCTCCGCCGCAATGATCGACCTCGTGCTCATCCTTGCCATCAAGCTCGCGCTCTACCTCTCGGCGAGAGCGGCGCTGCCCTTCCTCTTCGGTCATGCACGCTACGCATCTCTAGATACTGGACCCAAAGCATCGAGCTCGGCTGCCGCTTCCCTCCCCGCTCCCGTCACCGCCTCCCACTCGTTCTCCGCCGGCGGGTCACTCCACGATGACGACGACCACCGCACGGGCAACGGCACTGCGCTGGCAAACAGCTCAGCCGACACGTCGCCCTTCCTCGCCATCAGCGCCAACTCGTCGCTTCCGTCGCTCACCCAGTTCAAGGCGGCGCTGTTTGCGCCCGTGCGTGTGCGCCACGCCAACGGCGGCTTGGACCTCGCGAGCGTAGCGGCGCTGCTGTTCTCGCTGGCGTTTGAGGAATCAGCATCGCTCTTTGTCGCCGTGCTGCTCGAGACGGCTGGCTTCGCTGCAGGCCAGGGCACGACGTTGCGTCGCTCGTGGCGCTTCTCGCTCGTCGCCGTGCTCGTGCTCGCCATCGTGCTCATTCCACTCGCCGTGGGCCTGCTCTTCACCTACCGCACCAACTCCAACACCTCGCTCGCACGCAGGCTCGCCTGGCTCGTGCTGCCCATGCTTCCGTGGCTGCTCGTCTTTTTCAAGGTGCCGCTGCCCGCCGCGCTTCTTGACGAGCGCAGCAATGCCGGCATCTTTGACGGTCTCATGGCACGCACCGCCGTGATCGGCGTCACCTTTATCGCCATCCTGTCTGGATCCGCAGCGCTGCAGGCGGCGTGGGAGGCGGTGGAGCAGTTGAGCGGAAAGCAGCAGCGTCCCCCCACAAAAACCGACATCCAGCTCGCGCGCGAATCGTTCCAGCGCACCTGCACCGACCTCGCCGCGAGGAAAGCCGACCTGGACCGTGTGCAGCACCACTCGTCGGGCACGGCCAGCTCGGGCTGGAGCGTGTCTTCGCTGTGGGGTGGTGATTCGCGCTCGCGCGAGATCAAGGCGCTCAAGTCCGAGATCTTTGGACTCTCGGCCATCGCAGGCGCGATGCGCGATGATCTCGACCGCATGACGTCGCTCCAGCACAAGGACGAGCTGAGCGCCACGCTGCTGGGCAAGCTCTGGATCCTCGTGGGATGGGGTTGGGCTGCCTACTGTGCGTTCCGCATCGCGCTGTCCATGCTCAACCTGCTCGTGCTTGGATACCGCGATACGGCGCCGCCGGACTTCATCTCGCTCTCCATCGCCTACGTCATGCGCATCTTTGACGTGAACCTCGACGTGGCCGCGTGGACAAAGCAGGTATCGCTGCTGTTTGTCGGATTCCTCATCTGGGGCAGGATCGGCAGTGTGCTCGCCTTCCTCGGCTCCGCATTCCGCGCAGCTGGTTCCGGAGTCTCGAGCTCCTTCCTCGTGCTCTTCCTCGCCGAGATCATGACCATCTATCTGCTCGCCACCCTTATCCAGCTCCGATCCTCCCTGCCTGCCTCCGTATCGCCTCCAACGCCGTTGGTCCGAGACACGAGTACTAGCGACGGCACAGGTGTACCTCCACTTCTCGCCACGCTGCCCAGCTTCCAGGTGGTGTTTGGCAGCCTCTTCGACTCGGCCTTCCTCCTGGCGGCTGCCATCACCGCAGCTTGGAAGTACCTCGTCTACATGCAACGCAGCGCCTCCGGCGACGGCGGCGTCCTCTTTGGCGGCGGCAGCCACTGACACTCCACCTCCACTCACCACTCCTAGATCGTGTACAAATGCATTCTCGCACCGGGTATCAATCAAAACTTTCAATCATGCAAGGCGGTCGCGAGGCCCAGATCGGTGGTCTGTGCCCAACCTCGTCCGCCACGCCAGGGAGTTGACGTCCCTACACGTTGCTGTTGCCGTTGGCTCCCTCGGCTGGTGACTGTGAGCTCGCGGCACCGAGCTCATCCGGCGCCTGTTCATCGCCCGAGCCCGCACCTGGCTGCGCCGGAGTGGCGGTGGGACTGAGCAGGCTGATCCTTCGGAATGCGCGCTTCCATCCCTGGTCCTGACTCGCAGCGGGCAGCGGCTTCTGCGCCAAAGACGGCGATCGGAACGCCTCGGGATCCTCATCGCCCGTCGTCTCGTGCGGCAGCGGCGGCAATCCCCCTCCGTACCCCACGAGCGGCGAGTCGACCGATTCGACTTCGCCTCTCGCACCGCCCGCTCCCTCACCGGGCGGCGGTGGCAGGGTGTAGCTCTCGTCGCCCGCAATCGACGTTTCCCAGATCGAGCTATCGGCTGCGCTGTTGGATCCGCTCGTGGCGCGACTCGCGGCTGCACTGCTCTGCGTCGACGACGGGAACGGATACCCCGCACTGTCGGCGGCGATATCCAGCGTCTGCTGGTGGCGCTCCGCACGCAGCTGCCGAGCCTTGGACGCGATCCCCGGCCCACTGCTGAGCTTGGTCACGCTCGAGCCGCCTTCGGACAGCTGGAGCGCACGCGTGCGCTCGGCCTCGCGCCTGCCCGCGTCGCCCGCCGGCGTCGACGACACCGCGCGCTCAAAGCCGGTGTCCAACGACCCACCCGGCGTGGTGGACGCCTGGGACTGCGTATCCGACTGGCCCGGGCTCGCAAGCACGTTGGAGCTCGCGCCGCCCACGACGCGCGAGAAGAAGGCAGCGAAGCCGCCCGAGCCACTCGCGGCCGACGCGCTCTGCGGGCGCTGCTTACGCGGGCTCGTGGGGCTCTGCACGAGCTGATGCTTGGGAGGCTGGATGCCGCGCGAGAGGAGCTCCTTGCGGATGCGCTCGCGCTCGGCAACGTCGTGCTCGTCCTCCATCTCCTCGCTCGTACGCAGCTTGCGTGCAGACGCATCGCGAGGCGGGATGAGCAGGTTGTCCGATTGCAACGTCAGAGGGCGCGGGTTGGAGCTCGTCTCGCCTGCCGCCGCGCCACCGCTGCCACCACCGCCACCGCCCAGGAACGGCAAGCTGCGCCAGTCGATCGACGACGCGCGTTTGCTCTTGGGCGGCGCCGAAGCCCGACTCGCGTCCGACGCCGACCGGCTGGATGCGCCGCCAAAGCCAAACAGACCGCTTGCTTGACCCGAAGCATCCGCGCCCGCGGCGCTGCTGGCTTTCGTCGCTGCCTCGGTCTTGCCGCTACCCGGAGCCGGGGCGCTCTGCGCAAGCTTGGCACGAGAGGCCTTGTGGCGTGGTCCACGGACTGTGCCACGACTCTCGACGGCCAGGATATTCTCGTAGCCTTCGCGTGCGATGATGCGGTCGATGATCTTGGAGATGTACAGGGTGAGCGCCTGGTTGGCCTCGCGCAGCTCGCGCACCTCCTTCTGCAGTTCGCCCAGGTTGTCCGAGACGACGCCAAAGCGCTGGCTCGGCGAGCGCCTTTCTCTGGCGCCTCGGTCGTCCGGACTGGCAAGTAGCTGCGCGCTGCTGCCTTCGAGCTCGGATGCAAGATCGGCCGTCGGCAGCGGAGCAGCGCTCGAGTCGGCGCGCTTCCTGCGCGAGGCTTTGAGCTTGGGCTTGGGCGGCGCCTTGGGCGTGTCGGGCACGTCGTCCACCTCATCCTCGTCCTCCTCGGGTATGGCTTGCGAAGCGACGGAAGAGCCGCCTGCTGCGCTGTCGTCGGCGCTGTCGTCCACGTCGAGCGAGTCGTCGTCGTCGTCGTCGTCTTGGTCTTCGTCGTCGTAGGGATCCAGCAGGCCGTCCTGGGCACGGAGTCGGCCAAAGGAGGCGGATCGCATGCCGCGCAGCATAGCGCTCTCGTTGAGCAGCGCGCCGCTGAAGGTCTTCTCCTGGAGGATGTCCATGAAGGTCTCGTTCTGGTCGCGCAACGAGACGTTCTCTGCACGCACATCCTTGAGCTCGGCCTGTAGTGTAACCATGGTTTCGGAGAGCGAAGAGTGCGACTTTTGGAGGGTCGAGAGTTCCTCGATCATGGTAGCCATGTCCCTTTCGTCGGCAAAGGTAGCTGCTTTGGTTTGCGCGCCGCGGCTACGATTCGCGTGTGACTGCGAGGCTGCAGCGTCGGTGTCTGCGGCAGGGAGAGCAGAGTCGATCGAGTCGTCTTGAAGCGACGAGTCGTGGGACGTGTGTGCGGAGCCCTGCGCGAGGTCTTTGTGCGTCGTGATTGGCGAGGCGGCGTCGACGGCGGCGCCATTGGCCTTGATGGAGGCGAGGTTGTTGGTGAGGCGTTCGTGCTCTCGGAGCAGCTCGTTGTGACTTGTGAGGAGCTTCTCGTAGGCGGCGGACTGGGTTGCCTTTTGCGACTTGAGGAGCGCCTCGGTGTCCATGTAGTACTGGCGCTCCTTGTCCATGGTGGCGGTCTGGTCGAGGTAGCGCTTCTCTGCGTCGTTGCGGCCGCGTTCGGAGTCGGCGAGCTGCTTGCGCAGACGCTCGATGATCTGCATGGTGGAGTAGACCTCGCCCTCGATGCGCTCCTGCTCGAGCATCATCTCGTCGATGCGGTCTTCGCGCTGCTTGACGAGCGAGTGGAGCGACTGCACCTCGTGTTCGGCCTGGCCGAGCTGCTGAGTGAGCGAGGCGGTGGAGCCGTGCAGCGTCTCGTTGTCGAGCACCTGCTCCTCGAGCCGCGCCTCGATCTCGTCCATCTGCACTTTGGCACGCCCCAACGCCAGCACGAGATCGTCGCGGTCGAGTCCCTCGAGCGCCTTTTCGATCTCCTCCTTCGGAATGTCCGACACGGCGCCGACCGATCGGCTGCTCCGAATCGACGTTCCCGACACGGCGCGCTGCACGGTCATGCGGACGGGCGACGCGCTGCCGCTAGCCTCGAGCTCGGGCGATGCTTGGTGATCCGGCGCATCCGACGCCTCGGCAGAGTCGGGCTCAGCTGGATTGTTCTGCGCATCGTCATGGTCGGAGGCGGCCGATTTGGACGACTGCTGCTTGGACGTGGACGATTGGTTGACCCGGCTGCGACTGCGCGGCGGAGGCGGACGCGAGGCGCCTAGCTTGGCCGACAGACGCTGATGCGATTCGGTCTCGGGCAGCAGCTGGCGAGGCTCATTGTCGGTCATGCTTGGCGCCGATGCGGTCCAGCTAGCGGTTGATCCGACGACAGATGGCAATTGTAAAAGAGGGTAGGGGTAGGCTGGTAAGGTAGCAGGATCAAGCTAGCCGCCAAAGTGCATGACGGTGGTTGGGGAGAGAGAGAGAGCCAAGAGGGTCTACGCTGTGTCGAAAGTGTTGCGTTGCGCTGCGTTGCGCTGTGCTGCGCTGTGCTGCCTTTGTGGTGGAAGGGGCCGTGCGGGCGTGCCCGCGTGTACCTTTCAACACGCACGTCTCCAAAAAAAAGAAGTGTTGGTTGCAGCAGCTGCGCCTTTTGCATGCGCAACGGGATGCTGCGCAAAGGGATGCTGCGCAAAGGGATGCAATGCAGCTGGAGACCGCACGCACCGCTGCCACGCGTCTGTCGTCCTTTGTCTCTCTCACCTCGCCGCAAGTACTGTAGCTTGGACTCGATAACCCCTGTCTAGGACGGATTCGAGCATGGCTTCGCAACCGCCCTTCCCGGCGCCGCTGACAGGCTCGCTGCAGCTGTACCAGAAGAAACCGATTGCGCTGCCGTACTTTGATTCGGATCCGGATCTGCCGCACTCGCTCGTCTTCATTCCGGGCCTCACGGATACGATCGGAACCCTCCCGTACCTGCCGGAACTCGCTGCTGCTATCCGCAAGCATGGCTTCTCGCTGGTCCAGCCGCAGATGACATGCAATCTGGGCGGCTATGGGCTGTGCTCGCTCGAGGGAGACGCGCAGGAGATGGCGGCGTGCGTGTCGTATCTGCGCAGCACGACCAGCAAGCGCAGCGGCAAAGTGGTCTTGATGGGCCACTCGACCGGATGCCAAGACATCGTCGCGTACCTACTCTCAGCCCAGCGTGCCGCAAGTGCGCTCACCAGGATCGATGCAGCCGTGTTGCAAGCGCCCGTGTCGGATCGTGAGTTTTTCGAGCTCACGCGAAGCTCGGCTCAGGAGCAGGTCCGTGCCGATATGGACCGCGAGCTCCAACACGCCACGCAGCTGCATCTCAGTGGCAAGGATGCCCAGCTCGTACCCCGCAAGCTGACCGACGGCATCGCTCTGCCGACCACGCCCCAAGACCTGCCAGACGAGGCGGTCGAAGGCCAGGCCAACACGGGCAACGCTTCCGCCGTGCTCTCACCCGCCATGACGGCGTATCGCATGTGGTCGCTCAATGCGCGCGGAGGCCACGACGACTTCTTCAGCTCCGACCTGGACGATCACCAGATCACCGACACCCACCCGGGCGCTCGCACCGTGGGCAGAGCCGTCCAAAACCTCGCGCACGGCTCGCCCAGCACCGCCCGCCTCTTGGCCCTCATCGGCGAGAAAGAGTGAGTGCCAGGCCCCCACGTCAAGCAAGATTTCCATCGTCCTCCAACTGACATCCTCCTCTGCTACTCTTTTCCACAGCGAGTATCTGCCCGACGGCGCCGCCGACATCCTGCTCAGCCGATGGAATGGACTGCTCGATTCCACCGGAGCCTTTCGAGCCATGATCGTGCCCGACGCCAACCACCAGGCATCCACGCCTACAGCTACAACGCACCTGCTCACCACGCTCGACGACTTGCTGCAGTCGCTGACTTAAGGTCAAATTAGATGCAAATGGAAGAAGAAAAGACACGATTAAAGGATGAAGACAGCAGTGGCTATGCCCGAACCAGCCACGAGCCGACCTAGAGGTGGGCGGGAGGCTGGCCGACGACGCCAAAGTCGTTGATGGGGAAGGCAGGCGCGCCCTGCTTGACGGGCATGTCCTCGGGCAGACCCTTGCCGGCCTGGCTCCGGCCCTGGTGGCCCTTGATGCGCACGACCTCCTCGACAAAGTCCTCAAAGATGCCGTTGGTGTCCTCGGGTCCACCGCAGTGCTCCGGGTGGAACTGGACACCCCACACCATCGCACGCTGCTCGCTCAGCTGCGTGCGGATGATGCCCTCCACCGACGAGTCGTTGGCATTGACAAACCACGGCTGCCAGCCCTCGGGCCACTTGCTCTCGTCCGGCGTCAGCGCGTAGCCGTGGTTCTGCGAGGTGATGTACACACGACCGCGCTTCACAAAGTTGCCCGCCGACTTGAGCGCCACCACGGGCTGGTTGTGGCCACGGTTGCCAAACTTCATCCGGTATGCTTCGACGCCCGCCGCTATGCCGATCACCTGGTTGCCCATGCAGATGCCGAAGATGGGGCGGTCCCACTCGGCGATGGCGGCGCGGGCCATATCGAGGGCGGGCTGGATCGAGTAGGGCGAGCCTGGGCCGTTGGAGAGGAAGAGACCGTCGAATCCGTCGCGCACCTTGTTGAAGTCAAAGTCCCATGGGAGCACGGTGACGGAGGCGCCGCGGCGGAGGAGGGAGCGCAGGATGTTGGCCTTGCAGCCAAAGTCCATGAGGGCGACGTGGCATCGTGCGGCCTGGGCGCCGCCGACGGGGTGGAGGACGTAGGGCTCTTTGGTGGACACCTTGGCGATGAGGTTCTCGGCCATGGGGTCTACGTAGTCGGTGAGGGCGGGCGCCTTGTCGTGGCCGTCGCCGACGAGGATGGCGCCGAGGGTGGAGCCCTGGTCGCGGAGGAGCGAGGTGATGGCGCGGGTGTCGACGCCAAAGAGGCCGGGGACGTTGTGGCGCGCGCACCAGGTGGCGAGCGACTCCTTGGCGAGGTAGTGGGAGAAGCGCTCGGCGAGGTTGGAGACGATGACGCCGGCGGCCTGCACCTTGTTGGACTCGAGGAAGGCGCCGACGTCGACGTCGGCGGGGTGCTCGACGGGCGACTGTCCGTTGGAGTTGTCAGGCACGCCGTAGTTACCCATGAGGGGCTGGGTGAACGTGAGGATCTGGCCCTGGTACGAGGGGTCGGTGAGCGACTCGGTGTACGAGGTGATCGAGGTGGTGAAGACGGTCTCGCCAAACACGCTGCGGGGAGCACCGAAGGAGCGGCCGGTGAACGAGTGGCCGGACTTGAGGTGCAAGGTGGCAGGCTTGGAGGCAGGCGCCTCGGTGTAGGTGATGGGGACCGAGGCGTGGGTGGCAAGCGAGCGAATCGCCGCACGGCCGATGAGCGGCGACACGGAGGAGCGCTGGAGCGCCATGTTGCGGAGAGGAGCCAGCATGGTTGCGGAGAAGGGGGTTTTTGAATAAGTTTAAGACTTTAAGACGATTGGATGCGATGCGTATACGCAAAGACTCTCAGGCGTTGTGAGAAGACTTGTAGACGGAATCACTGATGTAGTCGTCCCTGGTCTGCTGAACGAACATGCGCTACGCAGCCCTTTTGTGTTCGGGCGACAGAACTTGGTGTCTTGCGAGTGGATAGAAGGATGGAAGCCTAAAAAGCTTCGAAGCGATTTTGCTGATGTGACAGAAGGTTGGCTGGAGGAGCTGATGGTTGGAAGAGCAAGAGAGAGAAGGACGATCGAATGCGGGCGCAAAGATAAGGGGCAGGAGCACTCGCTACAGTGGCTCGCCCTTGGCTGGGCATCGGTTCCTCGTCGAGTCAAGTCGGCTGCTCGCGGCTTCCCACCAATCAAGATTCGGATTTTTTTCTTCCCATTTCACATCCACCGCTCTGTGCTGCCCAATCGCCGCGCTCGACAAAAATGGCGCACAGACACTCTCTACTGTACAGCAGCAACGGCGGAAAATTTCCCGAAAAAAGCCTCGCTCGGGATGGGTTGACTCGACGTCGCCCGAGTGAGTGACGTGACGTGAGCTGGTGCGCCCGCTGCTGCTGCTTGCTGCTTTTAGGCGATCAAATTTTGATTGGCTCGGTCGACCACGCCCGATCCAAAGACGCGACGGCGTTCGTTCTAACACCCGATCACAGCCGGGATCGGCTCCAAAGTCTAACATTTCTGGAGACTCGCCTCGGTCGCGGTCGAACGTAACAACGTGGAGCGGAGCGGCGGCCTTCCAACTACGGTCTGTGCGGACCCGCTGGTACCATCGAGCGCTTGCTGCAGCATACCATCTGCTACACAACCACGGCGAGGGCCAGCACTTGATCATGGCGGCCGCATCAGCTTCGGCGCCGATGCCGTACACCGTCGACGGCGCAGGACCCAGCCGTCAGCCGGTCGACTTTTCCGCCGCCCTGTCCACGTGGAGAGACATCAACCTCGTCGAGCTCCAGTCCCAACTCAACACGCTCGCGCCCGAGCTCCTCCAGGCACAGACCGCAGCTGTCGCCAACCGCAAGAAGCTCGCAGACCAGACGAGGGAGTTCAAGAAGCAGCCCGACGCCAACAAGCTCGAGAGCTTCAAGCCGCTCCTCAAAGCCTACCAGTCCGAGATCGACACGCTCACAAAGCGGTCCAAGGCGGCAGAGAATGCCTTCCTCAACGTCCACTCCGCGCTCGGCTCCGCACCAGATCCGTATCCGCTCCTCGAGGTCACGCTCGAACAGGCCGCCTCGCTCAACGACCTCGAAAGCCTCAAGCAAGCCAACGCCAAGCTCACGCGCGACCTCGCCCAGCACCAATCGCGCTCCGACGCAGCCAAGGCGCAAGACACCGAGAACGCGCGTCTCCAGCAGCGCATCCGCGCACTCGAGCAGGACTTCGATGCAAGGCTAAAGCAGAGCACAGCCGCACTCGAGCGAGAGCTCTCGGCCAAGTGGGACGAGAGGATACGCAACCTCAACGAGCGCGAGGCGGATCTTACAAAGTCACTCAACCTCGCCCAGGAGCAGCTGCAGCATCTCAAGTCCAAAGACGACTCGGCCACTGCACAGCTGCTCGGTAGCACGCACCCGGACGACCTCGACGACGCCGATCCGACCCAGCGCAATGGCAAGGCCAATCTGGCCGCCGAGGTCGAGCTGCTCTCGCGCGACTTGGACCGCGCGCATGCGCGCGTCGAGAGCGTCGAACGCCGCAACGAGCAGCTGCGCGCCGAAGTCGAGAGCGTAAAGAGCGGCCGCCAGGAGAGCGACAAGCTGTCGCTGCTCGAGGCCGAGTCGCAGCAGAAGGACCGCAACCTCGTCCAGCTCCAGGCATCGCTCGAACACGAGCGACAGCGTGCAACCGAGCTCAGCGCGCAGCTCGACTCGTCGCGCCAAGCGCAGCGCAAGCAGATCACCGACAAGGACGCCGAGATCGAGTCGCTGCGCACCAAGCTCCACCAGCGCAGCGACTACGCCGACATCAAGCGCGAACTCGACATTGTCAAGGCGATCCATTTCAGTGCAGAGGACGACGAAGACACGCCCAACACCGACGACAAGCGCGCAGCATCCGCCTCGGGCACTGCCGCCTCCTCGCCAAGCCTCGAGGCGCTGCTGTTGAACAAGAATAAGCGCCTCGAGGATCAGCTCGCCACGCTGCGCGTTGCCAACACCGAGCTGTCGGCTTCGCTCGACAAGGCCGCCTCCGACCTGGCTTCCCTCACCGCAGAGCTCGCGCAGTCAAAGACACTCAACCAGCGCCTCGAGGCGGACCTCGTCTCGGTCGGCCGCGAGAGTCGCTCGGGCGCCAAAAACACCGCCGCCATGAGTGCCGAGGACGCTCTGCGCCAGATCGAATCGCTCGAGGCCGAAGTCAGCCAGACACACACGACCAAGCCACGAGCGTCCACGTCGGCGCGCGCAGTGCCAGCCTCTGCTGAGGCGGCGACGACGACGACGAGCTCCGGCGGCGACAGCAGCATCCTCACCATCATCACCTCTCAGCGCGATCGTTTCCGCAGCCGCAACGCCGAGCTTGAAGAAGAGCTGCGCAGCCAGTTCGACACGATCAGTGAGCTGCGTGCCGAGATCAAGACGCTGCAGTCGGACAACCTGGCGCTTTATGAAAAGATGCGCTACTTGCAGAGTTTCTCGGGGCGGCAGCAGGGGGGAGGAGGAGCGCGGTCCGAGGCGGTGATTCAAATGGGCAGTGGGGGGACGGATGCATCGGGTGCCTATCCACCCGCCCGCACTGGTGGCGACGACAAGTACCGCGCAAAGTACGAGGAGGCCATGAATCCCTTTGCGGCCTTCCGGGGTCGCGAGCAGACGCGCGCCATGGCACAGCTCAACCCGCTCGAGCGAGCGCTGCACGTGCTTACACGCCTCGTCGTCAGCCATCGCCGCATGCGCGTTGTCTTCATGGCGTACGCCATCGGGCTCCACCTCCTCGTACTGGGCATGCTGTTTGAGGTGTCGGCTACCTCGTCCGCTCAGACTTGTTCAGTGCCGCACTGAGACTGCACAGCCGCAATGACAACTCAAACTGCGCACCATGGAAAGCGAATCGCCGCAGTCTGTGTGAAGAGGTAATGCGGACACTCCACACCGCAGGTTCAGCTTTACGATCCAATCCATGTCCGCGGGATCATGGCAGTCGGGTGAGGGAGGAGGCGGGATTTCTGTGGTATGGTTCAGCATCGGTTGGCGTCATGCATCGGTTGTCGGCAAGACACGCTTCGCCTCGCACCACCCACATCGCCACAAGGTCCACTCAAAATGCTCGCAAGTTGCATGCTGGATCATGGCAGTCGGTGTGAAAATCAAGCTGGGATTACTGTTGCGTGGCCCAGTATCGGCTTGCGTCGTGCGTTGGCTGTCGCGCCGACGACACAGATGGCAGAGCTGGTGGATTGAGCCTATTGGGCCTGAGTGAAGCCTCGAGGGAACTACCCATGGCGGCGTGGCGCGGGAGCTCGGGAGTCTCGTGGAGTGGATGGTTTGCAGCCGAGCTGGGGTCGGGCGATACGGGTGGGGGCGAAGCGAGTCTGCGATCGCGCGACGGGTCTACATGGATCGCCGGCAGAGTGAGTCGTGGTGACAGCGGTGCGTATGCCGTTGGGCGTTGGGCATCTGCATGCAGACGCAACGGCGGAAGGTCGACCGATCTGCTTTCTCGCTGTGCGTCTGTATACCCGCTCGCGTGGCCACGATCATGCTGTTCCACCCCCGCACCATACGAGACCTCCTGCGTCCTACGCTCTGCATCCATTCCCACATGACTTGCTCCCACGTCCCCCGCCGCTCTGCTCCGATCGTTCCCAGCATCGGTCGCGCCATCCCGGTTCCTCTTTTTCTCCAGCGCCTTTGCCTTGGCACGTCGATTCTGGAACCAGATCTGCACCGCGCGCACGGGCATGTCGAGCTGCGCACTGATCTGCTTGCGCAGCGTAGCGTTGGGCTTGGGCACCTCGCGGAACGTCGACTCGAGCACGCGGAACTGCGTCTTGGTCGTGCGTCGACGATGCTTGATCTCAAACGGATTCAGCGCATAGAAGCGCGAGTCGTGTGCGCTCTGCGGTGCCAGATACGACACGTAGCCCGAATGCGTCCCAAACGAGGGCGAGTAGGCATCGTACGACGAGCCCGACGGCAGAGGCAACGACGAACTCGATGCGCCGTACACCAGTCCTCCCGCTGTATGCTGTGTTGACACGCCGCCCGGATAGACTACGCCGCCGGGTGAGACCGACACCACGGCAGGATGGTAGCTCTGCACTGCTGAACCTGCTGCCATCGGTTGCACCGACGCAGGACGGTACGGGTGAAAGTGCTCTGCGCTTCCCACGCCATAGTACATCTGCGCCGGTGTGCCTGCTGCATTGAGCGCGATCGGATGCGAAACAACGCCTGTCGGCGACAGAGCTGGCAGCGAAGCACTCGACGCATACCGATGGTGCGACGAATCCGACAGCGTGTAGTGCGCGTCGGTGGGCGAGATGGCCGAGGCCATGGCGAGCTCCGAGTCGCTAGCCACGCTCTGGTCCCAGTAGGAGAGCAGCGATGCGCTCGACGACGACGACGACAGCGGCGCCGTGGCCGACGTGGGTGGACTGATGTTCGACGAAGCCGGATGCGCCGCCGAATGCGCGCCCGACATCCACGACGGCGTCGACACGGTGCGCGGCACACTGAACGCCTGCCCTGCTGCGCGCTGAAGCGGATACTGCGCGTGCTGGGCCGTCTGCTGATAGTTCTGCTGCTGCTGGTGCTGCTGGTTCTGTTGCTTCGAAGGTGGGTGCTGGTGCTGGTGCTGTTGTTGGTGCTGCTGCTGCTGCTGGTGCTGTTGCTGCAGGTGCTGTTGCATCTCGTGCTGGTCCTGCTGGTCCTGCTGCGAGGGCTGGTGGGTCTGGTACATGTGGTGGTGGTGGGCGAGCTGCGAATTGTGCGGTTGGCCGGGGGCTCTAGAGTGATACGAAGCCGAATACATGGAAGCGGTATGCGGCGTCGTGTACTGCTGTTGCTGGTTCGTGGGCGGCTGCTGCTGGGCATACAAAGGCTGTGGTGTGGCTACAATCTGGTGCTGGGGTCGATCTGCGATGTCTGGTGGTGTGGTGGGAGTGCGTCGAGACGAAGCGGGTTGATCGGTGTTGTCGAGGGCTCGAGTGTTTCGTGGTGGAAAGCCCGTGTTCATGATCTAGCTCAGGGGCACGGAAGCATGTGCTGCGCATGCAAACGTGCGCAGAGCGCTGGGAGCAGCTTGAGAAACGGCGAAAAAAAAACGAGTGTGATGGTGGTAGTGACTGACGAGAAACGAGTGGCTGGTGATGACAACGAGAGGCGAAGGTGTCCATGGGAGCTCGAGCACACGAGAGGGTTCCGATTGAGATGGGGCCGTCAACGAGGCAGAAGAAAAACAGGCGGTCCTAGACGAGGGCCAGGTCGGGAGGGAAAGGCAATACGTGGAGAGCTGGCGGGGTGATGTTGCACGCCGAGTCCCGCGAGTAGGAGGAGGATACAGGATGGAGAGAGGGGAATACGACTCGCCAGACGGCGTTGTGGCGGCGCTGCGATGAGCGGGCCCGGACGAGATGAGTTTCGGGTAGGTGCGTGGGTGTCACAAGAGGCAGCGAACCAATGGCGACCCAAAGATAGCGCAGCGACGAAGCAGGACGCGGAAGTGCGGGCGCGAGAAGGAGGGCAAAGCGCCAACGAGAGATGGGCGGAACAGACTGCGGGCGCAGACGGGAAGTATATTTGCCACGAGGCCGACTGGAACGAGCAGGGAGGGCAGATTGCCAAGGAGTTGCGTCGGTGCTAGAAAAAGCAGATGGACTTGGGTCAATATGGGGAGCTGGAAGTGCTTCTTCTGCGGCACGGCGGCGCGGCGGCGCGGAGGAGAGAGGGAGGTGGCTGCGGGCGTTGCTGGGCGAGTAGCTGCACGAGCGGGTGTCATGCGACAGCGGACCCAGGGAAGGAGAAGAAGGCGGGCAAGGCGACAAGCCAGCGAGGCAGCCAGACGCAATGATGATGCATCGCTGGTTGCGCGGAGCCGATTCGGTGGGAGAGCCAGCGGGCGAAACTTTGAGGCGGGAGGGGAGGATGCAGCGATATGCCGGTAGGACCCTGATTGCGGTCTGGAACGGCGCGGCGCCAGGGTTGAGCGCGGAGGCGAGGGCGAGATGCGCTGTTGTCAAGCAGAGCAGGCCATCGTGGGCCGAGAGCGACATACGATGGCTCCCGCGCCGATCGCTACGCCGAGTGAAATCAAGCGCCGGGCGGTGTAGGGCGAGGCAGGGCGAGGCAAGGCGAGGCAAGGCGAAGCGATGGAGCCAAGGGAGTGGCTCGGGTGGGAGAGCGGCGCGGGTGACATGGCAGGTGTTGGACTCGGGAGCCCAGACGGGCTGGCGAGTGTGGTGCATGAGAGCATGCGAAGGGGGCGGCTCGGGCTGCTACCCGTTGAAAGCGTGGAAAGAGCGGTGTCGGCGAGGTGGGCGGTGGTATTGTTGGGCGACACATGTTCAACTCCGCCGTCTGAGAATCAATGCCGAAAAAGAAAGAGAAATTCAGAATGGTGTTGGCGAGCCACAGCGCTACTGCATCGCTACCCCTTGCGCCGTACCTTTTTTCAGGATTTTCTCTTTCCCTTTTTTTCCAAGATTTCCGGACATAGGTGTGTCCATTTCGACGTCTCTGCACCGGTTCTGCTCTCTGGCTGGCGAGACAGTAGCGACTCTTCGGTAGAGAGGCAAGAGGAGCTGCGTGCTGAATTAGGCAAGAGGCGATGCAGGCCAGACCACTCTCGAAGAGCAAAATGTAGTTGGCTACGGAAGAAATACGGAGCGCCAAAATGAGCCGGCTAAATATCAATTTAATTAATGTGCCAAAAGAGAAAAAGGGAGAGAGAAGGGGGCATTTTCCAGCCGAGGAAGCCACGCGCCCGGGTTTGACGCCAACAAACAAAATAAAAAACCGAAAAGGGGTCTCCCTCTGGGATCCGAGATCCGCCATTTGCTCCGCGCAAGCCGCGGCAGAAAGGGTGGCAGCAGGGGGTGAAGGTGGCTGCTGCTTTCGGTCGACAACATCCTCACGTGGGCTTCGCTCGGCTTTCTCTGGCTTGTTGGCTTGCATCGTAGCATTGTTGCAAGAGAGAGGACGGGCCGGGTTGGGAATCGATTTCGAGACGCATGAGCGCCGATGCAATTCCGCCTCCCGTGGTGTGCTCCTGTCGATGCACGCGTTGGCGCCGCCAAAGTGACAGCGCACCCGCCTTCCCGAAGCTGCTGGTGCTGCAGCTGCTGCGTCCAACTTTATTTAAAATAATTTTTCTCAAGAGCCAATTTCTCGCGCTGTCGGAATTCGGCAGAAAATATTCCGCGCGTGCCGCCCAAGCAGGCCGAGCGTCCCAAGAAGCGGGAAGCCTCCTCTGCCACACGCGGGTGCCTCTGGCTTGGCTTCGCTTGGCCCGCCGCTGCCACTGCCATCGTCTCGTGCATTCCTCAGCCACTTTGGTCTCGCTTTGTTTCGTTGCATTGCGTTGGTCTACAAGTCACTTTTGTGGCACAGCTGTGTCGACACGTGATCGGATCCTCGCGCTCTACGCATCGAAGCGTGCCACGCGAGCGGGCGGGCAGGCGCGCACGCGAGCCGGCGCTCACTTTTGCGCCGACGGGTCTTCGCACGGCTCAGGAACCGGCACACTGTCGTCTAGCGGCGGCAGCACTACCCGTCCAACCTTGTGGTACTTGGCGTGCTTGTCGTAGAAATCCTTCCATGCCATCAGGCCCTGCAAGTCCACCGAATACGAACCAGAGTCAGCTGCGTCAGTCTTTGTTTGGTCTCGTCCCGCTTGGCTGCGCCGTCGCGCACTTACGCTCATCTGCTGGTCGTCAAAGTCGCGCACGTCGTACGTCAGATGCGTTTTGAAACATCCCGTCACGTATGCGCGGCTGGCATCGCGCCCGCTGAAGAACGAGTAGTAGCCCCCCGGCCCGTAGATCCGTCGGCCCTCGCTCACGTCGTAGACATCGCCCAAAATAGCAATCTGTACAGCCACCACGTCAGCCTTGGTCAGCTTTCATCCTTTATCCCCCGCTGCCTTGTCGCAGTGCACTTACGTAGATCGGCTTCTTCTCATCCCGTCCGTTGTACATGGCCAGCTCCGGAAGCGAGAAGATCTTCTCCCGATACTGTTCCGCACCCGATGAAGCCCTGTGGTGTCAGTCCAATGCTCGTCCTTTCCGCCACCGACATACGCCACCAATATACACTTACAGGGAGATAGGTGCGCAGCTTCGTGTACTTGCCTCGGTAGCCCCACAGCGGATCGCCCGCCACAAACAAGCCCGTCACCATCGCAATCGCGATCGACATGATCGCAAATCGCACCACCTTGATCATCATCCGCGCGGCGCCGCTCAGATCCGTCGTCTCCTCGGCGCCATTGCTCGAGCGCCTCGACTTGCCCTTCTTGTCGCTCTTGCTGCTGTTGCTACCGCCGCTAGAGTCGCGTTCGGCCGCCTTTCTTCGCCTCACCTCCTGCTCCTCCTTCCACCGCTGATGAACCAGGAAAGGCGAGTTGGCTTTCTTCTTAGGTACCGTTCGCGCAGGGTTCGATGGATCGATGTCTCGCTCACCTGTCGCGCCCGTCGCATGGCTCGTTGCGTTGCTCGTCGCCGCCTGCGTCGCTTCAGGCGTAGGCGTCACCGTTCCCGAGCCCGCCGGCGTGTCGCCTCGCGGTCGATCCGAAGGTCCCGCCACCCTTCGCCACTCGTCGTTCGCCACGTACGGCTCCGAGCAGAACGTACTGAAAAAGTCGCGGAAAAAGTTGCGCCACGGTGCCCTGTCGTAGTCAAAAGGACAAAAAGAGAGAGCTACGTCGTCAGTATGATGCCAGAGCCGTGCCACTATACGAGCAAGAACCTACTGCGAGGGAAGAGAGTGGCCGCCGTCGTGAAGTTCCACGCGCGAGTTCTTGCACACGTCGACGAGCGTCTGCGAGCGTTCCAGATCCACAATCTGATCCGCACGTCCCAGCACGTGCAGCACGGGCGTTTGAATGGGCTGCTCAAACAGCTTCTGGTGCAGCTTGTCGCGGCTGCGGAAACCGGACACGGCCACTGCGAACCGGAAGGCTCCCTGTCCCTTGGGCAGCTCGAGGCCAGACATGCGCTCTGGCTTCTCGAACGCACTCGCAAGGATCCCTGCCAGACATCCACCCTGAGAAAACCCGACGATGCCATCAAACGGTCCTTCGGTCTTGAGCACCTCGTTCAGGTACGCCACCGACTTGTCCCAGTCCAGATAGTTGCCATCGTCGTCCGCTCGCCACCACGCACGCGGCTGCTCCTCGATCGGCGTGTCTTCGTCCACCAACTTGCCATCCTCCACGTCCGGCGCATCCAGATCGCCCGCAGACGTGATCGGCTGCACAATCAGCGGACCATTGATAAACGTAAAGTCGGCCACGTCGCGGCACGCCTTGCGAATCGCACCCGAGCGCTTGAAGAATTGGAACTTGTTGCTCGTATATCCGTGTGCCATAAGCACCTTGAGCTTGCGTGTCGTGCCAGCCGTCGTCATCTTGATCGGATCGTATGCACAATCGCAGATGGTGGTCTTCCAAGATGGCCTCATCGCGCAGCGACTGCCCCACCAAATTCAGCACCTCCCGCCGGCGCGCCCACATCCGAATCCGCCACGTCGATTTCCGCGATCCGGCGCTCGCTTGGTACCGGCCGAAATCACACCTCCGCACGTCATCCATTCGCAGCACAACGCCATCTACCAACGCGCATCAATCCACAAGCGAGCCAGACCGCATGCAAAGGCAAACAAGTAACACAGAGTTGAACCTCGAGCCCTAACAGGAGTGAGTCAAGAAGACAAAAGAAACAAAAGAAACCCCCCCCCCCCCCCCAAACAGCAACGAATCGAAAGGCAGCGCTGGCTTGCCGCACAAATCGACGCCGACGGCGCCTCAGCACTGGTAGTGGAAGTCGGTGGGGAAGATGACGCCGTCATGGCGCACCACCAAGATGGGCACGCGCCCACGAGGCAGACCCGAATCGAAGGCTGGCGGCGCCGCGCACACGATCGTTTGCCGCGTGCGCACTTCCACATGCGTGCTCTTCCAGTCGCCAAAGAAGATGAACAGGTTCGGGTGGAAGTTCTCGCCCAGGATGGTCACCAGCCCGGGACTCTGGTCGCCCGCGCCTCCCGCTGCAGCCATGGCCGCCGAGCGGCTATCGCGAGAGGGCGCCACGACGTTGGTGATGATCGGAATCGGCGTGATGGGCTGCGCAGGCGCAGGCACCGTGATCAGATGCGCAATGTTGCTGTCCGTGATCGACGTCTGCGGCTGCGAGCCCCCGACGATCTGCGGCGGCACGTAGAACGAGTGGCGCGCGATGTCGGTGCCCACCACCGTCCAGATGTCCGAGTCGGCCACCTCCACCGACCACATCGCCCCGGGTGCGATGCTCGCCACCGACGAGTCCGACGTCATCGAGTTCGTGTAGGAACCCGTGCGACGCAGGATCTCGACGTCCGAAAGCCCCTGGTTCTGCATACCCACCACCGATAGCGACTGTCCGCGTCGGCGGTTCTTGCTCGCAGCCGCGGCAGCCGCCGCGCGCTCCTTCTGCACCACCACCGAAGACGACACACGTCGCGGCCGCTTCACTTTGCCTCCGTCCGACGATGGCGGTGGTTCCATGCTGCCGGAGGCGTCTTGCGATGACGTCGACGGCGACATCATGCTGCCAGCCCGGCTCGCGCCCAACGAAAAGCGAGTCTGGGCAGCAGCATAGGCAGCAGCCGACGTCGGGCTCGTCGGAAGGAAGCTTCCAGAGACCGGCTCGCCTGCGTCCATGGCCGCCAGGTTCATCGATGTCACCGGCGTCGTCGGCGTCGAAGGTACGCTGTAGCCACTGTTGCCCATCCACTTGCGCGGCTCGCTGGGACGATGCATGCCCACCGACTCGTTCAGGCACGCCAAGAACGGCCCGCTCTGACCCGGCGACATGGACTCGCCAGACTCGTCCATCGGCCGCGGCACCGACGCCGATGGATCTTCGAGCACTTCAAGCGCAATCTTGTGCAGCTGAGACACGGGATCGCCAAAGGCCTCGCGCGAGATCGACTCGGTCGGTCCGGCAGACGCACCGCCTAGCACCGTCGTACCCTTCTCCACCTTGCGCACCACCATCACTGGGCTCACAACCGCCGTGTTGAGGCACTGTAGCACGATCGGCTGGTTGTAGTGGATCGTCATCTGCGAGCTCGTCAGCCCCACTGTAGGAAGCGCGTTCGGCGGCGGCGGCGGGTAGCCCTTGACGGGAGGCTGAAGTGGCTCCGACGGCGTCGCATCGGCCCTTTGGTTTGGATCGACCAAGTAGATGACAAACGGATCCCAGCTCGACATCTTGGCGACGAAGCAGCTCGGAGGCTCTTGACCTTTCTGATCTCGCGGATTCATGTTGAGAAACGGCTGGTTGTCCGAACCCTTGAACCACGACGGCGCGCCTGAGACGCACAGGTATCGAGTCGAGACCGTCTGGGAGCGCAGGCGGTGGAAGAGCGAGATGACGGAGCCGTGGTTGACGCAGAGCTCCGTGTTGCGAGACGACTGTCGCTTCTTGCTGGGCTTGCTAATCACCTTGATCGGGCGGCTGGGGAAGGTGCCCAGCAAACGTCGATCCATGGGCGAGGAGCCAGGCACCGAGATCGAGACGAGCGCCTCTACGTGGCGTCTCTTTTCGTCCACGTCCGATATGTAGAGCTGCTTGCCAATGCATCGGCCGGAGATGGCCATCTCTGAAGACGGGTTGCCCACGTCGATGAGACGACCGCTGCTCGAGGCCCACTCGAGGGCGCCGTCCTGAATACCCGGTTCGCCGCTGATGTTGATCGTAACGCGCGGAGGCGAGAGCACCGTCGGGGTCTGATCGACATCCATGGGACCTGCTTGGGAAAACGGCTTTGCAGGCGCGGGGCAGGCGTTCCACCAGCTGCTTCCGATCAGGATCACCAGAGGCGGCGGGCACAGGAAGCGCTTCTCGGCACCGTAGCTCTTTTGAGCGACGCGCGTGGTCATGATGAGCACGTTGCGCTCACCCAGACCCAGACGACTGGGCGTCGAGATGTATTGGCGGATATAGTCTTCGATGAAGGCCGAACAGTCGCCAAAGTTGCGCTCGGTGACGCCTAGGCCGTGGATCTGGCGCAGACGGTTCATCTCGGCCATCGAGACTTGCTGGTAGAGGCTGGGACGCATGTTGGGAGGGAAGGGCATCTGGCTTCGGAAGTGCGGCGGCGTATCCATGGGCAGTGGCTGCACCTGATCTGGATGGCTGCGCTGCAGGACGAGCGGTGGTTGACCGGCCAAGTGCTGGTGGTGCTGAGGCTGGTGCTGGTGCAAGTGCTGGGAGAGCTGCTGCTGCTGATGGTGGTGGTGGTGTTGTTGTTGCGCATGGAAGGGAGCGTCGATGTGCATGCCGTCCTGCGCCTGTCTCGACATCAAGCTAGGACGGCCATCGGCACCGAACGAGACATCTTCCTCCTCCTCTACGATGGTGGGAGTGCTGTGACCCTCGCGCTGGTGTGATGCTGTCGGAGGGCCAGAGCTGATGGATGCACTGTTGGCGAGCGCCGACGAGAGCCGCTGTTCGTTGAAGCCGGCCATGTCGAATCCGTCCGAGGTGAGACTGCCGGACGAGCTGAAATGCTGCGTCGTCTCGATCGACGGAGAGAAGAAGGGCATCATCGCCGACGCATGCGAGCCAAAGTGGGCCTGTGGCGAGTATTGGGATTGAGCAGGCGAGGTGAGCGTCGGGCTGAACTGCTGCATCTGCGGCGTCTGGAAGCCGGGCCCCGAGTAAGGCGCTCGGAAGCTCTGCGATTGGGCCATCTGAGGTTGCACGGGGCTCCACGGCTCCATGGCCGACGGTCCGGCAGGATGGCGCGGACTGGAGAGGTGCGCCGACATGGCCGGGCTCTGCATTTGGCCGAGGTTCTGCACGCTACGACTCTGCGAGAGTCCAAAGAGCGGCGAGCCGGTGCCGGTATTGTACGAGGCTATCTCGCTCTGCATGCTGGTGGTGCGCGTCAATGCCGAGACTGGTCGCACGGCCACGCCGCTACCCGAGCTGGATCGAGGCCGGTTGGCAAAGGATGCCTGAGCGTCGCTACCGGATGCAGTGCCCGTGCCAGCCGAGGAGGTGAAGCTGGCGACCGACTTGAGACCGCGACTTGCTGGACGACTGCCAGGCCGGGAGGAGAAAGCGCCGGAGAGTGTCGAGCTCGGACTGTAGTGGCCGCCTGTGAGTTGCGACACCACGGGCGAGCTGGGCGATGCAGGAACGCCGAGATGAGCAGAAGCTGGCCCCAGCCTGTCGGGCACACTGGCTAGACCAACGACGCTCTCTGCCTGAGCCGGCTGCGGTCGGTTGGACATGTAGGCGGCAGCGTGCTGTGCAGCCGAAGACGGCGAGCGCGCGGAGGCGCCTTGATTGAGATAGCTGGACTCGGTGCCAAAGGCAGGCATGAGACCAGGGGCGGCAGTCTGGCCGGAAGCCTCGTCGAGCGATGCATCTCTGGCGAGGTCGGCCTGGTGCTGCTGCATGGGGTCCTGGCCGTGGAAAGAGGCAGAGTCGAACTGGGGCAGGGGCGCAAAACGGGTCTGGAGCGCCTGCGGGGTGGAGGCGTGGCCGGTGCCGGCCGAAGTCGGATCCGCGACCTGAGGGAGGTGCAGGCCAGACTGCGACGCTTCCATGTATGCGCTCGAAGGGACGGAAGACATGTCGATCTTGAGCGCGGCTGGACGCGCAGCCCTCTGCAAGCCCGGAGAGACGCTGGAGTTGGAGGCTTCTGGCTGGCTTGCGTCCGAGGGACGCATGGGATCTGACCAGCCCTGCTCGGAGCCGCTGGGAGGCCGGGAGGGGTAGTGGTCCTGCTGCTGCATGAGAAACTGGGAGCTGTTGTGAGACGTCTGCGAAGATGGGTGCATCGCACCTTGATCCAAGCCCGGAGCAAAAGGTTGGGCCTGGCCGCCAGCATGTTGGTGATCGAGATGAAAGCCGGAGCCGTGCATGGCGACTGCGGAGCCGTCGAGGAAGAGTGGTGGGCCGGAGTGCGCATCGGCTGCGCGCTCTGGCGTGTTGGCGGTGATGGCATTGACGGCGTGGGAAGGTGGTTGTTGCATCTCGTGCGGTGGCTGAGATGAATGATGTGAATGCCGGGACTGTTGCGAGAGGGAGAGCTGTTGTTGGTGCTGGTGCTGTTGGTGACTTTGGTCGTGAGGCTGTGGCTGATGTGTCATGTCGCGGTGTTGTTGTTGTGGTTGATGTTGCTGTTGCTGCTGCGAGGGATGCAAATGTTGATGCTGGTTCTGCGGCAAATGTGACTGGTGGAGCTGCTGTTGCTGCATGCCGAACGCGAACGGCGCCGTTGCCGAGCCTGGGGCTCCGTTGGATCTACTGGCGGACGCGCCAGGATAGACGTCGGAGCTGTTGTCGGCGGAGGATGGATAGGCTGCGGGAGAAGCGTCGTAGGTCATGGATGCGTGGGAAGCGGGGCGATTCTGAGCATCGTGCGCCATTTGAGCCTCGAGGCTGAGGTCGGGGGATGGATGTGCGGACGCGTCCTGGGACCATGTTGGCTGAAACATGGTTGGCGTGCCGCTCGAAGGGCCAGGCTAGCGGGAGAGAGGGGGAGGGGGACGCTGGCGCGGAGGGGAGGTGGACGCAAGGCAGCACGACCACCGAAAATCCACGAGCGTTCCGGAGCTGGTTGCGGAGGATCTAGGGGTGGAAGAGAAGCGGACGGGTGCCAGCTGGCGTTGAGGAAGGATGCGGCTGACTGTAGTCAGACATCTAGCACGCGCGTAGCGGCAGCTCTCCAAGGGCAGGGCGGGGGGGAGCAGGGGCCAAGACGAGCGAGACGGACGCCGTGCTGACGGAACGGGACCGAGGCAGCGGGCGGGAGTGCGTCAAGATGAGTCGAGCGGAGGGAGGCGAGAGATGAGACGTCTGGCAATGCGGGCCAAGGAGTGAGGCTTGATGAAGAGCGAGTGGATGTGTTCCTGTGGCACAAATGAAAGCGGCTGGCGATGAGAATGCGCGCGATGCCGCTGTGGTGCGTGAGACGGTCGGTTTGGTGCAACGACGGAGGGAGGGTTGTCGAGTCCGGGTGGCGGGATGAAGGGGGATGCGGGCCTGGAGCGGCAGGCGAGCGTTGGAAGTGGACGTGGACGTGGACGTGGACGTGGACGAGCGGGTGCGCTTGGCAGCAAATGTGGGCGCGGCGCCGGCAAGGGTGATGTCGAGCCGAATGCGTGCGTAGTGTGCGAAAGCGTGCGAAAGCGTGCGAAGTTGCAATGGACGTGCAAAGGGTGCAGAGGTACGGGCGTCGTGCCAAGAGGATGGAGAGGGTGGGGAGCGATGATTCGAGATGCTCCCGCAAGCTCGAAGCTTGAGTGGGTGGGATGAAGTGAAGCCAGGTGGTTTGAAGGTAAGAGAGGGAGTCGGAGGCGGAGGAGTCCGAGTGCCGGGGCTTGGCTATGTTCAGCCACGAAAGGCGGCGTGGGGCTCGATTCGATACGAAACGAGGCGGGCCGGACGATGTGGAGCCCGACGCTTTGGAGTGATGGGATGGGCGTCTGCACGCTGATGAGCCGAGGTATGAGATGAGGAGGAGGGGATTGCGGGTGGTGGTGATGAGGAGGAGGAGGAGGAGGGGGAGGAAATGCGGAAGACGAGCCGACAGTCGGAAGCTGCTGAGAGCGGAGGCTGAGCGGAGGCGGAGCGGAGGCTGGTGGTGAGGAGGTGCCAAGAGCAGGTGGCCCGAGTGAAAGCGCGTGCGGACGGTGGTGCCGATTGGAGCTCGTGCGGCAGCGGCAGCAGCACAATGGCGACCTGGCGATTTTACGCTTCCTGTCAAAACGGTCACCAATCTGAGCGGCGGAGACACCGAAGGCGAGACCCCAGCGGACGTGCGGACGTGCGGACGTGTGGTCGAGCGGTCGAGCGGACGAGCGGCTGAGCGAGCGGATGGCGGCGGGCGCTTGGGTCTGTCAATTGTGCAAGTTGAAGCGCTCGCCAGGATTTTTGGCAGCCTCGCTTTGGCAGGTCGAGGCCAGGCAGCCAGCCATCCAAGGCTCTCAGGGCCCAGCTTGAGCGCTTCGGTTCAAAGGCGGTTCGCGCGCTGGCTCGGCAGTCTTGAGAGCAGTGTTGCACTTTTGGCGTCTTCTTTCCAATTTGGGCCTAGCGCCATCCCAGCTCGCCCTGAAATTCCAACAAAAAAACGGTAACTTACCGCTGTCTGCCCGTCTGCTGTCTGCCTGTCTATCCGTCTCGAGACCTTGCCGCTGCGGGAGAGCCGAATCGAGCTCCAGGCGAAAGCGTGCATGTGTGTGTGGTGCGTGTGCGTGGACCGCCTCCTTGTCGGCTCGTCCCGATGAACCGCTCAGCCATGCTTTGCTTTGCTATGCTAGGCCAGGCCAGTCTCGGCCCGTCTCGCCCTCTCTGGCCCGTTTGCTTGGTGTGGGTGGGCCAGCTGTCGGCCAGCGTCCGAATTCATCGCCTCGAGTTGCGGCGGCTAAGTTAGTCGTCCGTGGGCTGCGAGCGAGCCTTGCGCCAGCCGGGCCATCGATACCGCTGCCGCGAGTTTCACGCGGTGGCAACCGACTCACTGATCGACCGCGCCGCAACACCTGCTCTGTCTCTCTCTCCTGCCTATCTCGGCCCTCTTGGAAAATCGCTCGGACGAAGAGAAATTTCAGACGCGAACTCGCCCGACCCTGCGCCGCCCAGTCCGCGGCTTCCATGCGATTTTTTTGAGAGAAGTGGCCTGTGCGAGACGTGCTGATCGGCATCGGAGACCCCTTTGGCTAGGATCGCCGATCGCTCTCTCCCGTGCCCGACTTTGTGTTCGCAGTCGCTCGCTCAATGTCGGGCCGCCGCCGCCGACGTGCCGAGTCTGGCCCCCTTGATAGGTGCTTGCCCTTCAGTCTCTGATATGACGATGAACATGCAACACGCTTCTCCGCTGTGGCAAGATAGGCACAGCAGTTGGAATTGTTATCCCCTTTTTGTGACAGCATTTTACGGGCAGAATTTGTGCAAAATTGGTCGTGCTGTCCAGGTTCATCCGAGCATCGCGAACCCGGGCTGCAGGGTGCATTGTCCGTCCATCCAGCTCCACTGCGACAAAGAACAACAGCTGCGAGAAGAGCACGCGAGAGCAAACAGGCGCTGTGAATGGCATCGATGGAGCGCCGATGGATCAACGCGGCGGCCGAGGTGGCATGGAGCGAGCGCATCGGCTAAATCAATGCCTACGAAGGGCGGAACGAGAGATCATACTCGACTGTAACTTACCTCACGCAGCAAGGCCGGACGGGGCCACAATGCAGAATGCGGGGTTGGCCAAAGGGGAGGTCCAGGTCCGGGATGCAATCGATTCGCACGGCCAACCGGAGAGCCGAGCCACCGACTGCACCGGCAAACGAGATACGCAGCTCCCGCCGCACAAGCACCGGTCAACCGCTCATTGTCAAGGTGGGGGGGGGGGGGGGGGGGGGTGGGAGCCAACCCACCTCGCGAGAGAGCAAAGTGTCGAGCGTATGTTGAGCGGGCGTCGAAGCGGACACGTGCTGCACCTCCTCTGTAGCCGGATCATTCCTCGGCCCAATCCGAAAGCCAGGTGCATGCTACTCTACACGACACAACGGACGGGTCAGGTCGAGTGGAGAGAGGCTTGGTGGTGGTGGCAAGGTCACTTGACTTGGCAAAGAGGCGCAGATGGATGTCACGGAGAGTTTTTTTCGGTGGACCTGGCCGGCTGGATGAGTGCCGGCGCATGGTGTACTTTGGCGCGGGTCTTTGGGTGCTTCTGCCCGGTTGGTCCGAATGCTCCGCTCGGCTCGCTGCGCCAGGGGGCCCCAAAGTGAGAGAGGGGGAAAAAGATAAAAAAAATCCGAAGCTTCTTTTTTGGCTCAGGCGGGGTGCGTGGGGTGGGCGCAGCTCGCGTAGCATTTGGGCCGGGCCCCTTCTGCGCTGCAGAGCGCGAGCATCGCTGAATGTGCCTTGCAACGATCCGCGCGCCCTCGTGGCGGTGGGGTGGGGGGGCCAAGACATGCGCACTCTAGCTCGCCTCCCACTTCCACCTGCCGTGCCAGAGGGGGGGTGGTTGCATTGCGCCATTTCGCCTCTGCTCGATGCATCCATGTCGGTCTCAGTACTGAACAGTACGTTCGGTGTCGGCGCATGGCTGGATGGACCGAGGAATGAGTTCGGACAAGGCCGCTCGGCGGGTCTTCGGTCGAGGGCGAGATGGGCGAGAGATGAATGCGAGGAAAAGGAGAAATTTGGAGCGGGAATGGATCCAAAGGGCTCCTCCGGCTTGGCTCGGCCTGGTGCCTTTTGCCCCGCCCGCTCAATGGCTCGGCTGGCTCTGTCTCGAGCTCGCTTCGAGAGTGGGTTCAAGCCCCAGGGCGGGGGATCCCCGCAACCACCCCAACGCGAGCCACGAGCCAATTCATGGCTCTCGTAGATTTCGGATTTTCTCCGTTTTCCGCGCCCTAAATTTCGCATGGCGTGCGGCTTCGGTCCATCCGGCTGGGGGCAAAGTGCCTTGCACTTGGGCTCAGCTGCACGGCTGCATGGCTGCGACTGTACAGCAGGCAACAGGCAGCAGGAACAGGATCAGCATCATCAGCAGCAGCAGCAGCACGGCCATCTCGTCTCCCCCTTCCTTTGGTGACTTTTGGATTGTTGGTGCGGGGCTGACTGTCGTGCTGCGCTCTGGCTCAGTGTGCTGTGCTTCGCAGATTGTACCTGCCGCCGCCGCCGCCTCCGCTGCTGCCTTTGCTCCAGGAACGTCCGAGATCAAGCGCAAAACCGAAACGTTTGGCAACAACTCGAAACCTTTGTCGAGCCTGTCTTGTGCGGGGATGCCGCTTGACCCCTCCCAGGCTCAGTAAACCAGTTGTCTCGGTGCGGCCATTTTGTGCCCGACTCGTCCGTCGTCCGCTCTCCTCCCTGCCTGCCTCCCTCTTTCTCTCTCTATTTGCCCGTCTCGGCTTGACTCTCCCTGCCCTCACGGCTGCCTCGTGGCCCTCTGGCACAGATTACCGCCGCAACCCTCTCTCTCTCTCTCCCTCTCAACCCCGCTTCTGCAGCAAGGCAAAGCAAAGCAACCCCTCTCTCTCTCTCTCCCATCCCCATCCTCCCCCTCCCCTTCCTCCCCTCCCCTCCCYCCGCCACGTCTACATCCACATCCATACCTCACAATCCATCCGTCCCGCCGTTTCGTCATTGTGTTATACCTCCCCTCCCACCCATCTTGGCAGCTGTCGTCGACAAAGCCGAATCGGGCACACGACACATTGCAGCCTCGCTCAGCAGCACATCCAACTGCGACCTCTTCCCCGACCACTTGGAGCCACTTGGAGCCTCTACCAGATCGACCAGGCACTGCAGTCCATCCTCGTAAAGCCATCCACTCGCAGGCCGCGCTTCCCGGCCACCCTTCGCAGCCATGGTCGAGTCCGAAGGCCGCGCTGCCCCGCCCAGGGCCAAGCTCCCGCCGTTGAGCCCTTCACTGACGCGCCACTCGGACGGCTTCCCGTCCACCTCGTCGCTCGGCCACGTTCAGCGCTCGCCTCCCCAGCTCCATGCGCCGCCGTCCAAGCTGCCACCACCCATGCCCACTCGCCTCCACTCCTACCACCACCCCATCTCCGCCTCCTACGCATCGTCCAACTCTTCCCTCCACGATCGCAACCGACAGCCTCCACCCCCGCTCTGGCACGAGCATCGCTCGCCCCCGCTCGAACATCGCTCGTCTGACTTTTCGCGTCATCTGCCACCCCTCTCCTCCTCCTCGTCCTCCTCCAACTCTGCCACATCCGCACTGCCATCCTCGGCCTCCACCAACGCTTTTCAGCTGCCCTCCCTCTCGGCCAGTCTGCCTTCCTCCACCAGCTGGCACGGCCGCGAAGCACAACGCGCTCCATCCCTCCACGCCACCTCGTTTCGCACATCCAGGGATCCCTCCGCCGCCAACCTCGACTCGCGAAAAGATACCAAGCTGCCGTCGCTCTCGGGTCATTTCGGCGACCAGCATGCGCCACGTCCTCCTGCCTCGGATGCCGCAAGCGCCGGCCTCGTCTCGCCCAGCGCCGAAGAGCCTTCGCCAGCGGCACGCAAGCCCGCCAAGGCGCACGTTCCCTCGGCCTGCCTCAACTGCAAGCGTGCTCATCTGGCCTGCGACGTGGGCAGGCCGTGCCGCCGCTGCATCAACCTCGGCAAGAGCGACACCTGCATCGACGTCCAACACAAGAAGCGCGGTCGTCCACGCCTCAAGGATCGCCCCGCATCGCAGACCGCCGTATCCACGCTCCAGACGCAAAGAGCGACGTCTCCGGCTCGCCCGCCTCGGCGTCCTACGCGCGCCAGTCGCCCGGCTCCGAGTCGGGCTACTTTCGCTCACCCACACGCACCTCGGAGCTGCTCTCGCCTCCGCTCCTCTCGTCGTCGGCGGCGGTGATGCACGTCTCGGGCGCCACCCACGGCTCGTCGATGCATCCACGCAGCGCCTCCAACTCGGTCTCGGCGTCCAGCTATCCCTTTTCGCGCCCCGACCATCTGCGCCGTCCCACCGATACGGCCAGCCACGCCGTCAGCCACGCCGCATCCTCGTGGTCGTATCAGCCCGCATCGCACGCAGCGCGCGATACGCCCGCACACACCTTGTCGCCGCCACTCATGGGTGCGCGCCAACACTCGCACTCGCTCTCGTACGAACACCACTATCCATACTACCATCCTCAGCACGCGCAGCAGCACCAGCAGCAGCACCAGCAGCAGCACTCGCAACCGTCGGCTCACGGCCACGCGCATCACGCGTCGGCTTCGTCGAGCGGCATGTATCACGCAGGAGCGGGCACGGACGCCTCGGATGCGGGTTTCTCCGCAGTGGTAACGATGATCTGCTCGACCAACCTGCAATGCGCGCGCATCTCGGACGAGGTGACAGCGCTGCTCGGATACCAGCCGAGCGAGCTCAACGAGCGCTCGCTGTTTGAGCTCGTGCATCCGTCCGAGACGAGCCGATTGCAGGAGATCTGGACGTCGCTCATTGATCCGGTGGGCGTGGTGCCGCAGGCGGTGCCTGCGGCGGCCGAGGTGGTAATGAGCACGCCCGCGGCTCGGCTCATGACGCCGGCGGCAGGCACGATCTTTGTGCAGGAGAACATGCGTCTGCGTCAGCGCAACGGCATGTACGACTTCTACAGCGTGCGGCTGCATCTGGGCGGCGGCTTTGGCGTGGATCTCTACCGACGCGACACGCTCGACCGCGCCTACATTGTGGCGAGCCTGCTCAAGCTCGGCAACGATGCGGTGCATCCTGAACCGGCGCTGCTTCGCTCGCCGTACTCGAACGACGCGGCGCAGTCCGGAGGCTTCCGCACTCCTTCTGCGGGTGCAGCACCGGCGCAGAGCCGCGCCGGCACGGGCCGATGGGAGGCGGACGAGGCGGCATCCATGCGTGCACCTCCGCACACGGCCCAGTCGCCCGACGCTCGCGATGCCAAGCATGCCGACGAGCCCGCACATCAAGCATCAGACAGCGCCAGCCGCGGCGTCAAGCGAAGCAGTGCCGACATGGACGAGGACGAGCCCGATTCGTCCTCACAGACTGCCCCTCCACCGAGCGCACCGGCCTCGAACGGAGCGGCAGCATCGTCGGCATACGGCTCGTCCAAGCACGCAGTCTACTCGCCGCCGCCCGCCATGCGCTCCATGCTGTCGGAACGCTCGCGCGGCACGAGCCGTGATGGAATCTTATGTTGAATGGAATACCACAGGAAACGGCAGCACGACCACAGGCAATGGAGGAACGGAATTCGATGTCTCTATGTATTTCTACGCGTTCTTCCTTAATCGCTCCAGCAACCTTGTTACGTTGATGATAATCTTGACTCTACACTCACGAAGGGTGCGAGCCGTTTGATGCGCTTGTCTTGGTGATGAGTGTGCTTGATGCAGGCGGAAGTTGCAGTGGGGGCCGAGACGTGCCAAACGTCAGCGATGCAGATTCTGCTCCTGCGGAGACGCACAGCGTCCTCGAATCAAACCCTGAAAACCTAAAAATTCTATCGCGGAAAATCCAGACCACCAGAAATGTGGGACGAGTAAAGGCAGAGAAGGAGGCGTCAGAATTTTTGAAAAATGCTCGTCGGCCTCCACGCAGCGCCCAAAAAAGGGCAGAAAAGGGCACAAAAAGACGAAGCACAGCACAGCAGAGCACAGCACAACAGCCGGTGATGAAGTCATATTTAGATCTTCCTTTCTTCCTTTCTTCCGTTCTTCGTCGCGCTCCCCACCTATGCTCCGTCACACTCGCATCAAGAAACGCACAGAGATACGCCGTCGTATCTTTGCTGGAATGTCTGTATAAGCGCCGCGCCAAAGTCTCCAACTCAGCACCGCGCCATCATCAACCCACCGCCCGGCTCCAATCGCTCTCGTATTTATGCCTCCTTGCCCATTCGACTCCAGCCGTCACTCTCAATCAGCCACGGATTAGCACGCCACCATGTCGCTCAACTCTCCCAACCTGGCGCAGCCCGCCAGCGCCAAGTCTGCTCGCCGAAAAAGAAATCGCACGGGACGCCCATCCTTGGTCGATGCCATATCGGATGCGTCGGGAGCATCACCATCCACGCCCGTCAACCGCTTCGCCGCCCGTCAGCATACCAGCTCCTTCTCGCCCTTCAGCTTCGGCTCCCAGAACGATTCACCGCGACCCGCACATCCCGCCTCGCCCTCCGTCATCCTCTTCTCCGGACCCGCACAGCGCGGCTTCGAGCGTGTACACGATGACTCTTTCCCACAGCATCTCCACACGCTCAAGGACCTGGCAAGGGCAAAGTTCAGGTTCGCTCCCTCCGCCCCAGTCGAGATGAGCTACGTCAATCCAGACGGCGTCCTCTGCGACCTCGACGACGAGCAAGACCTCCGCGCGTTCGCTGCCCACGCCAACTCGACGCCCAAGCTCAAGGTCAACGTCACCACCGCCGGCGCCTCGCCTTTGCCTCACGCATCGCAGCCATCGGACGTCTCTTCTCCAAGCGTTCTCAACGCCCGCCGACCTGCTCCTCAAGACGAGCCCACCGAGACGCCAAAACGACAACGGCGAGGCAAGCCCAACGGCACCCCTGCGCAGCCTGCCGCCCAAAACACGCCTCAATTACCCAATGGTATCGATAAGCAAGCGCCACTTCAGTCAAAGGCCGCCGTTGCCTCTTCCACCGATACGACTCACCCTCGAATCGCGCCCACATCGGACAAGGCCAGCGCCGCACCCATCCGCTGGGAAGATCGCGAACCCGCCGCGGCCTTGGTCGCACGTCTGTTTCCCGATCCTGGCTCGCAGCCCACTCCCGCCGCACCCGAACTGGCTCCGCAGTCGCAGCCAGGTACGACCAAGAAGGCCGGGCCACCAAAGCCCTCCACCAAACGCAAACGTGTCAGCAGTCCTCCACAAGCTGCTTTGCCGCCATCCGAGGACTCGTCGCGTGCTGCTGCAGAGCTGCCTTCGTCCCCCACCGTCCCGCTCCTCAAAAAGCGTCGTCAGCGTCCCACCGACGTCACTGAAACGACGGTCCCGGCGACGCAGAAGTCAGCTGCCACCACCACTGCCCCTAACGGAGCTCCTGCTACCACCCCTGCCTCTGTGTCCGCGTTGCCTGACCCGCCAACTGCGGCTCCTGCGGTTCCTGCGGCGTCTCAGCCGACCTTCGCCGCTGAAGCCGCGTCCGCACCGCCGTCCGCTCACGTCGAAACGACAGCTAGCACAGACAAGGAAAGCCAGTCAGCGCCTGCTGCCAAGCAGACCAGGGCTTCGCGTGCAGCTGCACGAGCGGCTTCATCGACACCAGTCTCATCCGCACCAGCTGCTTCCACCGAAAGCACAGCCGTAGAGCCTGCCACACCCGCAGGCGAGACCGTTGCTGAGGCCGCACCTACCGCACAGGCGACTCCTGCTGACGATCCTACTCCGGCTGAAGGAGCCGCCCCTGCTTCTCAATTCACTCCGATCCCCAAGAAGCGTGGTCGTCCGCCGAAGCAAAAGCCAGAGGCTGTAACGAAGGCTGCTGACCCTTCAGCGTCTCAACCGCAGGCCGACACAGAACCGCAGAGCTCGGCAATGCAGCCAGCGGCGGCGCCTGAAGCAGCAGCACCTGCAGCGGCAACTGAGGGAGCAGCTCCAGAAGCACCAGCAGCACCAGCAGCAACGCCGGAGGCATCGGCAGCAACAGCCGCCGAGACAGCCACAGCTGCTTCTCAATCCACGCCCATCCCGAAGAAGCGTGGTCGTCCGCCCAAACAGAAGCCAGAGGCCGCGGCCGAATCTGCTCACTTGCAAGCCGACGCAGCAGCAGCGCCCGCAGCGGCGGCACCTGAATCAGCAGTACCAGCACCGGCACCTGAAGCAACGACGGAAGCATCAGCAGCACCTCCTTCTCAATCCGCCCCGACTCCGAAGAAGCGCGGTCGTCCGTCCAAGCAGCAGCCAGAGGCTGCAACCGAAGCTGTTCACACCTCGGCGGCTGACGCAGCCCCTCAGAGCTCGGCACCGCAGCCAGCAGCGGCGACTGAATCAACAACAGAACCATCAGCAGCACCACCAGCATCCGCAGAAACGGCTGCTGCACAATCAACGCCGATTCCCAAGAAGCGCGGTCGACCGCCCAAGCAGAAGCCCGAGGCCGCGACGGAAGCAGCCGCTGAACCTTCAGCGACTCCGTCGCAAGCCGACGCAGCTCCTCAGAGCTCGACAATGCAGCCAGCAGCGGGATCTGAAGCAGGGGCATCAGTAGTGTCACCTGAAGCAGCAGCATCAGCAGAATCTGCGGTCGCTACGGAAGCATCAGCACCCGTAGCGACCGCAGAAACTGCCTCTGCTGCCTCTCCATCAACCCCACTCCCGAAGAAGCGCGGTCGGCCGCCCAAGCAGAAGCCAGACGCCGTGGCCGCCATCGAAGCTGCTGACACTTCAGCGGCTGACGCAGCTCCTCACAGCTCGGCAACGCAGCCAGAGAGCGGCTCGGTGCTGGCACCACCCACCCCAGTTCCGGCTGCCAAGCCCGCCAGGGTGACTAGGGCCAGTAGGGCTTCCAAGCAAAATGGCGCTGCTGCTGCTGAGAGCCAAACCAACGGCGCCACCAGTTTGTCCGCGTCACCTGACCCGCCGACCGCGTCTGCCGACGCCGCAAACTCGGGCGAGGCGTCTGCGGCTGCTGACGCCGACGCGACGCCCCCGACATCGTCCGCTCCGGTCGTCGCTGTCAACGGCGAAGTCGCTGCAACCAGCAGCCAGGTCGCCGAGCCCACTGCAGCCCAGAAGCGGGCGGCAGCGGCCAGAGAGAAGCGCGCGTCCAAGGCGGCCGAGGTCAAGGCGGCCAAGGAGGCCAAAGCGGCCGCAGAGGCGGCAGAGGCGGCAGCACCGCCCGCCTGTGTCGTGTGCGGCAAGTCGCCCATCCACGAGAGGGAAGAGTGTCCCGTATGGCAGAGTGGAGAGCAAGCGATCCTCGACCTGCTCAACATGTACCGCTACAAGACCAAGATGACCAAGAAGGACAAGGACTGCAAGAAGGAGCTCTATCACTGGCTCGCACTGCAGTTTGGCGCCCCACCCGACGCCGGAGATCTCAGCCAGGCTTCCATTGCGCCGCCCTCGCAGGCGGGGAGCACGGCTCAGCCGGTGGCTGAAGCATCCGCGGTCGATGCATCGCAATCTTCGGTGGCCGATGCGACACGCATACAGGGCGAAGCGTCGACTCAGGACACCGGCACGCAAGCAAGCCAGGCCGTAGCTGCGGCGCCAAAGAAGCGCAAGGCTGCCGCCAAGGCAGCACCAACCAAGGTTGCGGCCGAGATCGATCTTCCGCCTCCGTCTGGCGTTGCCAAGGAGTCCGCAGCGCGAGCGCAGGCCACGCGAGGACGCAAGAAGGCCGAGGTAGCCTCTGCGTCTCCAGCAGACGCACCGATCACCGTGGCGCCGTCGTCGCCGGTACTGCCGCCTGCGGCGCAGCCGCCATCGAGCTACCCCGGCCTAAGGGCGCCGTCCGAGTCGTCCGAGGCGGAACTCGCCACGAGCCCGTTACTGTCGGCTGCGCCGCGCGAGGCGGACGACATGGATGTGGATCCGCTGCCGACGCCCAAGACGTCGGCCGCACAGCAGCTCGAGGAGCGCAAGCGCAGGATGAAGCTCGCCGATCGCACGGCGAGCAAGGCGGCGGCAAAGTCGAAGCGCAACCGGTCGCCGGCATCGAGCCGCTCGGGCTCGTCGTCGTCCGAGACCAGCTCCGACTCGTCGGACGGTGGGGACAGCAGCGACTCGGACGGTGATTCGGCCAACGAGACGCGCGGCGATACGTCGACACGAAGCAAGAGCGGTTCGAGGAAGTCGGCGGCTCGCGCCAAGAAGGGCGCCGCGTCGTCGTCGTCGTCGTCGGCGTCATCGTCGTCGTCGGAGGAGTCGGAGGCGGATTCTTCGGCTGCGGATTCCGACGCGTCGTCCGAGACCGAGACCGAGGCAGAGGCAGAGGAGGCGGCCAAGGCCCCGGCTCGCGCGAGTCAGGCTGGAGGGACACGCGCGCGTCAGCGGGTGAATCCGTTTATGCGCGGGGTGACGCCGGTGTCGACGGGCGCGGGCCAAGCGAGCGCGAGTGCGCCGAGTACGAGCCAGAAGGTGGCGCCGTTTGTGCGGCTGTCGGAGCTCAAGCCGGGGATGCTGCGCCAGAACTCGTCGCAGCCCGGATCGCCGCACAGCACGGGCACCTCGACGCCGCTGAGCGGTGTGGCGCCCGGCGAGACGATCGAAGAGGGCAAAGACGCCGCCGGCTCCGAGGACGAGAGCGACATTTCCGAGTCGTCGTCATCGTCGTCGTCCGAGGACGAGGCGAGTGGTGGGCACGCGCCTGCGCGCACAGGCGCGCGCTCCAAGGCTGGTAGCGACCAGACCAAGCGCGCCGGCGGCACCGCCCGCGGCTCGTCAGCCACACCTTCCGCGCCCGCCAAGACGCGCCGGAGCGTGTTTTCGTACTTCTCACAGTCGTGAAGCTCAGCAATCGTACTTACCCGGTCATGGAACTCAGGAATCATACCCAGTCATTGAAGGTGAGCATTGATCACCACCGTGTTTGCGTGTGAAACCAGAGTGTTGGATTGAATTGCAACGGGGGGTCTCGGCTAGTAGTACAGTCTTTGAACTTTTGGTTGTTCGCCGTTGGGGAGCAGCTGACGCTTGGGGATGGGGATCTGTGCCGAGGCGTATTCGTTGCCGTAGATGAGGCGGCCAACTTTGGGCATGACGTTGTACTTGAGCGTGAAGGTGGCGTTTTCGATGGAGGCGAAGGAGCGACCGACTTCGCGCAGGCCGTACTTGTTGGTGGCCGAGTTGAGCGCAATGTGTGCGTCGTTCTTGGAGCGTAGGATGCGGTCCCAGATGACTACCTCGTTTGATTTCTATCCGTGCCAAAAGAAAGGGGGGCGTTGGGGATGATGAGTCGAGTTGATCCTTCAACGAGGAGGCTGGGGGTTTACACTTACATGTTTGGAAGAGGTGTAGTTGGCTGCGATGGAGACAAAGATCTGCTTTGTATTCCAGTCGAAGAGGGGTGAAAAGTCGGCGTCGATGGTGAAGGAGGTTTGGACAAAGTCCTGGATGTTGCGGTCCATGTGCCAGGCGGCTTTGGCACGCACGACTTCGAGCTGGTTGATGTGGAGCTTGCCCGAGGGCGTGTGGCGCGAATGGGACGCGAGGTCGATGAGCACGACGAGCACGAGCACGATGGTGGTCGCAAGCGCCGACACGGCGTTGAGGCGCGAGAGCGTGCTATGCATGGTCCGAAGGGCGATCCAAAGCCTGGCGGACAGTGCAGGATGGTGGAGTGTGCCAAGCGTGCTGTTGGAATGAGGCCACGTCGCAGACCAACTCTGAAGCGCCGCTGCGGCCGGACCCTGATTCGAGCCTCGCATCGGCCGATACCGTTCCAATGAGTCTCCCGATCAGATCTACTGCCCGACAAGAAGCGGTCTAACAAGTTCATGCCGCGCGCCGAGCTTGGCCCGCCGAAGAAAGAGTCTGCAGGGCCAAACTGCAGAAGCGATCTGACTGATGCGCTCTAAATCGTGACGTGCATAATCGTCGACGATAGCAGCCAAAGACGACCGGCAACTTGAACGGCGCCCGAGGCTACTCGAGGCATGCCAGCAAGCAAGCAAGCGACGACAACCAACCTTGTTTGCATGGAACGTTTGGAACAAGGTTCTGGCCCACACAGCCGAGGGAAGGAAGAGATGCGCGGCTGGATACCGACCCAAAAAAGAAAAGAAAAAAAAAACGGTGGGGGAACACGTCATTGTTGTCTTTCGCGATCCAAACCCTCGCTAAAAAAAACCAAGGCACAATGGCCGTAGAAAGTGCCATGCGCTGTCGCTTCGGCTGGTCCGATCGCAGTTCGGATGCCAGCCGGAGGGGGGGGGGGGCGAGGGCGTAGATGCGCTGGGCTTCGGCAGCTCCGCAACGCACCGATCGAGAGGATTCATGCAAGGTGGCTGGGTCTGGGAAAAGGCTGCTTACCCTGAGCTTGTCCGAGACAAGCGGTGCCGGTCAACCCGAGTGCGATCGCATGCACGCCATCAGGGATGCAATCCATGCACTCTCTCTTGTCGGTGGAGCGCCGACGAGCCCAGCTCGGGCTGAAAGAGTGTACCGTCAAAACGAGGGCCTTCGAGAGTAAGCGCCGAACCACGCATCCCTTGCCTCCGCCTCCGCCTGCGCATTTTTGCTGCTTTTTTGCCTTGGCGGTGCAATTTGGCAGAGGCATCGAAGAATCGAGCACGAACCGCACAAATCGGCGCCGCCGCGACTGTTTCCCAACCCCACCAAACGCAAACGATTCGGATCGTCATCGGCTCTAGCCAGTCCGCCCGAGACGCCCGAGTGGGTGAGAGAGTGCTCTTTCGCCCTAGCTAAACCTTGCTGCCGAAGCGTCGCTGCACTGCTGCTGCACCCGCTCGGCAACGCAGCGCTGTCGTCTCAGCTGCTCATCGAGCCAAAGCTAAGCGAGCTCGATTTTAGGTTGCTCTCGTCTCCAACGCACCTCGCATCCAACCCACCTTGCAGTTGCGGCCCAGTCGCAGTCCAACTCTCGTCTCCCCTTCTCGCCGGTCGTCGTCGACCCAACTCTCCAACCCACCACTACCACACGCTTCCCTCCCTCCCTCCATAGACATATAGACCTTCCACCCTCGACGCACGGCCGTCGTCGCCTCCCGCCATCGCGCCTCGGCATCGGCACCGCATATACACGTCCGGCTCACGTCGTTTGCCCAACATGTCGAGCTCAGCAGCAGTCGCGTCCGCGCACGATCCGGCGCTCGACCTGCTCCCTTCCGAGCTGCAGGACACCATCATGGAGAAAAAGTTTGCGCAGATCCGCGAACAGCGTCGCGAGGCGCACCACGTTCTTCGCGAGGCCAAGCAGCGCACGCGCAACCAGCAGACCGACCAGCAGATCCTCATGCTCATGCAGACCGACGAGCGTCTCGCATCGCTGCTCTCCCAGGCCGCAGATTCGATGCGCGCCCTTCTCCCCGTCAAGCCGCCGTCGCCCGACACCGTCCGCCTCGCTCCCTCCGACTCGACGTCCGACGCACCGGCTTCCTCCTCGTCCACCTCCGAACCCACCCACGGCGCCAGGGCGTTCGAGTCCAAGGCACAGCAGTGGTTCTCCATCCTCAACGAGGTGCAGTACTCGCTGCGCAGCGCAGTGCGCTACCTGCGCGACTCGAACCTCGCGCCGCTCACCCCACCCGCCGGCGCCGAAGCGCGCCTCTCGGGCAACGCCGGCTCGGCCGCACGCGCGCACAACCTCTCGCTGCTCGACGCCTTTGTCGACCTCGCTGGCATCGACGGTCCCACCTTTAAGCTGCCACCCGCTGCGCCCGCATCCACCTCGTCCGGTAGCGCATCGCCGCTCTCCGAGCCGGTTTTGAGCGTACATGCGCTGCGCGAGCGAGACCGCAACTGGAAAGCACTCTCTAGCTCGCTGCAGCACATGCACGACCAGTCGAAGCTCGCCGCCGCCCAGTCGCCAGCGCACACGGCAGCGCGCGCGTCGCCTTCGGTCGAACTGTCGCTGCTCGACAGCATACGCAACGGCTGCAGCTCCGACCGCATCCTCATCGACGCGCTCGTCAACACCAACAGCATGGCGTAGTGAACCCCCTTTCTTCCATACCCTCCTTCCTCATGCATTTTCTCGTCGTGTTAATCCAGGTCTCTTTGCATAGCATCCGGTGTGGTGTGCGCGCTCACGAGCGTATGATACAGCCGATGGTATGAAGTAAGAATCCGTGTGACTACCGCGAGATCCAGCTGATACAGAGCTTACTTAGAGGCTCTGTCACTGTATCACCCTCTGTATCACAAACACACAGCTCGGATCTTTTCGCCGTGGGCAGTGTGCAAGACCTGGCTGACACCTTCAACGTCGAGCTCGTCGAGCTGCTGTGCGAGCTGTGCGAGCTTGTCCCGCTCGTCGGCGTCGAGTCTGTCTCACGAGGCCAAGAGGTGGGACTGAGCAGCGCCACGTGAGCGCGGCACAAAAAATGTTAGATCGCTTAAAGTTGTTGTGTGTGCCGCTGGCGGAGGTGTCACTCGACTCGATTTGGAGAGCTGAAAGCGCGCGCGTGTGTTGGTCCCGGCGCACCTTCTTCCCCTTCCAACCGCCACGGCTTCACCTCGAAACGCTCCGCTTCACCGTTGTAGCGAAAGCCGATCGCGCTCTGCAATCATGTCGCGCGTCACCCAGTCGCGCGCCCAGACCGAGGCCAACGCCAAGATCCTGCGTGCGCTCGTCAAGCAGCCGGACAACAAGGTCTGCGTCGACTGCAAGAAGAACGACCCACGATGGGCGTCGTGGAACCTGGGCTGCTTCCTCTGCATCCGATGCTCCGGTATCCACCGCTCCATGGGCACACACATTTCCAAAGGTACGTTTTACCCTCCTCCACGCCATTTCAACAGTCAGCAACTGACGCTCTTTGTGGGGGGTGGCATGTAGTCAAGTCGATCGATCTCGACATTTGGACGCCCGAGCAGATGGAGTCGGTGCAGAAATGGGGTAATCGCCGCTGCAACCTATACTGGGAGGCGCATCTCAAGGCGGGCCATGTTCCCGCAGATCACAAGATCGAGAGCTTCATCAGGTCCAAGTACGAGTCGCGCCGGTGGGCCAAGGACGGCCCTCCACCGTCGGATCCTGCTGCGCTTGATGGTGGTGCTGCTGCTGCTCCGGCAGCTGCGCCCGCAGCAGCCGCTGCTCCAGCTGCCTCCAACAGTGCCGCTCCACCTGTGGCGCGCGCACCTGCCATTGATCTGCTCGACGACCCTGCGCCCGCACCGGCGCCTGCTGCTGCCTCGCTTTCGCGCCCCGTTGCAGCTGCACCCGCTGCACCCGCTGCTCCCGCCGCCGCGCCCAAGCCGGCCGGATCCAGCTCGGGGCTGTTTGATCTCGACTGGCACGAGCCCTCGGCGGCTGCGGCTGCCACCTCGCCCACCTCGCCAATCGGCTCGTCGGGCGCCAAGGGCAAAAACGACATCATGAGCCTCTTTGCCGCCCCACCGCCCGCTGCCGCACGTGCGCCCGCTGCCAACACCACCAACGCCTCCGCATTCGACATGGCGCCTCCCGCCGCCGCCGCCGCTTCCAACCCTTGGTCAACCCCAGCCGCACCAGCCCCCTCCCACAACCCGCTCTTCGACACCTCGGACGTGTGGAGCTCCACCCCCGCCCCCACCGCCCCGCAGTCGCAGCCGCCAAAGTCGGATGCATTCGCCGACATCTGGGGCGACTTCAAGTAGATCCTTGTGCCCCCTTGTCGCTTGATGCTCATGTACACTCTTCACGCCCGAACTTCTCACACCCACATGCTGAGCTGCGCTGCACAAATGCACTTGAGATTTCGCCGCTTCAATGGCGGATGGCGGCCGAGTCGGTGGTGGTGTCGTGGTCGTCGTCCGAGTTGAACACGGTCGCGTTGTTCTCGAGGCCGTACAGCACGTCGTCGCGGCGGCGCGAGAGCAGCGTGGCCTCCTCGACGAGCATGGCGCGGTATTTGTGGTCGATGTGCGATGTGCCCGTCTTGGAGCTTCGGCGTGCGCCTGGCAGACCGGAACGCACCGTGGCATCCGCGGTCAGATTCGTCTCGCTCTCCGCCCTGCCCGGGGCAGCCGTGGCGGCGGAGATGGACGCGTTCGCCTCGCTGTCGCTGTGGGAGCGCGCAGCTGCACCAGCCTCGCGCGCCACCGCCTCGAGCTGCGCCGGTCGTGCCGTCCCTAGCCCATCCATGCGCCCCGAAGCGACGCGCGCACTCGCCAGCCGATTCGAAGCGGCGCGATGCTTGTTGGGGATCACCATGATCGCTCCATCGTCGTCGTCGTCGTCATCGTCATCGTGTGCATGAGCGGCGTGCTCGTCGTTGCGCTCGCCCTCCTGCGCCTCGCCACCGTCGTCTTCGTCGTCAGCATCGTGCTCATGCACCGCAGACGACGCGGCCGCGATGCTCGCCTCGCCACCAGGCGAGTGCGACGTCTTGTCCGGCGTGGTCAAGCTCGGCGGCGATGGTGGATTGGCTGATCCCACCGGTGCAGGTGTCTTGGCCGGAGCGGCGCCATGAGCAGTGTGCACTGCGCGCGTTCGACGCGCCTCGTCCTCTGCACGCTCGCGCTCCTCGTCGAGACGGTCGCGGTGCTCCTCAAAGACGAGCGACATCCAGGTGCCGAGGAAGCCGATCACCTGCTTGGCCTCGGGCATGAGCGACGACATCTGGAGGAAGCCGTGGCTCCAGCCTTCGATGATGCGCATCTGCACCCAGTCCTCGGGTGACTCGTTTTCGATCGGATCCGCCGCTGCCGTCGCCATGCTCGCGCTCGCGGCGATGGGCGTCGTCCTCAGGCCCTCGCCGAATCGCGCCGATGCCATGGCTCTGCGGCGCTCCAGATCGGCCTTCTTGGCGAGCTTGGCCTCGCGGATGCGTCCGGCCATGATGACCGTGTCGTCGCACAGCGGATCCTTTTCGCCGCAGATGAAGAGCACGGGAGGGAACTCGGCGAGCAGATGCGCGGGCGCCACGACGGGCGAGAGAAAGTAGTCGTGGTCCAGATCCGGCTGGCGGCGCGGTCCGACGTAGAGGATGGCCATGGCACGCAGCATGCCCTGCGTGATGATGCGATCCTGGAAGTAGCCCGCCATGGAGGTGACGGTGAGGCGCGTGTTGAACGGCGCGCGCTTCTGCTCCTTGTTGCGGCTGTCGGCCGCCTCGGCCACCTTCTGGAGCGCCCGTTGGTCCTTCTCGAAGCGCGCCTGCGCCCGCTTCTCCTCGCGGTCGGCCGCCTCGTCGAGGTATGCCTGCTGCACCACCTGGCCCCACGGCAGTCCACCCTTCTCCCACGAGGGCGTGAGCGCCGACTCGGTGTACATGCGGTCGTACGTCGAGTCGGACGGCGGCGTCGACGCTCCGTTCTCGTCCGAGGTGGGCTCCACCTCGGCGTAGCGCGCGCGCTCGTCGAGATGCAGCTCGGCGGTCTGGGTGAGCGAGTGGTACGAGCGAGGATCGCGCGCGCGCTCCTTGCTGCGCGCGCGCTTTGCCTCGGACTTCTTGCGCTCGGCCGCACTGGTGGCATTGGCGACACTCGCCAGATTTGCCGCCGAGCGGCGCCTTGCCGCGCGGAGCGACGACGACGACGCCGAAGCCGGCACACTCGGATGCTGTGCGAGGTTGTCGAGGTTGACCTCGCTCTGCTGGCGCAAAAGACGGAGGTGCTCGGGCTTCATCCAGCTGGAGAAGCCAAAGTTGAGGGCGGGATAGCTGAGCACCATGCCGATGGGTTTGGGCAGTGGTGGTGGCTGCTGCTGCTGCTGCCTGTGCGCCTCGGAGCGCGCAGCGGCGCTATACGCCAACTGGATGCGCGGCTGCGGGTATTCGATGACCTTGAGCACGACGCCCGTGGCGAGGTTGCCGCCGGCGCTGTCGCCCGTGAGGAGAATGCGGAAGTTGGGCGAGCCGGACATGCCGATGACGCTGCCTGCGGTGAGGTGGAGGGTGCGGTAGAGGTCGAAGCACTCCTCGAGCGCAAAGGGGTAGGGATACTCGGGCGCCTTGCAGTAGTCGACGGCGAGGACGGGTTTCTGCATCTGCTTTGCGAGCTGGCGCAGCCGCTCCTCGTGATGCTGCGGCGACATGCAGATGTAGCCGCCGCCGCAAAAGTCGAGCACGAGCTCCTCCTCCATGCGCAGCTGACGCTCGCTCTTGGGGTAGAAGAGCCAGGCCTTGGTGGGGCGTGTGTGGTGTGCGCCGTGGTCGGGGCGCGGGATGAGCAGCGGGCGGGCGATGGGCAGCGAGGGGCGATGGAACCAGGTGACGAGACGCACGTACGGATTGGTGGTCTTCTCCCACGTGGTGCGCATCATTTCGACGGTGCAGAAGGCGCGGTACTTCCTAAGCTTCTCGTCGGCCTCGTTGGCATAGACTACGTAGTAGGCCGAGAAGACGAGGCTCATGATGTCGCGCAGCCACTTGGGCTTGATGTTCATCGCCGTGGCGAATCCGGCGTCGAGTGCGGTGACGAGCCAGGTGGTGCGGTAAAAGTTGCGCGAGTACATCCTTGCGAGCGGCTCTGGCGCGCCAAAGCCGAGGAGCGAGTCGAGGTGGCGGATGGTGTAGATGCCGACGGAGCTGAAGACGACGATCTGCCATGGCGAGAAGCGTTTGAGCTTGGCGTTGAGCTTGCGGATGAGCGGGCTGGGACCATCTCGGTTGCCCGTGGCGAGGAACCAGAGCCAGAAGAAGATGACCGAGAAGATCTGGACGCGCTTGAGCTTGGTCGAGGGCCGACCGAGCAGATGGTCGATCATGGTGGACTCGCGTGCTCAGGCCTCGCCTTTGCGCCCGATGAATGATGCGTCTCGATTGGGAGCGTCAGCAGATGTTGTCGAGCTGCGGTGGTGTATGGTGGTGGTCATGAAGCAGGGCCTCTACCGTATGGGCTGCGGTAGGCAAAGGACGGCGGCGGGGAGGCGTCAAGGTGGAGCGAGAAGGTGGAGGAGTTGATAGGGCGTGTGTCACTTTGACTTTCTGCTGTCGTCGGGGCTGTCAGGGTTCAGTCAAGCCTCAATCTCGACACAGGCCGAGGCCAACACGTGAAAAGCACCGCCTCTGACACACAAGTGGAGCAGCACGCCAGTTCAGGATTTTATCCGACGCACCGTCAGATTAGCATGCACGCGTGCATTTCACGCTCGCCAAAGCCCAGGCCGCCTTCAAAGCACCCATCAGCATCGATACATTCTGGCTTCCAGAAAGAAAGGATTGATTGTTGTCTATGCATGTCGGTCACGACACGACGCAAGGTGCGTGGCGGCGTGTGCCCAACAGAGGCTACACAGTATTTACAGCGATGGAGCGTGTGAGAGAGAGAGAGGGATCGGGATCGAGTGCCACTACGACCACACATCGAGCAGAAGCCTGGAACGCTCCTTGAGCAGCTTCATCTCCTTCTTGGCCTCGTCGGCCGAGCCCTTGGCCTCCTCGAGGATCTTGGCAAAGATGGCCTCGACGTCGTGCGCCATGCCCTTGGCCTCGCCGCAGATGTAGATGTACGCCTTGCGCTCCAGGATGTCCTCGGCGATCTGCTTGCGTCGCTCCCACAGCAGATCCTGCACGTACATCTTGGAGCCGTCCGGCTTGAACTTTTCGCGCGACAGCGACGTCTCCATGATGAACTTGCCGCCCAGCTTCTCGGCGTACTGCGGCCACTCGTCGCGGTAGAGAAAGTCCTCGCTGGCGCGTCGGCAGCCGTAGAAGAGCCAGATGTTGCCCCAATCCTTGAGCGCCTCCTCGGCCGACTTGCCGCCCTTCTCCATGGCCTTTTCGGCGCTGCATACGCGGTCCTGCACAAACGAACGGAAGGGCGCCACGCCCGTGCCCGGTCCCACCATGATCACCGGGATCTTGGGCGACGTGGGCAGGCGGAAGTTGGATCGTCGGATGTGGATGGGCGCGCGGTACTGGCCGTCCTTGGTGTAGACGCCGCGCGGACCCGTGAGCTGGTACTTGGGTGTGCCGAAGCGCGGGTCGTTGGCGCCCGTGGGCTGCTCGCCGTTCTTCTCCATCTTGATGCTGCTGATAAAGTTGGTGGCCAGGCCGTGCACCCACGGCGACTGCTTGGACGCCTGGTAGCGCAGCACCACCGCCGTGATGTGCACCGACTTGGGGTGCATCTTGGGGCTCGACGAGATCGAGTAGAAGCGAGGTCCGACGCGCGGCAGGTCCGAGATGACGCGGTCAAACGGGATGTTCCACGGCTTGATGGCGCTCACGTCGGCCTGCAGGTCGTCGCCGGCCACCCACTGCATGGCCTCGGCGGTCTTGAGCAGGCGGCTGCCGATGTCGGCTTGGAAGGTGTCCTTGTTGGCGCAGATCTGCTCGAGCTTGGCGCGGATGTCGGGCGATGGAGCAAACTTGGCAAAGCTGTTGAGCGTCTGGCGCGATGCGTGGCTGGTGATGTCGAGGTAGTGGCGGAAGACGGCTTCGTAGGTGGTGGGCACGGGGAAGGGCACCTTGGCGAGCGTGGGGTCGAGCGACTCGACGTCGATGACCGTGTTGCGCTTGTCGAGCAGGCCAAAGACGGCGAGCACGCGCTCCACCTCGTGCTCCGGGTTGTGCGCCCACACGGCGATGTGGTCGCCGTGCTGGTACGAGATGCCGGAGCCGTCAATGTCGAACTCGACGTGCACGCAGGTTCGGTCGGCGGTGCCCTCGACAAAGAGCTCGCGCGCCTGCGAGACGACGGCGTTGTAAGGGTTCTTTGCGTCGTGGATGCCCTTGGTGCCGAGCAGGGCACGGGCGGAGAGCTCTCCGTGGTACACCTTGTCCTCCGGGTGGTCGGCGAGCTCGGTCACCTTGAAGTCGGGCACGTCGCCTCCGCCGCCCTCCTCAAAGTTGAGCGACGAGGCGAGCGCCTCGAACATGGAATCCTTCCAGGCGAGGTAGTCCTCCTCCATGCTCTTGTCGTCGTCGCCCTCTCCGCGCTCGCCGATGCGCTTCGCCCCGAGCGACTCGAGGCGCGCGTCGAGCTTGCGTGCGACGGCGTTGAAATGCTCGTAGGTGCGGTTGCCGAGGCCAAAGATGACGTAGTTGAGGTTCTCGAGGCGTTCGCTGCCGTTGGAGAATTCGGGAGATTCGTTCTCGATGAATTCCATGAGGCCGACGGCGTTGTCTGTAGGCTCGCCCTCGCCGTAGGTGGCCATGACAAAGACGGCGACGCAGTCGTCGGGCATCTGGTCGAGCTTTTCAAACTCGTACTCTTCGGGGTCGAGGACGAGGGAGGAGGTGCCGAAGCGAGCCTTGGCCTCCTTGGCGAGCTTGGTGGCGTACTCCTCGGCGGTGCCGGTCTGGGAGCCGTAGAAGATGGCGATGCGCTTCTTCTGCGACTTGAGCTTCGAGACAAAGTCGGCGCCGCCCTCATCGGAGGTGGCAAGGGCTGCGCCGTTGGCGAGCTTAGAGCCGGTGTCCTTTGCGCCGCCAAACAGGCTCTCGCGGAAGAGGTAGAGGACGGCGAGGAGGCCGCCGAGGCCGAGCACGATGAGGTCGAGCTGCGAAGCCATGCTGAGGCGAATTGCGGGGCGGGGCGAGGGGGAGCTAGAGTATGATGGAGCTAATCCGTATTATGGGAGAGGTATTCGTTATATCGTAAGCAGGATAGTGTTGTTGCTGTCGTCGCCGGATGTCGTTGGCGGAAGGGGATGGTGGTGACGGTTGGGATGAAAGCGAGAGACGGAGCAGCCGACGTAAAGAGCGGGCGAGCCGAAATGCAAGCGTGGGTGATGTGGCGGCTGAAAGCTGGGCTGCTCGGAATTGAGGTGCTGTTGCGGTGGTGCGCAGCGGCCGCCTTCGCCAAGGTCGGTGCTGCTCCGAGAAGAAGAAAAGGCGCCTCGAGGCGGCGTGAGGAGAGGCTGCGCTTGCTCAGCTGTTTTTTTCGGATTTCCTTTTTCCGAATATTGTTGGTGGGCTGGCGGGGGGAGCCGCGCCTGTCTGTCGATGCGGGGCCGCCGCGAGTGGCTCCGTGGTTTGGCCGAGATTCCCACTTTTTGCGCGGCCAGGGTTGTCTTGGCTAAGCCAGAAGGCCACGTCGCCGCTTGGTTCGTCTCGGACCGGCGAGACGCTCCGTTGCAGCTCTGCCGCGCTTGCCGGTGGTGACCCGGCCAGCAGACAGGCGGCGCAAGTGGGCAAGCAAGCAAGCTCCGGCTGTGCTGGTGGCCACCCACAACACCATGCCCGTTGTCGGAAGCGCATTCGTCCTCAGCTGCCACGATCTGAGTGCCGGTCATTGTAACAATGTTGCGCCGTGGGATATCGCGGCGGCAGCAGGCCAAGGTCAGGCGTCGCGTGGATTGCAGTGTCGTGCAGGATGAGCCGCTCCATCGGCATTCGCGGCGTCGCATCGAAGCTTTCCAACACGCACGACAGCAAGACACTCACACACACGTACACCCCCATTCACGGAAAATGCGCTGCCCATCAAACCCACGTCGTGAGCCCTACGAACGCTGCGTCCAAGACGCTGCCTGACGAGCGAGCTTTCACGTAATCCTTCCCCCCGCTTTCTAGCCCCCGCATCCCTCGGCCCACATGACCCTTGGCTCCACGGGGGATCGGCAAAAGTCATTCTTCCCTCCTTGGAATTTAGCCGTCACATTCCTGAGCTTCTGCCAAGGCTCAATACAGCATCACGCGTCCTGCTGACGTGATTGCTGCGTCCGTAGTGTAGTGGTTATCACGTCTCTTTCCCATTGAACCAAGGCTCCAATAGTCTACTCAGGCGAGAAGAGGAGGGCACGGGTTCGAACCCCGTCGGTCGCATTTTTTTTTCTCGCCTCTCGCCTTTCGCCTGTGCTCCCGCCCTGCTCAGCCTGACACCTTTTTTTTTACCCTGCTCATCCACCAACACAGTTGCCTCTCGGCGGTATTAAAGATATGCATTCCAACGGTATGATGTGTGCTCTTGCAAAGTGAATCCTTTGCACGTCGACAGCATGAGCGAAGGCATGCCGCTTCGCCCTCTTCACACGCCAAAGTAGACCGCCGCGGCGGCACGCACGATGCGGTCTCGATTCGACATGCGCGCACGTCGGCCCGATGCAACGTCGTCGGCAGTCTGCGCCTCGATCTTGGTGCCAATCGCAGCGTACACCGCGCAGGCTGCCTTGAGGCCCGCGCGCGCCGGCCGGTTCGGGATCTGGCCGAGCGCAGGATACGCCTGATCGTACAGTCGACGCGACATGGCAAGCAGTCGGAGCGCATACTTGCGCACCTCGCCAGGCTCGACCGCCACCTGCGCCTCCTTCGCTTGCTCGGCCTTCGACTTGCCCGCCTTGGCCGCCTTGCCCGCAGCGGCCGCGCTACGTTCGGGCACGTTCAACCGGCCGTGCAACAGTGCCTCTTGCATGCCGCTGTCCGCCTCATCAAACAGCTCGGCGGGAAGGTAGCATCGGCGCAGCTCGAGTGCGTCCGGCACCACGTCGCGCGCAATGTTGACCAGTTGCAGGCTGACACCCATACGACGCGCCTCGTACAGCAGCGCATGCATGTCGGCAGGGTTCGACAGGTCCAGCTTGGCTGCCGGCGCGCCACCTGCCAATGACGAAGACTTCTCGTTGCGCCCACCCACAGGGATGCCTCCGAGCACGATCTTGCGATCGACGTGCAGGTCGAGAGGCACCGCCAACCCGCAGCGGCCGAGGATGACGCGCGTGCACATTTCTCCCACGACGCCCGCGACGCACTGCGAGTACTCGACGAGATCGTCCATGGTGATCAGACGCGTGCGCTTGTGTACATCCGCATGCTCGAAGCGCAGATCGGTGCTGTAGCCCTCGAGCATCTCGTACCAAAGACGCTTGGGGATGTAGTGTGTGAGCGGCGCTATCGACGCTGCGGCTGCGCGTACATCCTCCTTGACGCTTTCCGCCAACGCCACCGAGGCGAGCAGCAGACGCATGCGATCGCTGATGGGCACGGCAGGCTGATCTGCAGAGTTGGGCGGCTTGGCGTTGGTGTCCGACTCTGCGTAGATGGCATCCACGATGCCCCTGACCACCTCGAGATTCTGCGATTTCGCCTCGACACTCTCTGCCTCGTCGTCGACCAGGTCGTCAGCCACGCGGCAAAAGGCGTAGAGGCAGCCGAGGTCGGTGCGCAAATCCCACGGCAGCAGCAGGCTGGCGGCGTTGAAGGATTTGGAGGCGGCGCGAAGCACGCGCAAGGACGCCGAGAGATCGCGAGGCTCGACGCACGCCGATAGCGCGGTGGTGAGGTGTGGGCGATGGTCGGAGCGGACAAAGGCGTTCCAAAGCTCCGCGTAGGTGGATGGAGTGGCGAGCGGCAGATAGCTGGGTGAGAGCGGAGGACGATCTGACGCAGCGGTCTGCCTGCAGATGGCGACGCAGCGGTCAAAGGTGTAGCAGGCGCTGACGAGGATGAGGTTGGTGACGAGGAAGAAGAGCATCTCCTCGACGGGGAGGTCCGGGATGGGGAAGATGTTGAGCGAGGTGGCCTCGTTGATGTGCCAAGTACCGCGACGGAGGGCGTAGACGTCGGAGCACCACAGATACGCTGTGGGAGCCAGGACGGAGAGGGCGAAGGGCAAGAGGCCGGCGCGGACGGGCATGTTGCGGATAAAGTCGATGGAGCCCCAGAGGAGAAGAGCGAGGGGCAAGGAGGCCCACCAGGAGATCATGCCGAGGTAGTACGAGTGGGTGTCTGGTACGGCGAGCCTGAGGCCGAGGAGGAGTGGCACGATGAGCGCGACGAGGGTGGGAGTGGCAAGACTGCGGCGACGACGACCGTCGGCAGGCGATGCGAGGTAGAGGTTGGGCAGATGCCATCTTGTAAGGAGGGTGCACCAGAGGGTGGAGATGAGGCTCTGGATGATAAAGAAGAAGTACTCTTCGATGGGGACGTAGCCGATGGCGAACCAGATGCAGTGGCGGTGGTAGGACCAGGCGCGGTTTTTGACGATGATGTTGTCCCAGGGCGTTGTCCATACGAATGCGATGATGGGCAGCAGGATCAGCTTGGCACGGTCGAGTTTGGTGAGGAAAGGCGAGGCGATGAGAAAGAGGAGCGCGCAGAGCGGCAGCGTCCAAAGCAGATGAAAGTGGCGATAGCTGAGCGTGCAGACGGGCGCCTGCGCGTTGACTTGGCTGGCGGTGGTCATGGCCGTCATGAGTGGGCTGCTGTTGTAGACGCTCGCGAGGAAGCGAGACGAGCTACGGGCTACGAGTTTACGAGCTAGGCAGAGCGCAATGTGGGCGTGACCGTACCGGATCCCGGACGGACGGGGAGCAGCTCCGGGCTGGAGGAAGACCCAGATGGATGGTGCGCGGAGGCTTAAAAACGGAGCATGGCGAGATGGCACTCGGCGTTTGGTGTCGACGACCGGATGGTGTGACGAGCGATGGAAAGAGGCGGAGCTTGCAGATGGACCGGCGGCTGGGGTGGCAGTGGAAGCCTGGGATGGGCAGGCAGACGGAGCCTTTTGCGCGTCGGAGGCAGATACGATGGTTGCTGGCCGAGAGTGGGAAGAAGGAGGAGGAGAAGGAGGCGGACGCGCGGTTGAGGCGAGGCGGAGTTGTGAGCCTTAGGTCATTCCGAAGCGGTCACACTCTTACCGTCGGGAGAAGGAGCGATGCGGCATGGAGTCAGCTCTTGAGCAGAGAGAGAGAGAGAGAGAGAGAGAAAGTGGATCGGCTGCCCCGGAACGTGACCCTGAAGAGCGAGAGGCGGCGGCTCCATGCAGGTCACACGGCACGGCGATACGCGAGGAAAGGGGTGGAGCGAATGCGTCTGAGCTGCTCGAGCGCTCTCCCGTGTGGAAGCGGCCGAGCCGAAGCGCCGGCGAGAGGTGCAAAAGACGCACGACGCGCCGCGCATGCCAGCGTCATCATTGGCCAGAGCCTTTGGTGCCTGCGCGACGCATTGGTGATTTTTCCATTTTTTTTTTTTTCGATTTTTCTCGATTTTCCTCGTAGGCAGGTCGAGCTCCACGGACCTCGAGACGGCTGACAGTCGCGGCTGCTACAATCCGCAGGGCATCCTTCCATGCATGGCCCGATCTGGACCCGGTCCATGCGCCAGGGTCCACTCGCTTATCGTAACTGACGACGGCATTTCATATCGATCCTGGTCAGCCCGGAGTGTTGCGACGATGAGGCGGCCCGACTCTTGGCCGAGACCCTGACGTTCCGCCGCTTTTTTGGTAAAGCTGCGACGGGAGTCGTATGATCCGCGCCGCTGACTAGGGCTGGGATGAGCGTGGTGCGGCCCATCCGAGCAGCAGGGTTTCGGAAGGGACGTGGTCTCGTCTCGTTCCGCCAACGGAGTCCGGTCAACAGGACCAAAGCAAGGCACTGCCGGCCAACAGCTGAGGGGGTGAAGGGGAAAGGTGGCCGAAATGCAGGCATCACCGTGCATGACTTTGGAGCGGCCATGATGTGCGTGTTGGGCCCAGTGTTTGCGCAAGAAGCCTTAAGCGAGATTCGCAGCTCGGCTTGGCTTGGCAGACAGCTGACAGATGAGAACCCCCCAAAATCACGCCAAGTTAACTTACTGTAGGCAAGCCAGTTGCGGTGCAGTCAATCTTGCGTCTGGCTCGATTGGAACGCGACAGATGCGACTCTGCATACAGAGTGTCCATTTGGACGGTCTGGAATTGTTTGTTTGCAGCCCTGCCTCGTCGCGGCCAATGTCTCGGCGAGCTGCTAGTGCTCCCGCCCAATCGCGCCTCGAACACCACCGCTTCGAGGTGGATCTGAGCGAGGCAAAGGCAACCAACTCTGCGCACGCAGCCATGCCTGCGACCGACGTCGGAGCAGGCTATCGGTGCGTTGGCGCGCTGCAACCTTAGCAGCGCCGAGGTTATCGTCGAGGAGGCTCGCATTATCAATGCAGGTCCGAGCCAACTCCGGCTCCAGCTGCGCAGCGCTCGCCCCTTCCTGCTTTTTGGCGAGCCGTGTTTCAGGCGTGCAGCTTGTCACGCAGCGGCTCGCCCCGACCGAGCTGCCAACAGCCAAGCATGAGCTGCTCTGCTTTGCTTGGCCATGCCTTGCTTTGCCGGCTCCTCGCTCTTCTTCTTGCTCGAAAATCGCCCGAAAAAGCCAAAAAAAAGGCTCCAATTTCAGGCTCCGAGCTCACGGCGACTCGAACGTCGCCATTCGCGGCTTCGCGACCGCGCGGCTCTCGCTCGAAATTTCCGCTCACTCGCATTTCGCCCCAATCCTGCTCGGCTCGATCCGACTCGAGTCGAGTCGAGTGGAAATGCGCGTATGCGGTTCGCCCGGTTCTCGTTTGGTGATAGTGTGAGTGAGTGAGGAGTGCGAGTGTGGGTGGCGCGCGCTTGGCTTTCGGCGGCGGCTGCTGCTGGAGCGCTGCTGCTGGGCCGCTGGGGCTGGGGCCACCACCCAACCCACCGACCCCGAACGCATCCTCGACCGGCGCTCCGCTTTCGCACCATTCACACGCCCTCCCCCTCCGGCTCGGCGCAGTTTCGCCATCTCCACCTCTCGTCCCTTCCATCGTCATCCATCACCCCCACCCTCACTCCCCCTCCTCACCTTCCCTTTCAATCGTCGGCCAAAGCGCCCTGCACTAAGCCTGCATCCGCACCTGCATCCTCGCCCACCACCACCACCCCACCCCTTCGGGTTGCCATCGCCCGGCGCGATTTCGAGGCGACGGCGAGCTGCTGCTTGTCCTTTTCACCTTCCCCACCACCACCTGCTCTCTACCCGATGCGATCCTAGAACGCCTGCCAGCTCTTGTCTCTTGACTCGGCACCTCCTCGCCGCCCAACTCCGCTTCAGCGCCGCATCGCTGCTCGTCCGCAATCTCGAGCCTCCGCTGCTCCCAGCGCGCCGTCATGGAACGCCCACAGCTGCATCAGCCTGCCCAAATGGCACGCCCCTCCGACTCGGCACGTACTCCCTCGTTTGCACACATGGCCACCCCGCAGGCGTCCGGCTCCCACCTCCCCGCCTCGCTCGGCATCGGCACGGGCAAGCCGCCAGCCAAATCTCTCAACGAACGTCTCCGCTTCTCCAAGCATCAGCCTGGCTCCTCACAAGCCCCTCGCTCCGTCTCCAACGACGGCCTCCACTTTCCCGACGCAAGCCGACATGGCCGCACCATGAGCGAGTTCGGCTCCTTCCCCTCCATCCCCACTTGGGCACCGCAAACGCAATCCGACTCCACCACCCCTTCCAGTCCTGCAGCCCGCCTCCCCACCAGCAGCAGCACCGGCTCGCTCGGCTCCATCTCCACCTCCAACTCCTCCTCCTCGCGCAACTTTCTGGTGCCCATCGGCGCTACTGGCGCTCGTCAGAAACTCTCCATCGCAAGTGCATCCCAGCGCCGCCGCCTCGCCGTCTCGGACGATCCAAAATGGTCGGCCGTCTCGTCGTCTCCGCATACATCCGAAGCGCAGTACCAGGAGCACCCGCAGCAGCAGCAGCCTCTCACCAACGGCCACACACTTTCTCGCTCGCAGTCCGACCACCCCTCTCTCGCTCCAGATGCTGGCTCCATCGCGCCCAGCATGAATCGCTCATCCTCCCTGGCAGTCCTTCCCAACAAGCCGGCACACCACGCTGTCAATGCTTCATCAACTGTGCCACCTTCGTCCAGCACACCCGCAGAACTCGTTCAGCAGGCCGCTCTGCAGCGCCTCTCGAGCCAGCGCATCCTCCCCGCACCCAAGTCTCGCACCACATCCGACAACAATCTCGCGGCTCGATCTCTCGCAGACCGCGCTTCGTCTCCAGCAGCACGCCAAATGCGCCCCTCCCACAGCCAAGATTCAGCCACCTCCACGCCGGAAAGGCGGCACGAGCCAGTGTCCACTCCCTCGGACGCTGTTGCAGCTTCATCCTCCGCCCAGGCCACATCCGTCGCAGTGCCAGACAGGACCTCTTCCAATTCAGCATCAAAGCCAGCCGCCACAGCCAGCGATCAGCCTCAGTACCGAGTCACACCATCCTCTGTGTTCGGCGATGCAAGCACCGGCCATTCCATCACTTCCAAACCACTCACCCTGGCCGAGTCGTACAAGCGGGCCATGATCGAACGCGACGCAGAGAGAGCAAAAACCTCCCCTCGTACAACCGCACCACGTCAGCATCCCGCCACTCCGGCTTCTTCGTCAGCACGAGCCGCACCTTTCCTCGACCTCGATCTGCCCAGCTCCAGCTTCACCTTTGACGATCCAGCTTCTGCCAGCCAGGTCAGCCCCAAGCACCAACCTCCACCCGCAGCCCAACCTCGCAACGGCGACACTACGGGACGTGCCTCGGCCAGCCCGGCTCAAGATGCGCCATCTTCGGCCGACGGACGCAGCACCAATCGCAGCGCCACGCTCGCCGATTCCACGCCACCTCGTGCCGCCTCCGATCTGCCTTCGCTTCAGAGATCCTTCGAGGATGCAATGGCCGTCCAAGATCGCATACGTCTCGCTCAGCAAGACGAGCCGGCATACGGCGGTCTCTTCGACGGTGACGCTTCGCCTTTCGCACCATCGCAACGCGATCTAGCATCCCTCGCTCGCTCATACCTGGCTCTGCGCGACGACGAAGACGATGGTGCCGCCCATCGAGGCAGGGACCTGCCTCCGAAGATTGCAGCAACCGAGTCACCGCACCTCGAACAGCCTCAGAAGCCGATCGCCAACCCGCCTGCGGCTCCAGCCTCCCCACGAACGCCGCCCGCGGACAGAAGCTTTGTGCAGTTCAACACGCCAGAAGACGAGGCCGTCACGCCAAAGACCGAGCTCGACTCGTACAACCTCACGCCATCCCGCAGCGCTGCACCATCCACCAGCGCCTTGACAGCCCAGCAGGTCGAGCAAGAGCAACCGCGCCCCAGCATTCCCCGCGAATCTTCGCTACAGACCTTGCGCTCGCCTCCCAACAAGCTCGAGGCACAGCCGGGTCCGCGCGAAGAGGCCGCGCTGCGAGCCGGCGCCACAGCAGCTGCATCTACGTCCCCTCAGGTGTCGATCTCAGAGGCAGATACCTCCATCACGTCCGACACAGGATCGCAGGCCGCCAACGGCGTCAACGGCGAACGCCCCATGCTCGCAGCCAATGACGAACCCTCCGACGGCTCGCGCTGGAGACGAGGCCAAGATGCGCTGGCAGCTTTCTCACCGGCTCAGCAGAGTCGCTTCTCCGAGGCGAGCACGGATCTCTCCGACTCTCGCGCACCCACTCGAAACGAGAACCGCTTCTCCGGCAGAGCTTCCAGCATCTCCAGCGAAGACGGCCTCGAGGAAGAATCGAGCGAAGCCCACTTGCTGCCCACCAGCGCATGGCAAGAGGTCGAGAATGCACTCCGCCGCTTTCGAGACCGCGCTGCGGGCGCTCCCGCCGATCGCGGCAACCTCTTACGCGCCATCCTGCTGCCTTTCCTTGCACTCGAAGCCGAGACGGCCACCGTTGACGCCGTAGGTCCCGGTCCGTATGCCAAGGGAAAGGCGAGACGCGCGCTCTTCTTCGACTGGATCCGCTCCCTGCTCCTCGAACTGCAGCACGTGCAGACGTCGGCGGATCGCGGCGCCATCTTGGAGAGCATCGCCTGCATCATCGAGTCTCGCAACTTCTCGGCGCTCATCCTCAGCTCCGATCCCGAGGACGAGGCACGCTTCTCGTCCGTCTTTGGCCACATCCTCTCGTATGCCATCGGCGAGCTCAACAAGAAGGGCGTGTATCAGAATACGCTCATCTTCTCGGGTCGGCTGCTCGCAGTGGCGTTCTTCCGCATCAACGGCGTGGCGAGCAAGCTGCTGCGTGCTCTGCCCGTCAACCGTTTTGCGCTCGAGCGCGTCGCCCGCGAGTTTGACTGGCAGGCCAAGCGGCCCACCGATTTCACTCGATTCGTCAGTCGCTTTCCCGCCACGCTGCGTCAGCTGTGCTACAAGGACTCGCGCGACTATCTCAAGATGCTCGACAGCGAGTCAATCGGCAGCGGGCCCAACGGCGCAGATTCGCCTTCGCCCGAGGGCGACCGCTTCCTGGTGTGCCAGCCCGAAGTCGAGGTCGAGATGTCCGGCAACTGGTTGCGCCGCTGGCAATCCGACGACTCGGAGCTCTTCTTCAGCTTTTGTCGCAGCTACCACCGCCAGCTCGCAAGCCTGTTCGCGAGCTCCAAGTCGCTCGAGAGTGTATCCAAGTACTTCTTTGGCGGACCGGGCTACGCCCATCTGGCGACGTGCGTGCATCAGAAGTGTCTGGCACTGGTGCACCGCGTCATCCTCTCGGTCACCACGCTTTCGTCGCAGAAGAACTTCAACCCGGCAGGCGAGACGGCCAACGTGCTTTCCGGAAGCACCGCAGGCAAGCCGCGCATCCTCGAAGCCGCCAATCGGCGATGCACCGCCATCGTGGTCGACATTGTGCGCGCGCCGGCCGGCTCCAACATGATGTTTGCACCCATGCTGGGCCTGCACATCAAGGCGCTCATCAAGCGTACCTCGCTGTACGACGTGCAGGGCGTCTTCTGCCTGCTCGACTGGCTCGATGGGGTCATCAGCCACATGGACTCGAACGATCTGATCAACGAAGGCCTGGTGGACATCTCGTTCATCATCACTACGATCGGCATGCTGCTCGAGAATGCAGACCATGCGCTTGCGCTGATGCGTACGATCGCCTTTTGCTACGCCAACTTTGGCGTGCTCACGTCGACGACGGAGAACCGCATCTACTTTTGCGAGCAGATCCTGCTCAAGCCGAGCGTCTTCCACAAGCTCTTCCTGTCGTGGTCGTTTACCATCCGAGCGTACTATCTGCATCTGCTCGTGTTCCGCCTGGCGCGCATCCGCGACTTTCCGACGCCCGGGGACGATGCGCACGGACGTACGGCGGTGCGTGTGGTGCGGCTCTTCAACCAGCGGCTCGAGGCGCTGCGGAAGCGGCACAATTCGCTCTCGCCCGAGGCGGACTCGAGCTCGGACGACAACAAGTCCGAGGACAGCAAGTCGCGCAAGTCGGGCACGTCGACGTTTGTGAGTACGATCAAGCGCGCCTCGACCGACGGCGGCGCGAGCTCCGAAGGCAGCGTCGAGGGCCGGCCCAAGGCGGAGAAGATCATGGGCATGACCGCGGTGGATCCTTCGGCAGCGGCGGCGGCGAGCAAGGAGGCGAAGAAGTCGTCGCACTCCAAGACCAAGACCAAGAACTGGCTCAAGGCGTTTCGGGGCGGCTCGAGCAAGCAGGAGGCCAAGCAGGAGTCGGGTCGCGGTGTCAAATCGCCGCGAAGCGTGGGCGTGTTTTCGCCGACGACTGGCAAGGTGGTGGCGCCCGAGTCGGACGACGACAGCAAGACGATCGGAAGCACGCGAACGACGCCGCGCACGTCCTTTGAGTCGGCAAGCTCGGACGCCATGTCGGACGTCTCGACGCTGGCTGGAAGTGTACGCGGCGGGAGGAGCTCCAAGAACGGTAGCGGCGCGTTCGAGTTTGACATCAAGCAGCAGACTGCTACATCGCAGCAGCAGTCGCAGCAGCCGCAGCCTCAGCAGCAGCAACAACCGGGTAGCACAGCGAGCACGGCGAGCACGACGGGGCATGATGCGGGGATTGCCAAGGACACGGTGTTTGACCTGCAGTCGACGCACGCGCACCATCCACCGACGCCGGGGCGCACGCCGCAGTCGCCGCGGATCAGCAAGGCGTTTTCGCGGCGCGCGTCGATGCTGCCGGGGCCGGCGTCGGAGCTGGTGGCGAGCATGCTGGAAGGCGCAGACGACGAGGTGCCGCCGGTGCCTGATCTGCCGTTGGACCAGCTTGGGCTCGGGCTGAGCGGCATGGGTGCGTCGAGGCTCGAGGTGTACGACGAGACGCTGCACATCTATGCGGTGCAGAGTCTGCGCGAGTACGAGCAGACGGTGCAGGAGCACGACGAGTTTTTCGCCTCGCTGCCCGAGGATCAGTCGACGCAGGTGCCGCGTCTGCCGGTCAATTGGCCCGCCATGTGGTCGTCGACGGGCGAGTGAGTGCATGCAATCAATATCATTGACTAGACTGGCGCTTGCAGTGCAGAGTTGGACGTGGTGCCGGTGGCTCAGGGCTGCAGTGCTCAGGGTCAGTGCTCGGAGTTACGGTGTGCGAGCTGTGTAGTGAGACAGGGTCGCGTGTGCGCGAAGCGTGGCAGCGGGTCAAGTAAGCGAAGAGCGGATCGAGTCGCGGAGAAAAGCACGCGTGCCGGATGGAAGGGCAAGGCTATGCATCCGGCGATCCCGCGGCGGTGGAGAGTGCGGACGATTTGATTGTTACTCAGCCGCCGAGGCTAGTTAGCCGGGGTCAGGTGCGGAGGATCGAGCTCTTTGCTTTCACACCTACCCCGGCTTGTACGACAACCTCCATCCTTTAGATCAAACACACATCGGCTACAACATGTCGAACATCGAACGGGCGCCTGCAGCGGTGCAGGAAGCCAACTTCAGTAGCGGTGTTGCTGGTGCGTCGATGGGCGAGGGTGGGGAGTATGGCAGTATTGCTCGCCGCGGTGGGGACGCCGGCAAGGCGAGTGTGGCTTCGTCGCGCGTGGTGGCACCGGACGTTCTGCGCGGATTGATCTTGGCGCTCATGTCGCTGGATCATGCGGCGCTCTTCATGGGTGCCTGGCTTCACGGTACGCCCAAGCAGACCGAATCGGCAGCTACGGTGATGATGCAGTGGAACTTCAATGCGGCGTACATCAGCCGTACGCTCACGCACATCTGCGCGCCCGGCTTCTTCTTCCTGATGGGCATGGGCACCGTGTATCTTCATCGATCCAGGACGCGGCTTGGATGGTCGAGCGCGAGGTTGGCGCGACACTTTGGCGTGCGTGCGCTCGCACTCACGGCGGTGAGCGAGGTGATGGGATGGCTGCTCATGCGCGGACGCGGCGCACTGGTGATCAACATTGTGCTCATTGGCCTTGCGGTCGACTATCTGTTGACCGGTCTGCTGTGCTTGCTGGTGCAGAAGACGGAAAAGGCCGCAGCGGTGGCGCTGGATCGATGGCAAGGAGACAAGCAGCAGCCCGAACGAGCGCCACTTCTCACCGACGCCGGGGCGGGCGAAGAGCAACGCGGTCAAGACGAAGCGGGCGAGAGGATGGCGTCGCAGCGTGCGCAGACGACGGCGTTCTGGCTGCACAATGCGCTGCTCGGTGTGCTGACGTACGTGACCATCTTTTGGAACGTGTGGCTCTCGCCTACGCACGGCCACTGTTCGTCGGTTCAAGCTTTCAGCAGCGCCTCCGAGCTGGCGAACGCCGAGGCGGTGGTGCTGTTGGTGGGCACATCTGCTGCGGGTGCTGCCGCGGGTGGCGCGCCTTCTGCGCCCGTGTCGCGGTGGGGAGCGTGGTTCGACTTTTGGTTCTATCCGGTGCAGAACTCGATGGTGCTGTCAGGCTTCCCGCCGCTGGGCTGGATCTCGTTCTGTGTGCTGGGTATGCTCTATGCGCGTATCATGCTGCACAAGCGCTGGACACCGCGCGCGACCGTGGCAGGCAATCTGGCGGTGGCCACGGTGCTTGCGGCGCTCTTCGTTGCCACACGGCTGCTGCACGTGGGCAATCTGTCGGAAGGCTGCCTGCGCATGGCTGAGCATCTTGCACACCCGGACAGGAACCAGTACCTGGCCTCGGTCAAGAGCTTCTTCTACATCACAAAGGTATGTCCCCTCGGCGACGCAGATGCGACGGCAGATTGAACATATCGCTGACATTTGTTCGAGCTCGACGCGCTAGTATCCGCCCAGTCCGTCGTTCTTTGCCCTGACCATGTCGGTCAACTTTGGGCTGCTCGCGCTGTTTTCGGCCATCCCGGCTGGAGTAGCCAAGGCGATTCCGGGCCTGATGGACTACGGCGGCTCGGCGCTGTTCTTCTACGTGTAAGTTGTGGCGGTTCAAGCTTCAAAGGCATACGAAAGGCGGCTGACACGCTGGGCTTTCGATGCGGCATCAGGGCACACATGTTTCTGTACAGCTTGCTGTCGGTGCCGGCGCGGTACTGGTTCGAGCACGAGCTGTCCGATCGGCCGCCCAACGACTGGGAGCGCACGCGCGGGCTGGGCGACTCGGCGGCGTTCTGGATCACTTGGCTGTTGGGGCTGGCGATGCTGAGCCCCGTGTGCCGCGCATACGGCCGATTCAAGGCAGCCCAGTCTACGGACTCGCTCTGGCGCTTCTTCTAGAGTGGGGTCTCTCATGTCTAGATGTAGATGGCGGAATGTTGATTATGCTGATTGATGCGAGGAGGGAGGCAGAGCAAAGATTTCGGTCTGGTAGACGGTGAGTCTGCCGTAGTCGTCGGTGCTGCCGATGAATTCGAGCCGGATCCAGGCGGCGGTGTTGTCGGGATTGCCGCCGTCGTGGACGAGGTGGGTGAGGTCAAAGTACTGCTTGGCGTTGGTGTCGTTGGGGAAGAGCATCTGGTTGGTGAGCGGTGTCCAGGTCTTGCCATCTTGCTCGGAGGTTGCGATGCTGAGGCTCATAGGGCTGAAACCTCCGGCAAAGGTGAGCGACAGACTGTGCAGCTGCGAAAGGGCGATGGGGTGGCCGAGCTTGAACGAGAGGAAACTGCGTGCCGTGGTGGGGTCGCTGTTGGGCGCCAAGTGATCCGAGGTCCAGCATGTTTCGGCACATCCGTCGAGCACGTTTTTTGCCTCCTTGGAAGAGCCGGACGACACTCTGAGAGCCGCAGTCAAAGGGGAAGCAGAGAGAAAGACGGCGGGTGGAATCAGTACAGGCTGCATCGGATCCGCCGAAAAAAAAAGGGGAAGCGGCTAGACTCACTTGACCTTGACGCCGCCTTCGAGCAGATTGGCCAGCGAGACTCCTGCAGGTGCTGCAGGAGCAGTGAGAGTGGGTGCCGCACTCATGATGCTGCCGACAAAGCGTTGACAAAGCGTTGAGCGTTGGTTGTCGAGTTGGCGGTGGAGGAGGAGCGCAACATCCGCTGCTGCCCCTCCACTTTTAAGCTTTATGAAGTTGCACCTGCAGCCCTACCAAGAAAAATGCGCCGATCCGACATCCGAAGTTGCGCGCCGCTGCTCTCCTCTCGCCTCTCGCCTCTCGCCCCTCGTCCCTTTGGCTCGTGGACCCTGGCGAGTGCCTGTTTGGCGCTGCGCTGCTCATTTCCGCCTCGTCACAGAGTCCCACCAAATCCACTTCATCCCGCTCCTCCTTTCTCTCCCTCGTACCTTTCCCTTTGTCACTCGGCGTGTGACTTTAGCAAGGCTTCGATCTGCGCACACCGAATCAACTCGGGTCCATCCGCAGCTCGCCTCCAAAGAGCAGCGCGCGCTCACACTTCCAGAATGACTACATGATCCACGTCCAAAGAAACTCCGTGCTCGCCCTCGCCCTCGCACTTGTACTTCCGACTGCCTCCTCGACGCGATTACCTGCTGCTGTCTTGGCGCAAACATCAGCGCGCTCCGCTTCCGACCTCTCGCGTCTATATAGACCCAGCACTCTGCTTCCGCTACGCCCTCTCCGCCACATCCAAACCCGTCTACATCCGACTCGCCAGCCACCACGCCGCCTCCTTCACTCTCCCTCTGATCATCACTCTTTCACCCAACACCTAGAAACTATGCCCAAGATCATCTACTACGCCGTACGCGTCGGACGAGAGACCGGCGTCTTCACCGACTGGGACGTGGCCGCGCCGCTCGTTGTTGGTCACTCGGGCGCCGTCCACAAGAAGTTTTCTTCTAGGCTCGAAGCCGAGCGCTTCGTCAACGGAAAGAGCACCGAGCCTCCTTCCAGCGCTACCAACGAAAAGCCCAAGCAGGCACTGGGAAAGCGCAAATCCATCTCGCCCCCCGCATCCAACCCGCCCGCAAAGCCGCAGCCGCAGCCCAAGAAGAAACGCGCCATCGCCCCGCCCCCGTCCAAGAAACGACGCAACAGCACCGCTCCCTCCTACTCGGACGCCACTTCGGTCGCCGCATCGTCCACTCAGGCTACGCGCAAGATCAACGTCTACTGCGATGGGTCCGCCGTTGGTAACGGCAAGAAGGGCGCGCGCGCCGGCTACGGTGTCTGGTTCGAGGACCAAGCGCTCCACCACCTAAACGAGGCTCGCCGACTCCCCGGTAAGATTCAGACCAACAACCGCGCAGAGCTCCTGGCCATCGTCCGCGCCATCCAGCTCTGCCCCAACGACGGCCGCCAGCTGCTCATCTTTACCGACAGCCAGTACAGCATGGACGCCGTAACAAAGTGGATCGACGGATGGAAGGAGAACGGCTGGTTCACCGCCACCGGCAAGGAGGTGCTCAACAAGGATCTTATCGTACAGCTCGATCACGAGCTCAATAGCCGCTTCCCCAAGCCCGCCATGACATACGTCAAGGGCCACTCGGGCATCGAGGGCAACGAGATCGCTGACCGCATGGCAAAGCTCGGCGCCACCCTGCCCGAGTGCGACTGAGCCTAGCGCGCATGAAACCTACACCATAGAGCCGACGCAACGCGCACATCACTTGCTTCGCACTTCTGAATGTCAATACCTCTCCTCGCTTCGTTAACATGATCGCATCTGACACACGCAGCAACGCAACGGAAGAGGGCGAAGGCGAAAGGGGAAGCGTGTTGCATTGTCATGTAGGTCGTGCCAACGTTTCGACAGTCGAGAGAAGTTCGTCAAGGAGCGGAATGTGATGAATAAAGAGGCGCGCTTTGCGAAGCATGCAAGTGGGCCTCACACGACGGCGAGGATGACTGCCACGGTGATGGCGCCGAGCGCCCAAGCCAAGCCCTCTTGAGCCTCGCGTGGAGCGGCGGCATTGTCGTGAGCCTCGGGCTGGAAGCTTTTGAATGGGCTGGATTCGCCGCCTAGCTTGGGCAGCTCGCTCTCGGCGCTGTTGCCCGTAGAAGTGGCGTTGGTCACGTCGCCCGCCTTGTTGGCAGGCAGCACGATGCCCGGCGTCTCGAGGTACGGCTGAATGTGACTCGGAATGCTCTGTTGGCCCGACGCCGGATCAGGAGCCGATCCCTTGGGCTTGACCACAAACTGCGCCGACGTGTACAGCACCTTGTCTGCTAAATACACCTGCCAAGCGTCAGTCGCGGAATTCTTACGTCTGTGTATGGGCATGTCTTTCGTACTTACGCTGATGATTGTACTTGTCTGGGTTGACAAAGAGGAGCGCATAGCCACTGGCGGGTGCAACGCAAGGCACGTACACCATGGCCGAGTTCTGCGCACCCTGGAGCGCATTGCCGATCTCGTAGTCGTCGTTGAGCAGCGTCTTGTTCGTGTTGGTCAGCATGATGGTCACCGTGCGCGCATCCGTCTCGTAGCTCTTCCACGCCATCTGGTTCCATCCGCACGCCACCCAGTAGTTGGTTGGCCCGGGAAACGTGATGTCAAAGGCGAGAGCCGGGCGCACCAAGCCCAGCACGCCCGCCAGCACCACCAGCAGCGTAGGAGCCCACATATTACCAACAGCTAGGAGGCGATCGATCAAGAGACGAGGAAAGGGGAGAGGGAAGACGGCAAGGGAGCAAGAGGGGAGGGGACGGCGGCAGAGGGTGGGAGCCAAAGGGTCGATTGAGGTGCACTCCTTTTATGCCACCCACGCCTCTGCTCAGCAAACAAGACGGCACGCGCCAGAAGCGGCTTCATCTCATCAAGCTCCGGATCATGCACGGCAGCTGATAGGCACCTCTGCCATTGTCGTCCGAGATCCGGCGTGGCAAAAAGCGGCAGCGGCCGAGCGTCATGCCTCATTTGATCAAGACATGTCCGTGATCGCATATCGCCCACCTTTGGATCCTGCACCACCACCCGCCTCACGGTCTAAAACAGGTCGTCATCGACATACGCGAGGTCGATCGATTCTATGCGTGCTCAATCGACGCTTCCGTGTGAGGCAGCCCCATGCCGTGTGTGTGGCATGGATTGGGAACCGTATGTCTGCTATTCCTCCGACGGCGAGCGAGTGGGTTTTGAGCGTCGTTTGACGACAGGCCAATAGCAACCCCTGAGCGTCTCGGGTGGGTCACAGTGTCAGATTTTGCTGTGTTAGACCGGTGCATGGGGTTCATCACGTGACCGATCCGGGCTGGAATTTTTTGGGTTGCGAACGAGGACCCTTTTTGGCGGCATTGCCTCCACTCGGTCTGTGAAGATACGGAGGCGCCCATCTGCTGCTGCAGCTGCCATCCCACCATCCACATCGCGCTGCATCCCGACACGATGAGGCTGCTCACACACAATCTGCTCGCTTGCCACGCCAAGGCATGCCAGACCACCTCGAACAACTTCCCGCTCATCCTCAAGGACGTCCAGCTCGAACTCATCGAGGCCGAGCCCAACGACACTTTCGTCAAGGGTTTCCTTCCCAAGCTCGACTGGCCCGCACTCGTCAAGACGGCGCGTAGCCTCGGAGACACCTCGCTTCCAGATCAAGGCCCGGACGCTTCGCAACCGCTTGAGGACGAGGCGCTGATCAAGCTGCTTCACCATGTGCTGCTTGAGGTGAGTATGCAGCGTTGCGACGATCGCGCTCGGCTTCGTCCATAGAACATGCTGCTGACGCTTTGACTTTGGCCTTGCCTACTTCTCTTTCGACGCCTCGCTCAGATCCACGTCGTCGAAGGCCAGATGATCTGCCCCAACTGCCAACACATCTACCAGATCCGCAGCGGCATCCCCAACATGCTGCTGGCCGAGCACGAGATCGGAAAGTGATCCGCCCCAGCGCTTTGATCATATGTAATTGTACTTGTTCACCATCCTTACTCCTACTACTAAAGCATTTCATGATGTGTGCGCAGTCTTGAGTCTGTCAGGCGGGAGGAGACGGAGGAGGTGCGATTGGGCGATTCGAATCGGGCGCGATGTGAATGCCGATTTGCGATTTGCTCGCATTTTTGGCGGGCGGCACGCGTGGGGGCGCGAGTGAGGCGCAGCGCCCGCCCAGGCCAATCCAGCCGCGACGCAGAGGCCATCCAGGACTGACTCTCGAAGAGCAACACCTCCACGTCCGTCTACCATCCCGAGCTTCAGCCCTTCCGATCGCGACCATCCATCTTCTCTCCTCTTCGCACCCGCATCGACGTCCGCATCGCATCTCACACTTGCATCCTCGACATCCGCACCAGATTCGCTGCGTCCCGTGCCAGCTACCTTCGCTGCGCCGCGCACCGACCCTTAGCACTTTCGTGCACAACATACGCCTCGACTAGGCGAGCATCGCCACGATGGCATCCTTCTTCTCCTTCTCCTCCCCCGTCGACGTCGATGTGCGTCTCGATGCAGAGGATGACCGCAAGCAAGTCGAAATCAAGATGGACAAGGCGGGCAAGGAAAAGTGTCCCATCTACTTTGACGGCGAAAGCGTAAAGGGCTCCGTACGTATCCACTGCGCTCCACTCCCCTGACCTCGCTCAATCCTTCTGACAGTCTTCCCTCTCACCTCTACAGGTATCCGTTCGCGTGCGCGACGGCAAGAAGCTCGTGCACGAAGGAATCAAGATCGAGTTTGTTGGCAGCATAGGTATGCACGCATGCGTCGCCTCCAGGCCAGCATGCCCAATCACTGACGCCTGCTTACCCCCTTCTGCACAGAGATGTTCTACGACCGGGGCAACCACTACGAGTTTCTCTCGCTCGTACAGGAGCTCGCTTCCCCCGGCGAGATGCGCGCAGCACAGAACTTTGACTTTGAGTTCAAAAACGTCGAAAAGCAGTACGAGAGCTACAACGGCATCAACGTAAAGCTCAGGTAGGTTCGCTGCCAACCTCGTCATCCCCTCCTTGCCACCGTCTAGCTCATCGCCGCCCATGCATGCTTGGTCGCAAACAGATACTACATCCGCGTCACCATCTCCAGGCGGCTCACCGACGTCGTCAAGGAGCGCGACATCTGGGTACACTCCTACCGCATGCCCCCAGATTCCAACAACGCCATCAAGATGGAGGTCGGCATCGAAGACTGCCTTCACATCGAGTTCGAGTACAACAAGTCCAAGTAGGTCAATCCCCATCCCCACCAAAACCATTCCACATTTTGACTCACGCACGCACCCATCGTTCTCCTCTCCTGTCCAACAGGTACCATCTCAAAGACGTCATCGTGGGCAAGATCTACTTTCTTCTCGTGCGCATCAAGATCAAGCACATGGAGCTCTCCATCATCCGCCGCGAGACAACAGGCGCCGCACCCAACCAGTACAACGAGTCCGAGACCATCACCAAGTTCGAAATCATGGACGGCGCCCCCGTCCGCGGCGAGACCATCCCCATCCGCCTCTTCCTCGGCGGCTTCGAGCTCACACCCACCTTCCGCGACGTCAACAAAAAGTTCAGCACGCGCTACTACCTCAACCTCGTCCTCATCGACGAGGAAAACAGACGCTACTTTAAGCAGCAGGAGATCACCGTGTTTAGGATCCCCGAAAACTAGGCCCACCCATCCGTCGTCGCTCGTCTCGTTGCGCTGCCCACGCCCCTGCCACAACCATGAAACGCGACGCTTCATACCCCTGTCGATTCGTCCTTCTGCCCGTGACGTAGGTGTGGTGGCGTGAACACGCTCTATCGGCTCGACTCGCGCACGCGCCTCGCCCGGCATACTGCACATGCTGGCCTCGCGTGCACGCACCGCCTGCTGGTGGATGAGGCGACTGCACTGCGCTGCACTGCGCTGCGCTGACGTGCACGGGCGATCCCGACGTTCGCGGGATGAACTCGCTTCATCGCTGCGCTTGAGCTTGAGCCCGTCGCCTCGTCAATGCAGCCAGCGCGATGCCGTAGGTGTGCCGAGCGAGCCGGATCGACCAACCGAATGGGCTCGACGAGGTCCGATCGCGCATCCTTACCGTGCGCTGAGCCAGCGCTCGGTCTTGCCACCGTGCGCGCAACCCTAGGCCAGCCATATATATCCAGCGCACGCATGCTCGCCTGCTCCACCCCGCATACACACACTCCATCCGAGCCACAAACGTCATGCACCACCATCGCATCATCACCTTCGCCGCCAGCCACACCTCAACGCTGCCACCAGGGTCGCCAACAGCGCAAGCGCAGGACCAGCATGATGTTGGCGATGCCGAAGAGGGTATGAGTCCGCTCAGCATGCTCTTCGACGGCATTATGGCCGACTGGCACTCGCAGCACGCGCGCATGCCCAGCCGCGAACAGGCAGCTTATCCGTACAGTCCATCATCGGCTCGCTCGGAAGCATCAACGTGCATCACCACTCCGGACCGCTCGCCACAACACGCCATCCCTGGCCTGCCTCCGCAGCCGTGGAAGGAGGCCGTGCTTGTGCACACCGCATACGAGCACGTCATGACGATGCCTGGCGGTGGCCCACTGCTCGACGCAAGTTCGGGCGGTGGACTCGGCTTCTGGGCTTCCACCCTACCTCCAGACGCTACACCAGAGCAGAAGACTAATGGTGAGAGTGTGCAGGCGCCTCCGCGTCCAGAGCGACCCGCTCGACCCGCTCGACCCAAGCACTGCCGTGAGACTCTCGAAGATCTTGACGAAGGCAACCATGCGCCGTCCGCTGGCGTGGTCTCGCTGCGCAGCATGCGCAAGTCTCCCGCCGAGTACTACCACCCAACCCCACCGGTAGCGCAAAGCGATACGAGCAGCACGTTTGAGCTTGCTCCGGCTCCGCAGCGGGCGCGCGCTGCAACAGCCAGCGCACGCACGGTGGAGCGCAGTAGCATGGATTCGACCGCAACCTTTGTGAGCGCGCGCTCCGAGATGTCGTTCTCGACCGCGCGGGCGCGCCGCCTACCGCGATATCCGCCTTCCGCCAGCCGCTCTTCGGGTCTGGCTCAGCAGCCATCCATCCCTCAGCCCGAAAGCTCACCAGTCATCGCACGCAGGCCATCGCTGCTCAAGAGACTTGCGGACGGACTGAGACGCTCGCCCTCGCAGTGCTCCGATGCCACGGCTTCAGGTCCGACGGACTATGCAAAGATCCCGCGCACCCCCATGGAGATGATCACACCCTACACCTCCGACCCGACCCCCGCACCTACGCTGTCACGCAAGCTTACATTCAGCAAACAGTCACCGACACCTACACGACTCGCACAGTACGAGCTGGCAGAGGATACAGGTGTGGGCCACGTGCCGCGGCGAGCGCTGGCACGCAAGCTGTCGTTCAGCCAGACCTCACCCAGTGCGCAGCTCGCCCTGCATCGCACCACGTCGCTGCGCTCCAACCCGCCGCCGTGTTCGAGTGCGAAACGCAGCCCATCACGCACATCGATCGTCCAAGCCGCGTCCACACCGCCTGTGCTCGGCGTGAAGAAAGTCACGTTTGCACTCGCCACGTCCACCGACGCGCCTGCACGCACGCTCTCCCGCTGTAGATAGAACCGCGCGCTCGAGGCGCTTTTTAACGCATTCCTTATGGTTGTAGGCCGTGTCAGTAGCGCCTGACGGAGCCTTCGGCGCCGGCGATGACCGTACGACCGTGAGCGTCGAGTCCGATCCAGCTGGTCGGGTCGCAGTCCCAGCCGGCGTACTCGTGGCGCACCTGAGGCGGTGCATTCCCCGCCACGCCTGCGCGGTAAGGCAGTCCATCGAGCGTGGCCACCAGCACGTCCAAGTGATCGCCTGCACGCGTGGGCGGAGCGATCTTTAGCGAAGTGATCTCAGCATTGTTTCTGCGCCAGCTTGTGAGCAGGCCGCGGGGCGCTTGCGTGGGATCTGCGGATGCATCCGGAGCAGACGAGAGCGCACGGGTATCCCATACCGAGACGATGCCATTGGTGGTTGCGGTGACGACGGCTTTGTCGGCTGTGTCGATGGCAGTGATGCCGGCGGTTGATGCCTGCGTCCAAGTGTCGGACGCCGACGGCGCCTCGCCCGGCGGAAAGGCATACTTTGTCTGTGTAAGACTTGCGGTGGCGGTGCGCAGGTCAAACATCTGCCAGCTGCCGCTAGCCAGGCCGGCGACAAAGGTCGACTGCTCGGCATCGGCGCTGTCCATGGTGGGCAGCGCAATGCAGTTGACCGCCGAGTAGCGGTCGCTGCCGAACAGCCGAGTCTGCTTGGGCGCGGCGACGTCCCAGAGGCGCACCGAGCCGTCGGCACCCGCGGTGAGCAGTGTGCGCCCGCGCCCGATGATGCCCGTTCCGAGCACCGCACGCTTGTGGCCTTGGAGCGTGCGTGGATTGTCGCCTGTGAACGCGTCCCAGATGCGGCACGTCAGGTCGGACGAGGTGGAGAGCACGACGCGATTCGAGGGGAAGAACTTTGCGAAGCGCACATCGCCCACATGTCCCTTGAGCGCTGTCTTTTTGTTTGCGCGCGATTTGGCAGCATTGACGTGCAAGCGGATGCGCGCTTCAAGGTCCCACTTGGTCTCCTCCGGATCGGGTGCCTCGCCAGAGAGGATGTGGCGCTCGTCGTCCGTGAGCGTCTCTAGCGCTGCGGCGCGCGCCTCGTCCGCGTCGAATTGCCCCGCCAGTCGACCTGTGTAGAGCGCCCCTTCCGCACCACCTGCTACAAACAGGTCGCGCTCCTCGTCGGCGCTGCCGAGCGAGAGGTCGAATGCATCGATGGAGGGGTAGTTGGTGTAGTTGTCGTTGACCTTGGACGTCGCGAGTGTGGGTAGAAAGCGGGTGAGCGACCTTTTTGCAAAGCGCACCTGAATCCCCGAATCGAGCTCGATGGAGCTGCGCAGCGTGCGTGCGGATCTGGTGTGCGTCTTGTCGCCCTGTTCGGACTGCGCGAGCTCGAGGTCCAACCAGCTCGCCGCGACCCTGTTGATCTTCAGACCTTGCGTGGGACCGCCTGACGATTCGACGTCACCCAGTCGCACCGCTCCCTGCGCTTCTGCATCCTTGCCGTCGTCCTTTGTCGGCACGAGCGGCAGCTTGATGTGCACGCTCGCCGAGGGTGCGTTGGCGGCATAGTACGAGAGCCAAACCTTTTCGCCGGCGACGGTCGACGACGACACGTCCGAAAACACTTCGGCGTAGTTGGGCTGCACCGATACGTAGGGTATCGCCGCCATTGTGTGCGTGCACGAGTGTGCGTTGTAGAGGGCGAAGATGGACGAGGTGAGGGAAGCTGATCAAGAGCACGAAAGGCTCAGCTCGACTTGCCGCGTCAGTGCGATCCGGTTCGGATCTCGGAATTGCGCCGATGCTAGAATGTGGAGTTTTGGCTTGCAGAGGCGCTCCAAGGGCTCTCGACAATCTTCGCTCTCTCTCTCTCTCCAACCGCATCAGCAGGATTGACCTGACAGTCATGTGGCTATGCTGTAAACAAATCGATTGCATGGCATTCAGCCTAGATGGGCTGTGCGGGCCGAGTCTTTGGTCCCTTGTACTCCAACACGACAATGTCTCCGTCGCGTCTTGAGTCTTCATGCTTAGGCGTGTTCCAGTACCGCGCCACCTCGCGGTATCCTTTCAAGCTGAGCACGTTCTGCAACGTGCGCGTGTGACCGGCCTTGCGCGTGCCTTCGCTGAGCAGGCTCTCGAACACCACTAGGTGGCTCGGCCACGAGTGACGCCATCCCAGGTCCCACGCGTGCGTCCTGTCGCGCTCGGGCGCGGGAGGCGGAGGCGGGAAGGCGGTGTCCACGTTGTACGGCAGACGCTCGACGAGGTACTTGATGGGGTCGTCGTAGAAAAAGTCGCTCTGATCCCAGTACTTTGTGCGGCGCTGCGCGGGCGTCATGCCGGATGATGCAGGAGGAGGCGGGCACTGGACGAACCAGCTGCGCTCCACGAGCTCGCGGTCGTGCAGATGCGTCGCCCACGGCGTCGAGTGGCATGGCATGAGGAAGCCCAGGTTATGGATGCGTCCGAGTCCAGGTGCAAACTCGGCGGGCTCGGCGAGCGGAATGGCGCTTGCATTCCGGGCGAGCTCGGCGCGCTGCGAGCGGTATATCCTTCCGAGCTCGTAAGGTGCCTGTTCCTGCCCGACGCCGTGAATCGTGTTGAGGTAGATGGAGAGGACGGGCTGCAGCGTAAGCACCACTGCGCGCAGCCACAGCGGGAGCATGTTGAGTGCGCGCCAGATCTGCTTTGGAGCGCCCGCGGTGTCTATCGGATGGTCCTGCGCGTCGCTGCGAGTTGCGTAAGATGTGACGAGGCCGGAGGCAGCCAAGATGGCAAGGGCCGGCAAGAGCGGTTGCAAGAATCGAAATTCCTTGTGGCCGAGCAGCGAGTAGCCAGCCACGGTGAGCAGGACGAGACGTGCGAGCGAGCGCTGGATGCCTGAGCCTAGGCTTGCAGCTTTGCTTTGAAGCGCATCGACCAAGCCAAAGAGCGTGGCCGGAAGCCAGATCATGCAGAGCACGGGCAGTCCCTGGCTGAGGAACCAGTGCCAGGGATTGGCGCCGTAGAAGAGGCTCAGGTTGGCGAAGACGTTTTTGTGCACAAACGAGACCAGGCTGAGCGCCGGCAGCGGAGGTCCTGGGCGGCTGCGCTGGTGCGAGAGGTAGTCGTAGGCCGTATCCACTGTCAAGGCCATCACCAGCGTGATCGAGGCGATTTTGGCCACCGTGCTGGCCAGACTGGCAGCCTCGCCGACGATCTCTAGCACGGGCACCAGCGAGCCGTCTTGATTGTCGGCCACAGCTGCACGTGTCTGGCGTGCACCTTTTGCAGGTGTAGCCTCTGATGGCGGTCGGGAACGAAGGCAATGAAGTTGACGCACAAAGAGCTCTGACACGAGCACGATCCACAGGACGCCATTGGTGGGGCGGAGAAGGCAGGCGAATGCGGCCAGACAGAGGCTCTTGCGGAGCGAGCGATCGTAAATGATGCGGCATACTTGCTTGACGTCCAAGTCCCGATCGGACCGTGTGGATGGGTCGACGGGCACGCTTGCATCCTGCTCCTGCTTGAAAGGAGCGCCGGCAAGCATTTGGCGCCACTCGCAGCCTGGGCCTTGGAGCTCAAGCAAGCGGGCTTGTTCCTGCGGGCTCGAGAACGTCCAAGCATCGAAGCGGCGGGAGAAGAAAGGCACAAAGGGCCAGTAGAAGAGCGCAGCGGCGGTGAGCGCGGCTTCGGTCGAGTTGCTAAATGTGCGCGTAGCCGTGTAGAGGGTATAGACGTTGGACAGGCTGACGAGCATCGCAAACCACGCCAAGCGCGGGCCTCCGACTCGGTGGGCCAGTCTGAAGGTGTAGAAGTCGCCGAGCGCAGCCACGAGCGCCTGCTGGCAGCGCGGCAGAGCCACGAGGAGAGGAGTGTGGTCGAGGCGCGCGAGACGGAGGAGCGCATAGCCGGGCACAAAGAGCAGCGGATGCAGGATGCAACGGATGGGTCCTTGGAGCAGATTCTCGACGGCGGCGCCTGCATACGACTGTGCTGGGCGCGGCAGGGCGTGACTTGCGCCGTGCCACTCCCAGCTCTTGAATCCGTAGCCAAAGACGATGCGGTGTGCGATCTCGGTGGTCTGGTAGTGTTCGTCGGGCTGGAAGAAGGTGCGCGTGCACAGCGCATTGAGAATGCGGATCGTTACCAACACAATGAAGAGGGACTGCAAACCAGAGCTGGCGGGACCAGATGGCGCAGTTGACGAGTGCGGACGGCCGCCGTGCTGCTCGGGCGCCGTTGCCGAAGCGCGAGCACGCTTGCGCACTTGCATCGTGCGACGAGTGCCGCCACTGCTGGCCGGGGCGAGCGTGGAGTCGAGCGATGAGCCGAGCCGAGCCGAGCCGAGATGCGGGCAGTGGATGTAGGTGGTGGAGGAGGAGAAAGACGCGTTGGAAGATCCGCCTCCACCTCTTCACGAGTGCAGCTCGGCGCCGTCGACATGAATTTATTGCCAGCTTGGACGCAGCTCCGCCTTGGCGCTCCCGCACGTAGATACCAATCTCAGCCGGATCAGGAGCGATGACGGCAATACACAGGTAGAAGCTTGCTTGTCAATGCGACTAGGACTTGGAACAAGTGGCGCCCACTAGGCAGCTCCCTGTACTGAGCAATGAGCATGAAATACACCTGTGGCTGCGACTGAACATCCTTAGTTCGGAGCACGTCGTGGAAGCTTCGGCCGGCCAAACGTTTGCCAGCTAGCGTTCTCCTCATCCGTCTCGCAGAAGAGCTGCACGAGCTCCCTCATCCTGAGTCTTTGCTCAACTCGTTCCGCCATATCTCAGATCGAAGGTCAGTCAAGGAAAGCTTGGTGGATGGACCATGCGGCGCTAACCGAGCTCTGGTTTGGCATAGGGAGAGCCGCACTCAAGGCAACGGCCGGCATCAATGCAATCGCAGCACAGGCCAATCATTCCTGTAGCACGTCGATGCATCCCGCATTCTGATTCCGCACTCCGCAACGCATTGTATGATCAAGCTTTGTGTATGTTGGGGCCGGCCATGGTCTAGGATGGCGTGTAAGGTATGCGTTGATTGCCAAGCGAGCTCTAGAGATTGCGAAGGTTGCGGGCGGCCCATTCGAAGGCGACAAAGGTGGCAGCGTTGGCAAAGGGGCTTCGGACGAGCGTGGGGAGCAGACCGCGGAAGAAGCCCTTGAGGCCGTCGGCTCGGAACGTCTGGCGGATGCAGTCGATTGTGCCAGTGTACTTGCGGTTGGCCGGGTTGAGCGCGTCGGTCTGCAGCTTGGACTTGATGATGTCGGCCGGGTAGGCGGTGAGCCAGAGGCCGTAGCCGGCCATGGCGCCTGCAAACATGGCGTAGGTGCCTGGAAGCTCGTCTCGTGCGATGCGGTCGTTTGCGAGCTTGCGCTGGACGAGCGCCTCGTAGGTGAGAAAGTACATGCCCATGCCGTGGAATTCGCGCGCAAAGGTGGGCATCTGACCGCGGAAGACGCCGTGGAGGAGGCCGCTCTGTGCCGTGATCTGGCGGATGCAGTCGAGCGGACCGCGATAGAGCGGGGGCGAGGGCTGCGTCTGGAGTCGGATGCGAACGTGCTCTACGGGACCGGCGACGAAGCTGTTTGCGAGGCCTGCGACGCCGCCGGCGAGGTAGAACTGCGAGTAGCTCAGATCGGCGGCGCGACCTGCGGCGAGATTGGAGCTGGAAAAGTGACGCTTGAGCGCCTCGACCACGCCGAACTGGATGCTGACGCAGGCGCCGACGCCGAGGAGCGGGGTGAGCGTGCCCTTGTAGAAGGCGAGGGGACCTTCGTTGCGCACGATGCGGGTGGCGCAGTCGAGCATGCCGGTGTAGGTGCCTGGCGGCGAGGTCTGCAGACGCACCTTGAGGATGTCGAGCGGCTGGCCGACGAGCACCTGTGCGATGCCTCCGACGGTGCCGGAGAGCACATCCTTGTTGCCCTGCGAAAGGAGCGGCGCCTTGGGCAGCGAGTTGAGCTCGGCCATCGTCAGTGGGTGCCCCTCTTGGTCGGGTCGATGCGGGGCAAAAAGTGGGAGCGGTGGTGGTGATGGCGACAAGAGCCAAGCCAAGCCGGACCAGACCACCACCACCACCACCACGGCGCCGCGATAAGCGAGCAGCACGAGAAGAAGTGAACATTCCCAAAATCAAATCGCCGTTCTGGATCCCGATTGCGTGGCTGGCTGATTGGCTCTTTCGGACGAGAGAGGGAGCGGCCAAGCGAGCCAAAAATTCTGGTTGGCAAGAGGCAGCAGAGCGTTGCCTGTACTCCACATGCACTTGCAAAGGTGCAAAAGCATCATTCACTCGCCCGCCTCTATCGATTCGACCATCATCGGCACCATCCGACGCCTTTCGCCCTAGAGCACATGGTCACCTTCTTGGCCATCACATCCGATCACTCATCGATCACTCCGCCATCAAATATCCGCTCGACGCGCAAATCATGACGGTCGTGCTGCCTGGCGACGCCGTGCCTCTGGCTTCCACCTCGGCGCTCAAGCTCGGTCCCGGCCTGCTTCCCACACCGCCGTCCACATCCACATCCACATCAACAGCCGCCACACCATCGCCATCGCTCACCGCCATTCGCACAGGTGCGCTCGGACACATCGGCGCTTCTCAAGCCTCCTCCTCTTCCTCAAGCTCGGTCGCCTCATCCAAGCCAAAGCACGCCGAATCCGCCGCCGTATGGGTAGAGTCCAACACGCAACGCGTACGTCCAACTCGCCGCCTCATCTCGTCCCTATTTGTCGAGCCTCCAACGCTGACTGACACTGACATCTTGCTGCTTTGTTCTGCTCTGTCTACGCATGCTCGACAGTATGTCCCTGCACCGGGCGATTCGGTGGTGGCGCAGATCACCAACCGCGGCGCAGATTCCTACACGGTCTCGCTCTTTGGCGCACACGCCGCCACGCTGCCCGCACTCGCCTTCGAAGGCGCAACCAAGCGCCACAAGCCCAACCTCAACATCGGCGCGCTCGTCTATGCGCGCATCGTCTCCGCCGACCGCTTCACCGAGCCCGAGCTCACCTGCCTCAATCCGCTCACCGCCAAGAGCGACGGCTTTGGCCATCTCAAGACCACCGACCATCGTGGCGAAAAAGTCGCCCACGCCATGCTCTTCCACACCTCACTCGGCCTCGCACGCAGCCTCCTCAGGCCCGACCATCCGCTCCTCGGCCTCGTCGCCGCCCACTTTCCCTTTGAGGCTGCCATCGGCCAGAACGGCGCCGTATGGGTGCGCGCCAACGAGCCCAGCCACCTCGTCGCCGTCGGCCGCCTCCTCCACGCCGCAGACTTGCATCCTACCGCACACTCGTCGCTGCCCCAACATCCATCGCCGGCGCAAGACGACCAAGCTACTTTGCATGCCCAGCACATTCTCGACCACAGAGCCCAAAGCTGGGACGCAAAGCGCGTCCGCGCGCTCATCCATGACCTTTTGTAGCATCTCCACTGCCGCCATTGCAATGCAGCGGCCGTCTCTACAGAAACAGTCGCATGAGTTCGAAAAACACTGTCGGTGGCGCGGTCCAAGTCCAGACACGATTCCAGTCAGCTTGCTTGCTTGCTTGCTTGCGCGCGCGTCTCGTGCGTTGCCAGTGCGGCCGTGAGCGCCTCGTGAACTTACCACCTCCGATCACAACAAAGCAGATGAGCGCCAGCGCCACCCGGTTGTTCTTGAGCGCCGATGGCGGCGTGCGATCCTTCTTGGCCGGCTTGACAATGTTGCGCCCTCGCCTCTGCGTTTGCTTCCTGGCCTCAACCGCCTCCTCGCCATCCGCCTCGACGTTCTCCTTGGACGCTCGGATGCGCGGCTTGCCCGCGTTCTCTCGCGCGCTCGCAGCGAACTGGGCATTCTTCGCCCGGATGTCCTTGAACGTAGGCTGCAAACATCCACACCAACAACCCAACATCCAACGTCAGCCTCCGCGTCAGCTTGGCGAGCTTGGCATGCCTTGCGAGCCTGGAGCCAGGCCGGCTGCAACAGCGGGCGCACTCACCATGATGAATATCGTATCGCCGAGGCGCTTGCGATGGATCGATGCCAATTGGAAAGTCGACCTGATGAAGCGAACCGAGAGGATCCAATGCCGGTCAAGACGGGCTGCAATCGTGATGGTGAGAGAAGACAGAGGCGAGCAGCCCCTTCCCCCACACTTTTGGGGTTTCCTGCCAGCTCCTCCCTTCCCGCCCATCCTTCCAGCAAAGCGACCACGTCGACCCTCGCTCGCGCGTTTCGGTGCTCGCGTGACGCCAATTTGGGCCGAATCTGGCCCGAAATTCAGAGCAGCCTTGGCCCACGACCAGAGGATCTCACAAACTGCCGCTGCACTCGGACAAGCATTGAGCGCTCCCTCGCCTGCCCGCAACACACTCTGTTCGTCGACAGCAGGCACGAGACGATGGGACTGCAACCATGTTGATGCTACAATGAAATGATGATAATGTACACTCCCTTTGCCGGTCGGTATGGTCTCTGGCGCGCACGGCTGTCCTACTGCGACGCCGACGAGCCCACAAAGCCGCCGCCGCGACGCATGATCTCCTGCTTGGAGCTAAGCATCGGTGCAGCGCCTGTGCTGCCCGTCCTCGCAACCTTGACAGACGAGCCCAGCGGCAGCGCGCTCTTGCCCCCCGAAGTCGCCGATGACGACCCCTGCGAAGCGCCGCCAGCCGTAGCCTTGGGCGCCCTCACGAGATTCGCTTCGTTGCCCCACTCGGGCTCGGCTTCTTCGAGCGTGTCGAGCGACATGCTCAAAGTCTGGCTTGCCAAGGCAGCCCTGCGTGCCGAGGCGGCCGGCCTTTTGAGCAGCCGCGCCATGAGCGAGAGCGAGCCAGATGCTTCTTCGTCGCCCTCGCCCACCCCCGCCGAGGCTACAGGCTGCACGTCGACGTCCATGAATTCAGCCTCCTCCTGAGCCGGCGCTGCGCCAGTGGCTCGTGCTTTGGCACGTCTGTACTGCATCCCAAGATGCGGTTTGCGAGGCGCTGGCGCGACTGCATCAGCAACGCCCTCGACGCCTGCCGACCCACTGCCGTTGCCGTCGCCTCGGACGCGGCTGCGCAAGGCAGAAGCCAGCCTTTCGCCAGCGTCGTCCTCCTCGGAATCCGAGCCATTCGAGCCGCTGCGGCCGTCTCGATGCTTGCGCTGCTCTTCGTCGTCGTCATCGTCATCATCGTCTAGGGCAGTGCGACTCTTCGCCTTGCGGCGCTCGCGAACCGCAGCACGAACATCGTCGTACCGGATCTTGCGCGGCTGCTTGGTCACCACAGGGCCAAAGGCGTCCTCATCAACGTTTTCAAGTTCCGTTTTCTGCTCGTCTTCGCCTTCATCCTCGTCTGCGTCCTCGTCCTCGTCAACGCGGCCGCCCCGGGCCTCGCCCTGATCGTCATCCTCGTCGCTCTCCTGCGCCTCGGCGTCCGCATCGCCGGACTGCGGCAGCAGAAAGTCGTACTTGTCGGACTGGTGTTCGATCTTGTGCGTCGCAACGTAGCTGTGAACAAACGCTTGGGCCTCGTCGTGCGCAGCCAGTGCGTCCATACCGTCTTGGGTGCCGTCGAGCAGCTTTCGCTTCTTCCACGCAGAGCTCGACATGTGCAGGCCCAGGGCAGCACGCCTCTGCAGCTCCTCTTCATCGGCATCGTCGTCGAGGAAGCCCTCGATGCCGTTGAGACCTGCGCCGCGACCCCTTCGATTGCGGTAGCCGCCCTGGATCGCCTTCTGGTGGATCTCGAGATCTTCGCGGTCCCGCGCCTTCATGTCTTCGCGGAAGCGCGCGCGTGCCACCTCGTCCTTCTGCGCCTCGTCGACGTCGCGTTCATTGTCGACCAGCTCTTGCAAGTCTTCCACATCGTCGTCATCTTCGTCGTCCTCGTCCTCGTCTTTGCCCGAGTCGCTGCCGTTGTCGTCCGCAAAGACGCCCTTGAGTCCGCCACCATCGCCGCGCTTCTGCTCGCCGAGATCCTCGTCTTCCGACTCTTCTGCCTCACCCTCGATGAAGGCAGACTTGCGCTTCCTGCCTTTGATGGCCGTATCGTCCTCTTCGGTCGGCAAGCTTCGTCCGAGCAGGACGTTGAAGGCGTCGCGAGGTCGGGTCTCTGGCTGACCGGAAGAGGAGCCCCGCTTGTCGGCGTCGTCGCGAGCGTCGGCACGATCTATTACTCCTTCGTCCTCCCTTGCTGCTTCTGTTACGTGTACGCCACCGCGGCGAAGTCGCTTGAGCTGCACAGGGACGTCCTGCTCCTCCTGGTCCTCCAGCACGTCCGTCTTGCCCAATTTGGGGCCGATGATACTGCCGTCGCTGCCTCGACGAGCAGAGGCACCAGGCGCAGCACGCTGCCAGGCAGCGCCGTTGACAGCGCGGTTGCCCTTACTCGGCGCACGATCCTGGCTCTGCGATTGGCTCTGCGTGTCGTACTGTGACCAGAAACCCGGCTGCTGGCTTGGCGTGGTCTGTGTGAAGAAGCCGTCGCGGTTCATGTACATCTTCTCGGGCGACACGTGGGCGCCGTGGCGACTGCGCTGACCCTGAGCGTAAGCGTCGCGCTCCGCCTGACTCTCGTCGAAGCTAGGCAACGCAGAGAGCGTCGGATCGAGCAGCTCCATGGCCGCTCCCATCTGGGCTTTGCGGAGCGCGGCAAAAGCGTCGATCTCGGTTGATTTTGGCGGTGGCATGGAAGAGGCATCCCGGGCGCTGGTGCCGAGCTTCCAAGGCTCAGCGGATGCTTGAGTGTGGCCGAAAGGCGAAGGACCGCCGTCGTTGGACAGCGCGGTAAGGCCATGAGCCTTTGCCCGGGCGGTCTTGGCATTCGCAAAGATATCGAGACTCTCTCCGCGCAGTTCTTCGTCCTGGGTCGCGTTGAAGAAGGCTCCCAGAGCCGAGTTGGCTGACGGTTCGCGGGTCAGCTCCCTTGCGACTTCATTTGCATGCGGCCGGCCGGCAGCAGCGGGCGAATGACTGGCTCCTTGGTTTTGGCTCTGCGTTTGCGTCTGGGTCTCGTCCCAGAAAGACTTGCGCGGAGCCTGCAAAGCTAGCGGGTTGTATTTGATTGCTGTCGAGGATGGCATGGTTGACTCGAAGAAGCGACCAAGATCAGCAGCTTGCGAAGGGATGTCATCGGTGCGGAACGATTCGTCCATGTTGTCGCCCGCCGTGGGCGGGAAGATGAGCGAGTCTCGCTCCTCGGCTTCCGTCGTCGTCGGAAGCTGAGCATGCTGCACGACGGGTGATGTGGTGTTGGAGCGCGAGAGGGCCATGCTTAGATCGATGACCTGGCTCGAGATGTCCGCGAGTGGGATGCGAGCCTGCTCTGAAGATAAAGTGGCTTCAGCTGCGACATCTTCACCATGAATGGCTTCGAAAGGGCCGGGCTGGAGCGAATTCTGGTCAGCTTGACCCTCGGCATCATCGTCAGCAAGGGCACTGCGCCTGCCTCTCCTCGCGTTGATGCGGGGGCCAGGCAGCTCGTCCTCGTCTTCGTCCATCACGGCCCGACTCGGTAGCAGGCTGTAGGCGGGATCGGGCGAGGCTTGCGATCGATGGCTCTGCTGGCTGGCCGGAAGGGGCGCATTCTCCTTGTCGCTGTCGTGCTCCTCTTCAGAGTCGTCGAGAGGGTCGTGGGGAGGGACGTCCAAGTCGTCTTTCCCAGCATCGGCATGCTGCGCGTACGGGTCGTCGTCCTGGTCTTCGAGGACACCGCCCAGAGGGACAAAGTCGTCGTCGAAATCATCGGCTTCCACCTCACTGGCACTGCCCATATCAACATCGCTGCCCATGTCGCTGCCTATGTCGCTGCCGATGACGCTGCCGACGACGGACTCTACATCACGGGCGGAAGGCATGATGCAGTCGGGGTCGTCTTCATCGTGGTCGGCATATTGCGCCTCTCGGCCATGGCGACTTTTGGGGTCGCTCGGCCGGTGGAGGTGGTGGAGCATGGCTTGGATGTCGGGAACGGTGGATCTCTGGGATGCGTCGGCAAGCGCGGCAAGCTTCAACTTGGCGGCTGCGTCGTTGGGGTCGCGCTGAATGCGCACCTTGAGCGTCTGGGTCTGCATCTGACGCATGAGCGTTGAATTGAGGTCAAGCTGCGACAACTTTGATGGTGCGACGCGGGGACCCCCGTGCGGCTGGGATGCGGGCATGGCCGAATCGCTCTGGTGGAGCTGGGCCGCGGCGACGTGCAGCTGGGTGGTAGGCAGGTTGGGTGTCGCCTGATCCGAGGCGGGGAAGAGAGCCTTGCTGGCGTTGCGAAGCTGAATGTCGGTGGGCATGCATTCGTCGTCGTCGTCTTGGAGGAGGTGCGGCGGGGTCGAAGCAGCGTTTGGGGAGCCATTGTCATTGGTGCCACGATAGCTGCTTGAACGGGGGGGCTTCTTGCCCGAGAAGATGCCGAGTTCTCGATACATGCGATCAGCGTGTCGCTTCTTGCCAGGCGGGGTGGTGGGTAGATTGTGCTTTTGAGCGAGGACCGAGCCGGGTCGATAGACGACGAGGTTCTGGTCGTCGTCGCCATCGTCCGAAGTGTGGCTCGGGACCGAGCCGTGCGCGACGTCAAAGTGCTGCGAAGTGGGCTGCGATGAGGATGGCTGGCGCGCGTTTTCGAGAAGACGGAGCTTGATCTGTTGAACGCCTTGCTGATATCGCGCGGTCAACTCTTTGGTCTGCTTGTGGATGCGAGCCGTCTCGATGAGCGAAGCCAAATCCGGGAGATCGGCGGCGTCGTCGTCGTCGTCGTCGTCTTGCACGTCTGTGATGGCCGTTGGCGGCTGCGATGAGCTGGCGAGTTCGGAACGTGGGGCAAGGCCGGAGGATACGCTTGGCGTGTGCAGGCTGGGGTCGATGTGGCGGCGGTGGTCGTGCTTGCGGGAGAGGGGCACGAGCGGGCTGCTTGCGTGGTTGGAATGGGGACTGGAGCGCTCGCGGATGGGGTCGGACTCGATGGGATCGGAGTTGTGCAGGCTCTTTGACTGACCGGAAGGGATTTGGGACGAGGCATGACCGGAGGAAGCGGGAGGCGGATGTGGTCGAGGCGGCTCGGTGGGAGTGGATGTGGATGTGGCATGGCTGTCGTCGCTGTGTGGAGTCTCTTTGCCGGTGATCTTGCTGAAGAGCTGGCCGAGACCGATTGTCTTTTTGGGCTGAGAGGCGTCGATGCGGACGCGATTCTCGCGCGCGAGGCGAGCGGTCTGTTTGTGCATGGAATCGAGCTCCTTGTGGGAGAGTGGCTTGATCTTGGGCGGCACGTGCGAAGGAGCGGTGGGGGCGGCGTCGTGGGCTAAGAGGCTCGGCTCGGCGAATTTGGCGCTGGCGGACGACCGCGGCGCGATGTCGGCGTCGCTGTCCTGAATGTCGAGCGAGGGCGAGCGCGAGCGCGAAGCTTGATCGGATGAGTGCTTGGAGTGCGCGACAAAGGCAGGGACGAGCGCGTCCGGTTGTGCGTGTGGATCCACGTCGACGTCGCCGAGAGCGTGCCTCGCCTTTGCAGCCAGAGCCTCGATGCGCTGACGGCGTGACAAGGGTGGGGACGGTTGTGGATGGTGTGGCGGTGCCGACTCGAGCGCAGCGGAGCTGGCCAGGTTGAAGGTGCGAGGACGAAGGGCATCCTCGTCATCGTCGTCTTGATCAGAGGAAGAGGAGAAGGTGGCACGGTTTGGGGCGCCTTGTTTGCCGCGCATGGCCGACACCTTTGCGCCGTGGCGACGAGGCAGGGGAAGCGGATCGTAGGTGTCATCGGTGGCAGGATCGAGCTGGTCGGACGCACGCGAGCTGGAGGGCGGAAGGGAGGAGAGCGGAAGGGAGGAGAGCGAACCGGTGAACGGATCGGAGCTGACGTCGGGTGCCGCTTGTGCCCGGATGCGCGCGATGATTGCATCGTCGTCTTGGGCGTCGTGCGATGGCAGATTGGTGGGATGTGCGTTGAGAAGCTCATCGTCGTCGTCGCCCGAGTCCGAGTCGTAGATGGCCTTTGCGCGTCCGATTTGAAAAGTGGTGCGGAGGCTGTCCTGGCTGTGATGCTGGCGATGCAGAGATGACGTCGCATGCTTGACGGCGGAGCTGTCGGCGTGAGCAGTGGTTGCGGGCGAGACGACGGCGGTGTTGGGAACGCAGACTGCATTGTCCCGTGGCGAGCCGGACGCTTGGTGCGAGGGGGCTGCTGTGGTATAGTGACGCATTGGCGAGTCGAAGAGCATGGGCGAAGGCGATGCAGGCTGCGAGGAGGAGGTTGCCGAGTCGAGATTGGATTGGACTAGATCTGTTTGAGCGTCTGCCAAGGGTTTGCGTGAGTAGGTGACGTTTGCCCTTGCGCCAGGATGTGAAGCAGCCTCGATGGAAGGCACCGCCGACGAGGAGGAGGAGGAGGGGTCGAGGGAGCTGAGAGTCGATGCGGAGGAGCTGAGGCTTTGCATCGTGTAACGCCGTGAATCGAAATCAGAGCTTACGACCAGAGAGTACCATTCGAATTGGCGTGGTAGAAAGCGAGGAAAGGATGGAGAGAGTGTGAGAGAGTGAGGGATGGTGATGATGATGATGGCTGCCGAGAGAAGGCTCAGTTCGGGCGTTGGCGAAAGTGGAGTGAAACGCTCACTCACTGCACTCCGCCTTCTTCTTTACGCGTCGCGCGTCTGCTCGGCCCCCACCACGCCAGGGCGAGACGACGAGGCTCGAACGCGGCGCGTGTTTTTTCACGAGTTTATCAATGTTACGGTATGTAAAGCTGACATCCTGATTCAACGCTTTGGCGATTCGAAATAGCGCGCCGCTGATTGGCTGATGGATGGTCTTCGAGTGGCATCTGTTATCGGCCTTGTCGTTTTTATCTTCCTGTTCCAGGTGGGCGGGCGGGTTCCTGTTTTCTTCGGCTAGTAGAGGTGTGCATATAAAGTTATGCGACTTTGCGCTCGCCCATCGCTCTTGCCTTCGTCTTGTCATCTCCCACTGTCCACGCCTGGCCCTTTCCAACATGGCCTGCTCCTCCAGCAAGACTACCGTTGCTTGTGCCAACTGTGCTTGCGGCGCCAACACCGGCGCTGCGTCGCGCGCATCCGTCGTCAAGCTCGCTTCCAGGAACAAGTCCGAGTCTACGCCACTGCTCTGGTCCACCACCACTGCTGATGCCTCGGATGCAGACTACCAGGCCACCGCTCCGGCCGTCGCCTCGTCGTCCGCCTCGACGTTGAGCGCCTCGCACGAATGCCCCTCGTCGGCCAACCACCACCACGACCCCAGCTTTGTCTGCTGCAGGGACGTCGTCGCCGCCGACGAGCGCACGCTCATCGATCCGGACTTTGCGCGCGACTGCATCGTCGGCCTCAGCGACGGCCTCACCGTCCCCTTTGCCCTCACTGCAGGCCTCTCCTCCACCGGCTCCACCAAGCTCGTCGTGCTTGCAGGCCTCGCAGAACTCGTCTCCGGCGCCATCTCGATGGGCATCGGCGGCTTCCTCTCCGCACAGGCGGAGCTCAGCCACTTTGCCTTCAACCTCAATGCCATCCAGCAGCGCGTCGAGCGCTCGTGCCAGTCCGAGGTGCAGCGCCAGGTACACGACATCCTCAAGCGCTACGGCATCGCCCCCGACACCAGCGCACAGATCGCCGCAGAGCTCACCGCAAAGGAGCAAGCGCGCAAGCAAGCCCAGCAGCTCGCTCAGTCGCAAAACCTGCATGCCTCCCGTGCCGCGCGACGCAAGATCTTTGGTTGCATCCCGCTGCCCGGCTCCTCCGCTTCGCCGTCCGCCTCGTCGCTGCCGATCCAGAAACGTGTTGCGAGCGACGAGGAGTCGCAGCAGCTGCTCGTCCACTCTGACGCCGACGACGACGCCGACGACCTCGACCAGGCCGGCCTCACGCCCTTCCTGCTCAAGCTCGGCGACGGTCTCGAGCCCGTCAGCACCTCGCGCCTCTACATCTCGGCGCTCACCATCGGCCTCAGCTACTTTTTCGGCGGCATCATCCCGCTCCTCCCCTACATGTTTGTCGACCAGGCCAGCCGCGCGCTGCTGCTCTCGGTCGTCATCACCGGCGTCATCCTCCTCATCTTTGGCGTGGTCAAGCAGCGCGTCACCGGCGGCGAGGGCGGCCTGAAAGGCTACGCCTACGGCGCCCTCTCCACCCTCGCCGTCGGAGGCGTGGCAGCAGGCGCCTCCTGGCTCATCGTAGGCCTGCTCGAAGGCGGCAGCGAGGCTGGCAACATCTAGACATCTCCCTTTCCCCTCGCCCCTCGGCTTCTCCTCTAATCGGGTACTTCAGCTATGCTGATCTCCGCACTCTCGGTCCCCTGCATGTGATGATATGCGCATTGGCATTGAGTGTTTATCGAGTCGGCAGTCACATGGTGTGGCCTTGGCCGCCAGCGTCCTTGTAGCCTTTGGCGATGCCTTGTCGTCCTTCTTCGAGCATGCTCGGTTCGTCGAGGCCGATGCGTTGCTCCAGGCCTTGCCAGGCGCGCTGGCCCACGTGCTGCAGCGAGGCGCTCTCGAGCACCGTGGTCACTTCGCCCGTCGCCGGGTTGCGCATCATCACCGAGTTCTCTTGGGTGCCGCCCTGCGCGCTGGCGAGTTGCAGAGCTTGGTCTGCTGGATCTGTCGCGCCGCCAAGGGAGTGAGTTGTGCGGGAGTTGCCGTGAAACTTGCGTCGATGCACGTACGTTCCGCTGACGAGCGAAAAGTGCGGCCGATCGTCATCGTCGTCGTCTTCTTCTTCTTCTTCCCTGTCATGCTCTTCGTCGTGCACCTGTGCTGATGCGTGCGTGTCGTCGTCAAGCTCAACTTCATTTATGCGCGCAAGTAGGTCCTTGTGGTCGTGGGCGTCACGCAGGTGCGGTGGAACGAGTTTGTCGAGGTCGAGCACGTACTTGCCGCTCCAGTCGACGCCTTCTTCTCCGCGCTGCTGGCGCTCGGCTGCATTGACAGCGAGCTGCATCTCGAACGGCGTGACGATGGGCCGGAAGAACTCTTTGCTGTCGACCAGCGTGTTTTCGGGACATGCGACGAGCACAAACACGTCGATCTCTTGAAAGTTGGCGAGCTTAGCCGGATTGAGCTTGCCGACGGAGATGGTGTAGACCTTGCGCGCGCTCTTCCTGCTGGTGAGCAGCGCACGCAGATGCTGGAGGAGCGGCAAGTAGGAGTGGACGCCGAGCGTGCCTACGAGCAGGCCCACCACCGAGGCGTCGCGCGCCTTGAGGACGGATGCATAGCGCTTCATGAGCAGCCGATTGGTTGAGCCAGTCTCGACTCGTGCGGTGGAGCGGATGGGATCGTAGGAGACGAGGGGCGTGGATGGTCCAAGGGTGAGGAGCAAGTTGGTGAGCGAGAGGGACTCGGGGCCGAGATAGAGGTAGCCACACTGCGTGTGGTCGATGCCTTGGGGCAGCGTCACGGAACGAGCAGCGCCCAGCGGATGGGAGTCGCGATCGGAGCGGGCGTCGTCGGCCGCATGCGTTGTTGGTGAATATGGCGCACTTGCCGAGGAGGAAGTAGCAGTTGCGGAAGGACACGTTGATGAGGGCGCGCAGGAAGAGCTCGAGGTTGCACCGCAGCAGGTGGATGCTAAGCTTGTTCGAGAGCTGGTGCAGGCGCAAGCGTCAGCGCGAATGCTTGTTTGTACAGCCGCTCTGGACGTACGGTTGACGAGTTTGTCTTCGTAGTTTGTTCGAAGATCAACGTGGGTTCTGACGAAGGGCAGAGAGATTCCGTGCTGTATGAGCGCGAGTTGGGTAGCCTCAAAGACGTCTTGGGCGACATGGTGCCAGGAGACGTCGTAGGTGAAGACGAGCGCACTTGGATGTGATCCGCTCGAGGATTGTTCTAGGATGTTGTTCTTTGCGTGCGCTGCCAGTGCTTGGGCAGCCTCCGAGACGCTCGTCAAGGGCTGTTTTGTGAAGACATAGATGACGGGCAACCTAGCCGTTGCGGAGAGGCAGGCGTGACCGAAGTGGACGACAAGATCGGCGTCTACGTGCTTTGCTGCCACCTCGTCCACGCAGCAGCCGCCGTAGCTGGTATCTGCGAGGATGTAGAAGTCGGGCAGCGGGCTGGGCGAGCTGGATGCGGAGTCGGCGTCGGAGGAGGAAGCATTGCGGATGAGGGAGCGGACCTGGTGCCGCAGAGCCCAGTATACGGGGACCGAGTCTACGAGCGCCTCGTCGGGGAACTGCAAGGCCACGCGTTGGAAGCGACCCGAGTGGATCTTGGCGGCGGTGGAGACGATGTCGTAGACGTGGTAGATGGAACGACCGGACGAGGAAGCGGTGGCAGACTGGGCGAGCGGATCGAGCTCGAGAGGAGCCGTGAGAATGGCCTCGTCTGTGGTGCTGAATGCCGCCATGGCCGCGGAGGTGCTCGAGATGGTGGTGTTCGGGCAGCATCCGAAGCCGCTCGCTCTTCCGCAATTTTTTCTTCGCGAGCCACGGCCAAGGGTATAGACCCCAAATTTCATTAGTACTGACTGTGCCGCTTGAATCGCGCCCGCAAAGTCTCAATCAATTTGGCGAGTCGGACCCCTTCCAGCCCGGGACTCGGAGCTGCCCGCGTGTGGAGGGAGGCAGCAGTGCGGGATCGAGCAAACGGCGCGCTGGCTCAGCCTCGACGGCGGGCCATCCGAGAGGATGACAAGTGCGGATCGGAAGGGCGCCGTCACATTCCCACAGCCACCATCACCCATACGATCACAATCACCATCACCCGTCGGAAGCCAATCACAGCTTACAGCTCGCACCTCGTCTACGGCGACGATCCGATGCTCGTCTAAACGCAGCACAGCAGAAACGCACCGCGCACAGCGCCAAGAGGGAGAGATCGAGAGAGGCGGCCATGGCAGCCTCCCAACGTCACACTCCCGGACCGGGACAGAGTGTTACATCGACAGGCAAGGGGGGCAACAACCATGCGATATCGATAGCGGAACACTCGCGCGCTGCCGGCATCGGCGCCGAGACCATCGACGACTTTCTCGATCGACAGCCGCGATCGGTGCTCATCCGGCTCTACGAAAAGCCTGCGTCGTGCCTCGCCATCTTCCGGCTGCTGCCCATGCTCGCGCGCCAGATCATCATGCACATGCTCTTTCTGCATGCGCCCCTCGCCGCCGACGACTTCCTCGCCTGGCTCAGAAAGGACGCGCGCAACGAGTTCGACGTCGCCGTCGCCAAGCTCGCCCGCCTCTCGATCGTCCAGCTCAAGCCCGCGAGCGCAAAGCAGATGCTGCTGCTCAACGCTGTGTATACGGAAGGCATGCGAAGAGCGCTCACGGGAGGAGGCAGCCATCGCTCGTTTGGCGTGCCGTGCGATACCGAGGATAAGAACGCCGTCGACATCGCCTTTCTCGACGACTACGCGCGCACAAAATGGGAGACCATCCTCCACTACATGGTCGGCAGCGACAAGTCGAGCACGCCGCGCGAACCCGTGCTGTATCTGCTGCGTCGGAGCAACCTGATGCAGTCGCGTTCCAGCGCCGCCGCCTCCGCATCGCTCAACATCACCAGTCGCGGCTTCCAATTCCTCTTGGAGGACGTCAACACGCAGCTCTGGCATCTGCTGCTACAGTACCTCGACATGGCCGAGGAGCGCAACATGGATCTGGTCGAGGTGCTCGCCTTCCTCTTCATGCTCGGCAGTCTCGAGCTCGGACGCGACTACTCCACCGAGGAGCTGCCCGAAACGCAGTTGCACATGCTCGAGGACTTTCGCGACTACGGGCTCGTGTACCAGCGCAAGGCGTCTAGCCGGCGCTTCTATCCCACCCGCCTCGCCACCACACTCACCTCGTCCGCCGCCGCTCCTCTCCTCTCCACCAACGGCTCCGAGCCCGAGGAGCGCGGCTACATTATCCTCGAGACCAACTATCGCCTCTACGCTTACACCTCGAATCCGCTGCGCGTCGCCGTGCTCTCGCTCTTTGTCACCATCAAGGCGCGCTTTCCCAACCTCGTCGTCGGCTCCATCACGCGCGACTCGGTCAAGTCGGCGCTCGCCAACGGCATCACCGCAGAGCAGATCATCACCTACCTCACCCACCACGCCCACCTCCAGATGCACCGCAACGATCCGCTCCTCCCCGTCACGGTCTCGGACCAGATTCGTCTCTGGGAGCGCGAAAAGAACCGCGTGCAGCAGAACCTCGGCTCGCTCTTCACCGACTTTACCAGCCAGTCCGACTTTGCAGAGGTGCGCAACTACGCCAGCCAGCTCGGCGTCCTCGTATGGCACGACGAACCAAAACGTCGTCTGTTTGTCGACGAGGCGGGCAACGAGCCGGTGCGCGACTACATCCGACGTAGAAGAGCATGACCAATCTAAGCCCTGAATGCTGAGCTCGCGACGAGGCCATCGAAGCCCGTCTCGCTGAAAGCGGCGCGTCAGACGTCGACGAAGAGATAGCCAGTCTCGAAGTCGCAAGCACAGCAAGGCCAGGGGCCTCGCATTTCTGCCAGCCACAATTTGGGCTGAAACCTCACACGCCACGCCCAAAATAAACCATCAGGAAGTGGAGGCCAGCGGAGCGGGAGTTGCGAGTGTGGTGCGGGTGGATGCTCTTTGCTTCTCACCACCATCTACTCCTCCTCGCCGCGCCGCCCCATCCCGCCTATCCAAGTCGCACAGCTATACGCAGTTGCAAGCGCATCCCGGCATACGAATCGCGCCTCAACCCTTACGCCACGCTCTGTCCCATCATCCACCAAGGTGAGTAGTCGCGCCCGTCAGACCCTCTACCACGCTGTTGCTCACCCATCTTCTCTTCCGTTCATCACTCCATCCATCCGTCTGTTTCCAACCCTACACACGCTCACCGTGCCTCTGTTCGTCATAATGACGAATTTTTTCTCGCCTTCCTTGGTCTCGTTGCCCTACATGACCTGGTGGCTTGACCAACTTCCAGCCATGAACGGCAACACAAGCGTGTCTGCCAAGTCACTTCCCCTCGACGAGCACAAGGACCGCCTCGCGCCCGAATCCGTCCTCCCCTGGACCTCCATTGCCCTCGAGCTCGAGAGCGTCAAGCTTCAAGTCGACGCCTGTCTCGCCAACAACAAACTCATCGTCTGGCCCTCGCGTCCCTGCCACTTGCCAGATGTCTACAACGAGGCAACTACCTCGCAGTGGCTTGCGATGCACTACTCGGACCCCGCCATCACCATCCTCAACGCCATCGCAAAACAGGTTCGCTCCAGAAGCTCCCGTAACAACCGTCTCGACCGTCTCGATGCTAGCTTCGTCCGCGCATTTCAACATGTCGATCTTATCTGGCCGGAATGGCAACGCGAAATCCGTCCTCGCCGCACGATTGACGACTACAATCACGCTAGAATTGCAGACGATATCAGATCCAATCCCGCTTTTCATGCCAGGTTCGCACGCTACTGGCGATTGCTTGTCGGATCCAGACGTCGTAGGTCTCGTCCCATAGCTCCGATCCAGGGTGGATCTTTCGCTGCACGTGCTTGAGACCATAGGTGATGGTCTGGAGGGCGTTGAATACCTTGACCCTCCATGCGAAGAAGTTGAGCCTGTTGAGCTTTGGCGTGACGACTTCCATAGCTTTGAGCATCTTGTCGTAACTGAACCGCTGTTCAGTGATCTTGTTGTCGAGCCTGACCTGTTCAGGCTCACCTCGAGGGGCCTCGATTGCCACCTCGGCCTCAGGGTTGTTACCCTCTTCGACGGGGTCACCACCCTCGCCGGCCTTGTCCTGTCGCTTTGGTCCCATCGTGTCCTGATCACAAGACCCTCGTATTGGTGGAATGAAATGCGCGTTCAGACTCTTAATCAGTTAAAATTACCGACTGCCCAGTCCACGCCTCTATGGTGAAGAATGCCTTGCATCTGCAAAAGCGCTTGTTATTACGTTCAGTGGACACGACAAGAAGAGCTTGTACTTATACATGTCAGGGCTTGTTGGAACACGCTGGGCAGAACCTTTTCTGCCCTTCGAGTCACCCTTGTATCACAACCCACTTCATGTGGTCGCATCGCGACAATGCCACCGCGTTGCAACATGGTCCCACCGTTGACCGATCTTGGGATGAAGGTTTCCGCAGATCCTCTAAGCCCACCATCCTTGCATTCGTCACCCGACTTAGACTCCGGTCCGTCTCCGTTGCCGCTACACTCGGCCGTTGTATCTTCAACTCACACCTCACCCTGCCCCCCCCCCCTTCCGCCAAAAAATTCGAGTTCCCTCGAAATTGCCCAAGCCCAGCCCCCCCCCCCCCCGCTCGGCCC